CTAGACGTGATGTAGAGGACGTATGAGTCGTTAATAACATGTTATTCCTGCCGAGGAATACTGTGTGTCAGATACGAATCATAGAGCCTTTGTCAATAATATCAGATGACGGGTCGATTCAGAGTTATTGGCAAGGATATAGAATACCTTTTCGACTATTATCATAATGACAGGTATAAAATTCGGATAACTTGATTCTATTAAAGAAAGAGAAAAGTATATTCTTATACTTTTCTGGTATAAGGAATTCCTTTTCCAGCTCAGATTCCGAAAATACTGTAAAACTCCATATACAATGGGAAGTCGACCCCTGAAACTGAAAATGAGGAGTTATAGCTCTAGATATAGTAAGTAAACAACGTAGACTCGTGCAGTATATTCATCTATCCATACCAGAGGTATATCCACAATAAACAGGGTAAATCCATATTCATTTTTCTATACAGTTATCCATCATTTAACACAAAGCTATGCCTCAGAATCGTTCTATATATCTCAGAATCTAAAAAGACATATGGACATATACAAACTCAGAAATTGATATCTATGTTGAGAGGGTATGCGACTTTTAGAACCTAGACTCGTCCCTGATATTCCTTCTATACCCTTATGTTAACAAGCACAGCTTTTATAACGAAGCTAGTCCTGGTAGACGAGCAGCAATCCAGGGATATACATATATTTACTGCCGTATCCGAGAATGAACTTCTAATGTCACGAAAATCTACACGACGGACTCTCGCAGTTTGGTCTAGATATTCAGAAATATCACTTTTTGATCATCTTTGATATTTCCGTATAAACATGTTATGTTTGTAAGGAGGAGGTTTTCATGCCGATACTTCGTTTCCTTCCAGGCTTATCTAGAGGATATTGATAGTGTGGTACTATGTAGTGATTAGTATCATAAGAATGCAACATGAACACAGAACCGAATGCTAAATAGTTGTCTCCGCAAAGTCAGTTGCTAGAGACTAGCAAAAAAAAATCCATCGACATCTCTAGCAGTATGATTGGCCCGAAACAATATAAATGACCAGCTAAGGATCATTAACACGTTCTGGACTTGTAGCTATTGGCGTTCTCCAGTGAGACTTGGGCGATAACGCAGTATATCACCCCGACAAATCCTCAAGAGCATGAGCTTCCGTCCAGCGTCTGTATCTGGGAGTATTACAATTAGAATCAAGCCACGCAAAAGAGTGCATGAGTTCCTTCATAGTCCTTCATAGATATACAATGAAACATGAACCCTTCTTGAGCTGCGTTACATACCACACCCGGTGAGAGGGATGCACGTCCTCTGTCGCGATTCCACCGATCATGATGCACCACATAAGTATATCAAAGACGCCTCTGTCACCGGATAGGCAGTCTGCTTTGGAAATAGCACCTTGCAGGAGTGATACGAAGCTCTCACGAGTAGAAAGGGACTGCGGAATAGGGAATGTTACATGCGTACTGAAAATGCAAATTGCCAGCCAGCATGCGTTATAGATATTAATTGCTGGAACTGGAGGCGTACCATCGAATATATGATTGAGTGGGTCAGATGGTCTTGGTAGGAAGAGCACACGGTATTGAACTGTGTTTTAGGCGTCACTTAGCAAATCCATTGTATCTGCCTGGTTGCCGCTGGGAATGCTTAGTTGAGCACATAGTGCCAACTCCCCCATATGTATGAAGGCTTTGATAATGTGGTCTCGACTTGCAGAGCCTTAAGCTGGTGAAAGCCACGATTGAAGATCTGTAGAATGGTTTGGTCGAGATTCTGAGTATTTATAGAGGCGAGATATCCCCGTGCTGCTTTCTAGAAGGGTTGGAGATAGGGTACATGGGTATCGTAGATGTCACCACGGCGTACTTCAAGGATGTACTTTGACTCTCAGCTGCTTGTAAACACATACTAAGGACACAATCTACTGCCTGGGATAAGAACCGGGTGCACCATAGTATTGTATGGTTTCGAAGTCGCCGTTCTGTCTCATCAACTGGATTAGGGCCTCTAGGTGGCACGAATTGAACTTCCGGCAGCCATTAAAGTCGACAGCCTGTAATTCCTGGAAGGGGGTTTAAATGGATTGTTATCCTTCTATACGGACGTCACAACATCATTATAGATCGCGAGAAAGCAGACGCATAGGACTATCTCGTCCATTCCAGTGTTTCCAAATTTCAGTGGCTTAGAGCATCTTTAAAGCCTTGAGTGCTCCATATTGTGGTACAATTATTGCAGTAACTGCCCAGGGTGAGGTAGACAGATAGCCAGGCAGGAAGAATGAAAAAAGCAAAGGGCTCCATGCCCCTTTCATGCAGACTTCACAAACCTTTTCTGTGCAATAGAGACACGCCTGAAAGACAAACATCTATTGCTTAATAACCGCAAAGAAGATCAGGACCATCCAAGAATGACTTTAAAGATGCAATAATAGAAGAAAACGCTACATATAAAATACACATGCAATGCTCGATCAGTTCATCAACACTACGCAGACCACGGTGTTCCCTGTATCACTGAAAAGATCTATTCTCCCACATCCTAACCACGACATAGGAAAAAAAAACAATAAACCAAAAATCCAAAAACAAAAACAAAAACATACAACAGCCGGGATTCGCTGGTGGTCACCCACCCAACTACTAACCGGCCGGCGTGTGGCTTAAGTACGGCTGAGCGGACGGGAAGCCCTGTTTTCCACACCCTATGGTCGTATGTGCTTATTTTCTAGGAGTATTGCATTATATAATTTGGGATGATGAAATATAATTCGAACGGACTGTACCCGACAGGTAGATAATTTCTTAATGGCTTTTTGAACAAATGCAAACGACAAACTAGAAACATTCACATCTATAACGGGTAGAGGAATCTTCTTATCATTTACAAAGAACTGCCGTATATACTTTATCAGGAGATATATATCTATTAATATTCAAAGACGGGGTTACTTTCTCCTACGCAAAAATAGTGGCTATAAATCCAGGCATGCAGGTCGGGAGAAGAGAACTATACCGAGAGAGTTTATCTTTCAACTAGTTCGTGGAGAGAAATACATTATTCACCAAAATAATACCCCGTATATAGAATCATTTTGCTGAATACCTAACTAGGATTAAATCCCGAGTATGTCCATTCTGACCACATTTAACCATAATAACCTTTATGTAAGTGCCAATAGCTAGTTAACTATCCTGCTATGATTCGTTTCATCGGTTATATGGCCAAAAATGAAGAAGACCAGTTTCTGGGCTTTTTAATAACTTGTTACATCTTTTCTGGCGCGAGCATCAAGCACAGTGGTTATTAACAACTTCAAACGGCATATCATCCATCCACTATCAGATCCGGCCATGCGGACGATACCTATATTAACTGCTATTAATAGTGTATACTCGCACATTTTTTGAAAGGCTGGAAGATTGTTCCAATATTGATATGTATACTTATTCAATCTTCTCCTTTTACTACCTAACTCATAATAGTACACACTACTAAAGACTGTGAACAAAGGAGTGTATGATTATTGATATAGCTTACGAGTCTATATATAGTCATATATATAAACTATTACTATCACAAAAAGCAGCGCGGGACAGTAAGAAAGAATCTGAGACCTCGTCGCATGTATAGTACATACATATTTGCTACATATTATTATTATATACTACCTACCATAGGTAAGTACAACCAGCGAACCACAACCCCCAGTTATCAATACTCAACTATCTAGGGTCAGAGAATCGAGGTTTCAAGATCCAGCATCTTATTTGCCTTGGACTAAGTAGTAACTAGAGTGGGGTTTAAGTAGCGAGCAGGGATGTGGCCCCTTTCGATTGAGTCAGTAATGACTCGAGTGACTCGTGTAGGGTTTCTCCGATGTTAGGAGTGCGCGTCAACTCCGTCGGGGGATGGGGGCGTCAGAAATCCATGGCGTGATTTTCGATAGTCCACAGCCGTCGGCAGTGTTTTAGATGCAAAATGCTGTGTGGTTCGGTTTCAATCTGCTACCTATATATGCCAGGATGTCGATATCAAAAGACGTCCCGGAAAGAAGACCAAATGTGGACCGCAAACTGTGATCTAAGAATAGGCCAAATTACATGCCCGCATTGAGAGCTAGATGGACTCTCTCTAGACAAGTAGTTACTGGCCAAAATTAGATATCCATACAAAGACAGTAAAGCGTAGGTAGCGGGCTTTCATCGTAGCTCTGTAATTCATTTCGAAAAAAAGAAAATATCGAAGCATGCATAGGTTTCCTACCCTTTTATATCTCTATTCCAAAATAAACCCAAGAAATACGGATTGACAAAGGAAAATTATGGGTAACAGCTTTGCTCGTGCGATATCCTGGATCCCAGACGAATCCACATCTGCAAGGGTATCCTCCACGAACGCTCAGAAAATCAAAGGATATGTTGGAATGCAAAGAAATAAAATAAAACAAGACTCGTAGATGGGTCATGATCCATCTGCCAACACTGAGCGTCTGCTTCTCAGTCGCCAGGCCATGCGATACTAGCGGAATTAGAATTGAACATCCGAGGTAGCTTCACGACCGAAGTCATGTTGTCGAGGTCAAAGGGTACAATCCAGCACTGCCCGCAGTATGCTTCTGCATGTCATCTTGTCCATCCTCGACGGCCCCTGTCTTGTCTCGGGAGCCGTCTCATGCCCCAGAAATTATTTTCCCCAAACGCCGAATCAGAAACCTGGGTTATTCATCCCGTGATTATTCGATAAACACTGCCGTTGAAAGAAATGGAGATGCGAGTCCAGAAACCAGAGTTGCAAGAAGTCTAGTAGGCTCCGAAGAAGTCGTCACCCCGGGTATTTGTAAATCAACCGTTTTATTCCGGCAACCAGCCAGAGTTCCAAGTGATCAATGGTTGAAAAGCGCTCAAAGCGAAGAATCGAATGCATGCCGCCCAATGTCCCTGTTTTGCGCCCGCTAATGACCAGTTGCCCCTAAACACAAAGAAATAATATCTAAGGATATCAATACGACCAAGAATGGAGACCAGACAGATTGTTTGGCCGACGCCTAGGGCGGCGGAGAATGTCGCTGACCGGGATGTCCCATGGCTTGCCCACTGAAGTCCGTCTGAAGTGGTTCGGCTGGATACATGGTGTAGTTTGCTCCGGCAACCCCAGGCATACTGTGCCAGGTCTGAAATCCCATCACTGCTTGCTGGTTGGCGTAAGTCACCGGGATTTGTGCTGCCTGCATTTCGGAAAGCGAAGGACTGGGGGTATTGTGCATCGGGCTCCCAGCCATCTGTCCCATCGGCTGCACGGGGCTCGTCATCCGGCGTTTGAAGTCAGGATGCATCTGCTGAGGAAAGTGATTCGGGTACTGCGACGGCAACTCCGTCGGTGCGGAAAGGGTCATGGAGCGCGCAGGCTGCATCGGCCAGACTGAGCCATCAGGCTGTATAGTAAACGCTGGGCTGGAGCTGATGATATGCGGCTGTCCTGGAACTGTTGGCGCGGGCATCGGGGAGTTACTCGCCAAGGGAGGGGCGACTGCAGCTCCTCCCGGAGCGAAGTAAACGGGGGAAGGACTGGCCATCTGAGGCTTGCCCGCCATACTCGCCAGGAGATTCGGGTCCGATATGGTCGTGAGTTCCTCCCAAGGTACGGACGGGTCGAGCGGCTGGGTGGCAGCGAATTCAGGCGCGATAGATGCATCTATAACAGTCAGATTGATAATAGTCCTTCTATACTCATCATTGCACGCGCTTCCATGCGCGATAATAAGCTGCGCAGCTCACCTGGGCTAAAGGACGACACGGGGGTTCCAGCAAAAGATGGAGCGTTGAATGCGGCCATATCCTGCCCGGAAGTCAAGGGCATCGGGGGATATGGGTAGAAGTTCTCCCCTTGCTCCGTAGCAACGGCGCCTGGAAACTGTGGTGAGGGCGACGTCTGAGAGGGTTCGCTGGCAGGAGTTTCCAGCTTCGATCCAGGTCGAGATCTCTTCTCCACGGGAGGCTGCTGGTCAACCGGGAAGAAGTGGCACTCCTTCCTCAGTCGGATACAATTCTCACATCGTCCTTGCGCGTCGTCAGCTGCGACTAAGCAACGGATCTTCCTTCGTCGGCAGTGCACTGTAATTATTGAGAAGCATGAGCATTTGAAAATCGATATATAGTAGGTCGCAATGCGGTAGGGTAAACCGGTGGATGAGATTAGGTAGTATAGGAGATTACTCGGGGCAAAGACAGGTTTCGCTTGTTAAGAGACTGACCACATGCGACTGAAGTCCGATGATATCCAAGCTTGTTGCGCTTCTTGTCCGCACTCGACGTATTTGAGCTCTCCATGGCCAAGCTTCCAGAATTCGGAGTCGAAGTCGTACTTTCGACGACCGCGGGCATAGCTCCAGAGAGCGGGATCTTGCAATTGATGCACAAACAATGGGCACATCAATATGCTACCAAGAAGATGATGGCGAGAAGGGGTGGTGAGTATATTTAGATACTCCACTGATCCCATGCGACAGGAGACACCGTTGGATGGATGTCGATCGGATAGCCCAATGCCATCACCAAGCCAGGCTGGCTGTCTCCGCAATGTGTCCGCCACGCAAGTGAACCTTTCAAGGGTTCAGAGGGGTGCCATCCAAATAAAACAAGAGACTTAATAGCACAAGGCAGGTCCCAGAACCGCCCCGCAGGATTCTTCCGAGGCTAGCGGTCTCCGCCCTTAGTTCTTGGGTTCTATCAAGAGCGATGGGCGATACTACCAACAACGGAGGAACGAGCGCAAGGAATGAAGAAAAAAAGGGACCTCTGTGCTAGGTGGCTTGGAGGGAAAAGAACAAGGGCTGAAGAAGTCAAATCAGCGTGACCCAGTCGAGAAAGACATCAAGTGAGAGAAGCTAATCGTGGGATGAAACGCCTAAGGACCCTTTTTGTGCGCAGAATGAACTACACATGTATTTGATCGCGCCTAACTCGTCTTGGATGCCCCGGTTCCAATCGAGTATAGTCTCAGCTCAGGGCGAAACAGAGAGAGACTACTGTACCACAGAATGACAAGCCTCCAACGTGTTGACATAACGATTGAGTTCGGGACTCGAGATCCAATCAGGATCTGGGTTTTCCTGCCAGTTTTCGGGACCGCAGCCACCGTCATCTCTTTTTTTTTTTTCTGTTTCTTTTTTTATGGACTCGATTTGTTTAATTTTCCTTTTGGTTATTTTGAGTCTTGCGCCGTTACGTCGATGGAGCAGGAAAAAAAAGACTGGTCCATGGAATGAAGGCCAGAGCCACCTGCGTATGGAGTATGGTCCTTTGACACGGCCTCGTCTGGCTATTGGCAGAAGAAGGCTGTGGTGCCATCTGATCAGATGCTGATTATTTAGTTCGACGGACCGTCAGCGAGTCTTGAAAGGTGGGGAGCCTTCTCCAAGTGGTGCCTCATAGGGACTAGTACTGCTCACGATACCTGTCAATCCCTACTGCACTCGTAGAATTCTTCCCCCGGCTGCCTCGATCTGATTTGGTCAAGGGAAAAGCTCAGGTTCGCCCCAGTAACGTGTTTTGTTGGCGCGGAACTACCATCCCCTGCCAGTTGCCAAGAATAGCGTCTTTTCCCCGAATCCGGGTACTGCGATTGGGAACTCGAGCCGCAGATTTGCTTGACCTTAACCCTGGGTGCGCTAGTTTTGAATGGAGGGTCCCCTGCACTGTTTCGCGTGAGGCGTCGGTTTCCCCAGCTGGAGAGAAAAAGCATGGAGGTCTGATATGCTTCAACCTGCAGAAAATAGGATACTATAAAAATGGTATTTACCGGGGCCCAAACCCTCCCCCCCTGCCCCCTTTTCGAATCAAGGCAGGGGAGTATATTTCCAGACGAATGGGTCGACTGGGTCTCAGACTGTTGTCCGTCCCAAAAAAAAAGGAAATAATATATCAAAAATAAAAAAAAAATCCTACAGTTGCAAGACAGAACAGACAAAATGTGAGATAGATAGACCTCGATTATCCACTTCATGCATTTAGGCCCAAGATGTGATTTTCCTCGTCGCTGTGTATCATATGATAGTCAGGCACGATTACGGCGAAAACCGACGGTGTAATCGCCAGTCACAGAATGCCGACATGATCGAGATCCCGGTGTCCATGGTAAAGCCCGGAGCTGGGCAGGTCAATTCCCATCACCCAAGGACTCGTATCAGTAATAATAATAATGCGTTCGTCGGCATGACTTGCAGGCACGCCGTCATTTTTAGAAGATCTGCTCTATCCAAAGCAAAGAGGTGACCGGTGGGGGGCCGACGAGAAGGTTTAATTAAGGAGCAAGTCGTCAGTGTAGCGCACTGGTACTTGCGCTTCAGAAATCGATCGCAAGGGCTTGGCGTACGCCCTAGAGAGACTAACATCAGGATCACCGTTCTCCGACACTTGATCCGACCCTGCGATTGAGGGGATTGGCACTGCGATCTGAGCTTCTGAGGTTAGAACAGATCATGGATTCCAGCATCGTCCTGGAATCCTTCCGGATGCGGGCTAGTCTGTGGGGAGGGAACGTGTCAGCATCGTGGCTTTGACTTCCCAGGCCATGATCCATGCCAATAGGCGCCGCCGCCAGTACCAGTAACAGAGCCGTGAGTCTCCTCTGGCTGGTCCATGGCTCTCCCTCCCAGCATCGCACGTCAGGACGCCCCATACGGGCTGCCCCTTTTTATCCAGAGCAGGTCCCCGCCGAAGATCTTGCCCGTGCGCGGCGGGGGCCATGGACGAGACTGATTGTAAATGTGACCGTTCGCCGCCCAGTGTGCTCGTCTAAATAAACCCTATGTCCGTTATTAATATTGTATCAATACGCACTCGTCAAGGGATGCTGGAAACCAAAGCGAATTGCGATGGGTCGTTATTCGGTGAATTATCTGATTGGACCGCGACCAGGAGAGCGACGGTGACGATCACTGGAAACCAATCTTCACGGTCCGACGGATGGCAGATGAAGAGATGTCAGCCCTGTTCGAGGGGTCATCACCGACTCGAGGGGCCGTTTTGATGCACAGATCCGGGAACTAAAAGAAGATCCCAGAAAGTGTAGTATAGTATGCTCATGATTGATGATTGATGATTTGTTATTGATAAGTACATAGTACATAGATCCATCGATAGTTGACTTTGATGATGAATGAATGGATGGATGGATGGAAACCCAGTTGCACACAGTGATGGGTTGGTTTAACTGACCTGGGGAGAGAGACAAGCTCAGCGCGAGGAAGTTTCACTTTCACTCGGACGACGGGCGGCGATCGGAGATTACGTCAGCATCATCCACGGGCGCCAAGAATCTCCGATCGCGGGCGGCGTTCTGAGGCTAGTCCAGATCGGGCTAGCTAGCCGAGGCCCTTCAGACCCTAGTCCCGTGAGCGCAAGAGCCACAGCAGAAGATCGTCGTTTTGCGTTCCTCCGTTCTCGCGATGAATGCCATTAGGCTATTTATTTAGTATTATTATCATTATTATTTTGATGAATCTCCCAGAGTCCCAGCTCTCGTCGTCACCGCCACTGCTCTGGCGCGCCCTGGGCTTGCAGCAGCCACAGCGTGTGCGCCATTTGCCTTCTTCGAAGTTGAGCGCCTTCGGGTGTGCAAAACCTTAATGTCCCTCCGTTGACGCCGGCGACATGGATACCAGAAGCTTGTAGCCTATGATTGTTCGGATAGGGACCCAATCCCAGTAATGTATGTAGTCCAAGTCCCAGTGGAACGATTCCAGAAGGTCATCACTCGTTCCCCAGAACCGCAGAGTCTACTACGTACTTAATCAGTTAAGAGTATCCCCTGGGTCCCAGAAGAAGCCCTTTTGATTATTCCTTGGCACCACGCGGTGATCAGGGGGGAAAGAAACGCCGGAAAACAAGAGACGCGGTAATATTCCGGCAGATTATCTGCGGAGCAACTAGGGAAAACCAACAGAAAGAGAATAATAATAATAACAATAAGACCTACTCCGGAGATTGTAGTAGTAATAATAATCATCATAATAATACTTTTAAAATAGACAACGGTCCACAGCCAGTGGGCGAGACCGTGACCCAGGAAGGACATGGCCCTAGGGCCCTGCAGCGGCACGCACGTGCCATGTTCATTTCAACAAGTTCGTTTTAGTTGCGCTGGGCCTGCAGTTGGCCAGTCAGAATTTAGGCAAAACGCAAAGCCAACCAAAAGGAAAGCCGAGGGACCCCGGAGCGTGTTGGAAAGGTAAATCATAACAGGTATAGATAGGTAGATAGTGGTATACTGGTATAGTAGATAGTATCATCGAGATTGTTTGGAGATTGCCCCTTTCGCGCCCATGTCGCCTAACCTAGCATGGGCGGATGAATGTGCTCCCTTTCTCTCTCCCCTGGCCCGCCAAAGGTATTCATCTCCGACAAGCTTCTGCAAGGCCGCGCGGCAGTGCCCCTGGCGGCCAATAACAAGGCGGTCGCAGGTAACGCCGCCGACGTACTGCGCGCTGGTGGTGCGGCTGATCCGCCACATTTGCCTCACCGCGTTGGGCTGGAGAGAGAGAGAGAGAGAGAGAGAGAGAGAGGTAGTAGTAGTACTGTTATTGTTAATTCTTCTCATCTTGATTTCTTGATACATGGTTTCATTAATCTCCGCGGCGCTTGCTTGGTTCATGCGGTCATATCTGATCTCTGCACAGTGCAGGGCCAAGAAGCCTCTTGCGCCGTACCTTCCCTTTTCCGGCGCTTCATCCATCGCGATTTCCCTTCTGTCCATAACTGACGCACTCGGAGACATCCTGTCGCATACTTCGCGTAAGCATGTAGCTATAAGGAGGTGGCGATGCTGGTCTGTTTGCTCATCGGTGTCTCCGGTTCCCCCCTTTCTGTGCAGTGTGAGGAATTCTGTACTCCCGTAGTCATATCATTTCCGTCAAGGCGTCCCGTGCAGAAGTCCCATCCTCGTTTTCTTTGTAGAATGGCATTGTCGTGGAAAACCAGTAGTTATCTCCCGCCCAAACACAGATACTCTTTATGGTACTATGCATCACGGCACTTCATGAACTCGATGTTGCTGTCAACAAACAAACAGCTTGCTCAAGGATGTATCTGTAACTAACCAGCGGACTTCGCCATGTGGAAGCCTTAGAGAAACTGGTGTCCTGGATAGCCACAGCCCCCTTTGATATGGATAGATGATGATGGTTGCAATGACCGCCAGTATTCAACAACCCTCTCGTACATTGTGATATCAGATATCATCAACTCAATCTCCGACACGGATCACAATCCCAACATCTACCGCTCTGGCCTCTCTGATGCTGCATGCGAGACATGTTCTTCCCACCCGGCTTATCACCGCGCTGGTCCCGACAGAAGCACACCATGCCCGTGCGAAAGCCTCCCGATCCTTCTCGCCCCGCGCATCCAAGATCCATGTCTCTGAAAAGGGTGACTCAGAGCTCTTATTCTTGATGTTGTTGTTTTTGTTTTTGTTGTTGCTATAACGCGACGGAAGCGCGGATGCGCCAATATCAGCAAGGGATCTTAGAGGGATATACCGATACGGATAAGACATGTGAAGCGGATGACCAGGAAGCCGGTCTGCTGTTGCATGTTCAGATCTCCCACTAGTTGGCTTGGGCTGCTGGATGGTGGTCTTGTCCGGGGACGGGTTGCGGCTGTTGGTCGCGTATCCGTGTGGTGGCAGACATGCATAAGAGGAGATAAAATGGGTATTGTAGGTCAATGGAAACGACAGGATGGTCGCTTTAGAAGCTGCCACGTCCATCAAGCGGAAGGCGACATATGCCTTTTTGGCGACCGTGATACCGTTCTGCATGGTCTCCTGTTCAGTTTTTCTAGATAGGAATAAGCCCTCGAGCGTTATCGCTGTCGTGTCCGTGACGGGTTGGTCCACAGGCAACGAGAATGTATCACTGGAAAGGGCACCGATTCCAAGAGGTGTAGATTGTAGCGCCAGCTGGGTTCCGTGTTGAATGCGCGGTTTCCGTGACTTCTGCGGCACCTCTCTCGTCTCGACTTCGAGCCATGTATCTCCAAGAAGTTCTCCTGTGTGCACGTCGCGAGGGACAACATGGCTTTTTATCCAACCCATGCAACCTGTAGTCTTGTCCAAGCAAGAGAGCACTCTTCCAACGACTGACATTTTGCTCCACCAGCTTCTATCATCATACACAAATCCACCGTACAGATTTGCAAGTGGTCCAAGTGCCTTCATGGCTTTGGGGTCATTTTCAAGGACCGTCGCTATCAGAAAGTGACCGATTGCTTCGCCTGGAAGAACTAAACCAGACAGCCACGTACGGGACATCCAACCGCCTACGTCACGTTCGTAGGAGCCGTCTTTGCCGACATTCTGAGGCCACTGCAGTAGGAGTAAACGCCGTGACTGGCTTTTGCGGTACATTTCGTTCTTGTCCAATGTCTGAACATACCTTTCCGGGAATGTGTTATGGACTGGTGATGCGTAGATGCTAGCAGTATCCGTGGAGCTGTCCCCAGATTTGAATTTGGAGCTCAGCTTCTCCTTCAACTCATCGGCTCCAGGCCATTCGATGCTCTGTGCAAAGATAAAAAGGCCCTGCAATTGCTTTTCTGGATGGCGAGGGACCAGAACATAGTCCCATGCCGACTCTGGATCAGCACTGGTGACCAGAGCGTCTCGGTGCTTATGACTACCGATTCTTGACAGGAGACCATGCCTACCAGCTGGTCTGTCCTGCGGAGGGACCTGCCCCTCTTCGTGGTGTGCTGGAAAATGCTGATAGTGTTGTACATCCACGTTATCGAAGAATCGGCGCACCAGAATGAGATCCCAGTCCACCTTGCCAGAACGCAGTTTATCAAATCGCTCAATATCCTGTATGGTGAGTATGATATCCTTTGACTCCTCAAGTATACCCACTCGAACAACAGCATCAACGCGTATCAGTAATTCCGCTGCTAGCAACATCTGTAGTAAGAACCACTTTCTATCAAGACCACGCTCACTAAAAACCCTGTAATGATCAGGAGGGCAGTCTTTCGTACCCAGGAAATCTCCGTCCGGATGAGGCGGCATTTCCCAGAGAATTTGACCAATGCGCATACGCCACTCCGTCAGACTGAAGTCGAACCAAGCTCCTTTGGTAGCCAGTACTTCGGTCAAGACTTCGATCTGGGTTTTCAGACTGTGACGATCCAAGTGTTCGAATGTCCTCGTCGGGGGATAGAGAAATTTGGTAAATAGATTGTCGTACAGTGTGCGTGTAGATTGCCTGTCCAGCACAGTTTTCGCACTTCTTTCCACAAGGATCTCGTGACGTATTCTACTCAATTCCTGAAGTCGATTGACCACGGATTCAATGGTGAAATCCCGAACCCCGATACGCTTCCATCCAGGAGGTCCTTCCATGAGTAGCTTGTGACGGTCGTGGACTATATCGTTGTTGCATTCTGAGTAAGGACTGCTGAGATGCTCCATAATGTGGAATGCTTCAGAGACCGGCAAGGCAGCAAGTCTCTGAAAATCATTGCCTTTTGGCACAGGCGGTCCTTTGTATTTTTTATTATCGGCAACGGGCAGCTCGAGGAAATGACGAAACCCCACAGAACCCGGTTCCTTGCCGTTCATGGATATCATGTTTGGAAATTCGAAGACGCCTACGTCAAAAGAAGCCCGTCTTATTACATCGCTGTTTCTCCGGTCAGTTTTCCACATCATGGTGTGCCCCTTCTTAGACCATTCATCTGGCACTGGGAGATGGGCATGTAATGTCGACAGCGTAAAGGACGGGTGCATCAGTGGTTGCGTATCCCACAGATCTTGAATCATAGTGACATGCAAATCCCATGGGAAAAGCACCTGCGGGTACCAATAATCGTTCCTTCCCTTCTCAAGAATGAAGTGCGGCGCCCCAGAGAAGAAGTGTTTGAGATCCCACTTAGTGAGATGAGAAATGTTGTGAGGATGTTTGTGAGAATGCCCTGATTGATCACCCTTTGGCTTTTCCGTCGTGTTCAGGGCCATTTCCATAGCATCATGTATATTCGTAGGCTGCTTCGGCTCTCCCATGAATGAAGGTGGGCTGGATGACAGAGGTGACGGGGAAGCATCACTATCGCGATGATTGTCAGATTCATCCTTTGGGATCTGGATATCCACGGCTAGAGGTGCATCATTGTGCTCCTGGACGCAGGTTAGTAAAGGTCCGTTCAGGAACCTCAGACGGCCTGGAATTTGCACCAGCAGCAAATGTATAGCTGCAGAAAGATATACGTACAGCATTTTCTTTTGCCTTCAGAGAATGTGACGAGGTTGTCTCCGTGCTACCACCACTCCCACCAGTGCCACTGCGCAACCGGCTCAATAATGACATGCGTACCGGCGAGACGTCCTCAGGCGACCTCGACCCTTCCATGTGTGAAAGCCGCTTCATGGAGCCCGGTCTCCCTGTCTCATTTTCCGATGAATCAGACGCAGGAGGCCGTATTATTGGCAACTTATTCACTCCTTGGAACAGAGGCATTTTGTATGAATACCCACGCCCACTTCCCCTAACCACTTCCTATTTAGAACGTCGAGCTTATCTCAGAGCGACTGTTTTCAACAATCTAGTTTTGTCCCCCGGATCAGCGACAGATCTGCATGTGACATATGAGATGCAAGCAATTGGCAGTCGAAACCTAACCTCGTTTCCTAGTTGGAGAACCAAGCAAGGCGGGGTACGTAGTCCTCAAAAACGCCTGCAACTGAGAATCAAGACACAAGAAGATGTATGTACTTACTCATCAGAAGGGGAATATAGGTGATAGAGGGAATCCTAGTGGCAAGGCCTCAAGCTGCCTCAGGGTTCGAAATTGTCAAAAGAAGTTGGGTGAGTAAAATGGTTGAGCGCGACCACGACCATCATATGAGCAGCAAGCAGGGCCATGGAGCGGAGCGCAGCTTCTAGAACTGCGGCCGGCCGGAGTCTGGGAGTTTTGTGCAAGCCCGTACGTAGCTGCACTTGGTTGCCGACCGTCCGTCGGATCTGTATACATCTAGCTAGCAACATTCTTTGTCACTACTAGATGACCCGTGCCACGGGGATGCCAACAGGTTTATCGAACATGGTCGGTTTCGGCCTTGGGGCGGCCTGACGTTTGCCAAGTCTCCAATGGAAAACAACATGACAGCCGGATCCGTGCCGAGATTTCCGAGAGCATCATCAAGCATCCCGATCGAAAGAAAACCCTCCTGATTGCCCTTGTTATTGTTTGGTATATGGTATTCAGGCACGCAGGGTTGGGTAACTGGAGGTTGGAATTAACAACATCGGTTCTCCGCGCGGATAGGGCTGTTCGGATCCTCTTACTGTGGGGTTCTGAACTGGAGATCTCGGAGGCGCCGGATGTAGGATGTTGTTTCTACTGAGCAGGCTTGTTATAGGGATTCTCTTTGATAAGGGGAAACCCTTCACTAGTTATTCACAGATCTATGCTTATATGAACATGTATGCCATGCAATTGTCTGCTCATATGTAGTTCTTTCTGCTATTTGACTAACAAACTAGTTGCGGAAATTGCATGCCATTCAAATCAATGACTTTAGGTGGCGCGGTGTCTCCGGAGTTCTTGATCATGACATTGAATTGATCAGTCCTATCTTCATGAAGCGTCTTGCAACACGATACTGCAGGGATTTGCCTACAGGTGCTCGTGGAAGAAGCTCAGAACGGTCTTGTAACCCCTCTCATACTCCTTCACGACTTCCGGGTCCTGAAGGTTAGAACGAGCAGCCATCCAGCCGTGGATTTGAGTGGGGAAAGTATCGACAAGTTTGGGAACAGTCAAGTTCTCCTTGTAGGCCTTGACATCGTCGACAGGCTCGTCCTTCGATGCCAGCAACGCCATCGGCACCTTTACCTGCTTCGCGTCGTTCGGGTCTACCATGGCCGGGTGGGCCTGTGCTGCAGCCTTGAACAGCTTCTCATCCTTGCCTGCTGTCAGACTCGCGATCTTTCCTCCCCAGCAGAAACCCAGAATACCCCAGGATTCGAACTTGCCGCCGCTGGGGGCCAGCTTGTTAGCCTCCGCTACAATTTCAGGGATCTTAGAGAGTATCTTCGGAGGAGCAGCCTTGGTGGAGAAGAACTCTCCCAGTTTCTGCTTGTGTTCTTCAGTCTGCGGGGGGTACCACGAGATGTCCGCAGGGCTACCCTCAAAGAAGTCAGGGATGAACACCCTGTACTTCTTCTCTGCGTCGGAGTTGGCGAGTATATCGGCTCCCTGGAGAGTCTGTTCGAAGAAGCCAAAGATATCTACAACGCGAAGAAGGCAATTAGCAAATTCCAATCGCTATTATCAAAAGCACGACTTACCGTAGATCACCAAGATGGCCTTGGAAGCAGACTCGGGGCCAGTCACGTCTGTTTCAGTTAACAATGGAGCTGTCCAACGAACGTCACTAGAAGAGATACAACTTACATGTCTTCAAGCCAGCGATGGTCTTGTACTCTCCCTTGGGGCTGTAACCCTTGGTGACAACGGGCGGGATGCTGCGATGCAGCGGGAAAGGTCAGCACACTGTTCACCGTGGTCCACGGAAGGGTGACCTACGAGCAGCAGGCCTTACTGATGTTCGACATGGCTGCGGAACTACAATGGATAGATCTGAATGTGCTAGCGTGGTACGGTTTCAACGCGGTCGCAAGATGCGGTCTTCTGAGGGGGGTAGTTAGAAACTGTTGGTATCTCATGGGAAACGAAGACAGATAAGAAGCGCACGAACAGTCTTGCTCCTAGTCTAATTATTATTAATTAAGAGGAGAGGGCTTTGATCTGTTTCTCAGGACTAACAGTCTAAGTCTGTTTCTCTCGCTTTCAAGTCGACCGCGTAACTAGTTAATCAACAGGTGCCAAAGCACAGCAACCCCGCCAGCACGACGTCATCTCGGCGACATCGGCAACGCGAGAGACGATCGAACTTCCGCTCTCCCTCAATGGAAACAATCGACATTCTTCCTCTATCATAACTAATCATAACTAATCATTGTAAATAGCCGTTCATGTGAATTGATACCCATGGTGATGTGGGCCGGATAAACGGTGGATAAATGATTACGGAGCACCACAGAACCGTTATAATATCGGTCTATTCAGTGTTCGGATCGCGTCTATATTAGCCAATTTCCACTTGGTATTCAAAATCGAGATCCAAAAGTCCTTTTTATGATGATTGAAGTCTACGTTTGAACTAATTTCTCAAACAGTTATGCAAACAATTATTCAACAGAGCTTATGTTGCATAATTGGTCCTTTTCAAGCAGTGGAAGGCCCCAATAGGCATATAGAGGACCTTGGGAGAATCTAGTTCAGTTTCCAGTACCTACTTGACGGTCCAATAGCACAACTTAAGTTCCATAAATCTCCTATTGGGCAGTAGGACAGTTGCTATTTGGCCGAAGCTCTATAGATTATAGTTGGGTCCTTTTTGTTTCTGTTCTAGTCTGAAAAATGATAGAAATATCTATAAACCACGTCGTTAACTATACACAGTGAAAAGAAAAGAACTAGGTTTATCTTTGACAAACAAATTGGAATAACGATTAATGGACCTGAAGTTATTGTCGGAGCCTGCCTACAGGTAGATCTCCTGTTGGGTTTCTCCCACGCCTTTCTAGCTCCACCCACAGAGATAATCACGCTGAGCTAGTTGCTAGAGAATTCAAGCTCAGCGAGCTTCGCTCCAGAGTGATTAAGACTAGGACCTTTTCCTTCTCTGTCTTGCCCAGAACTTTTCGCTTCTGTTATTGCAGACCTCATGCTATATCTGCCAATCTGAAATTTTCTCTATTCAACGTTTTGCACTTCTGACACTACGAAGGAGAGAGCTCTTGTATTTACAGGAGAACATGCGATATTCACTGATTCAGTATACCTGTATTTTTCGTCATAATCATCTATCGCATCGATTGCATTGCCAGGGATATTGGATAGAATCTCTAATCTTGTCTAGATAGGAGCTTGTGAGATTTCTTTAAGTCTCAGCAGCACAATACTCTTCCTAGGTCTGGGATAGATGAGACTGGGCTTTTCAAGGTATGTCATAAAAAGCATAATTAAACACATGGTGCGCTGGATTTCCCCGCGGATACGGCTACAATGTTACTCTGCTGTCAAGTCTTTTTTATAACTTTCATTCAACGAACGGTTGTATAGAGAATCTATACCAGGACAGGGCCAGATTGAATAATCTAATATCTATACTTTACTGTAGGTTGATGACGACTTGAAGATGATTTAAGGTCTCTCCGCCTGTTTGTCGAGTCAAATCATACCTACTGCTCTTGCTGCGTATAGAGCAATTCCTTGTTCCACTACAGCCTTCAATGCGGGATAGAAGTTACAATCTTATCACTTTGCTTCTTGTATATGATAGGAGATACTATATTGTCAAGGTTTTTGGTTCATAATTAGAAAGTCATTGGAACGTTTACAGGAACGTGCATTGATGAATCTCGGCTTTACCCGATTTCATAATTGTCAAAAGCGTATTTCACTTCTTAATCCATAGGGCAACCTGGTGTCTATAGATTTATAGTTTCTGTCCGAGACAGAGATCCGCGAAAAGACGTTTCTGAGGACTCATGGCATGCTAGGTTCCAAGGGAAAGAGAGAAGGTAACTTATGAAAACTAAATAGGCTCTCTGATGGTGATACGTGACATGTTATGTGGTAGAGTGGATTGGCATCAATGGACCGTCTATTAGATTCCCTCCACGGCTTTGAATAGATGTTTCACAGTGAGATTTACTCAGAAGATATATCACCAGAGACTGACCTTTCAAGAGGTTATAGCGATCTAGAATAATATTCTCGCTCATTATCTGATTCATATGCTCTTACCTACATTCTAGGGGATAAGGCAGAGAAATTATCAGTGCAGGCCTATGGATTTGTGACTTACAGAATCTTATGATCCACCGGATCGTTCATATATACAGCTTTCCATAAGGACAGTATATGCCAGTGAGTTTCAATGACTCCGTTTACTTTAGAGAAACTATAGATTCCAGAAGATCTGATATACATCATCATATTCCTTAGAAAAATAGCCGTCTTTACTTAACGTCTTTCTGTGATAGATGCTCAAATATGGATACAAGAAGACGCTCCAGTTCCCAATACACAGGCCTGTTTCTACGGCTTGGATATACTATACATATATCTACTAGCTAGTACGCTGACAGTTACCATTTTATGGTCAGGATCAGACGAAATAGATAGCAAGTGCATGAAAACCACGTGTTCCTTTGTGTTATATGAACCAGAGTTCTCAGTGAAAACGCTAATATAACATCATTTCTATTGCAGAAATAGAGCCTCATACCCCGTACACCTCTCGTCATCACCTCCAATAATGAACGAGTAAAGGACGAGGCGGTGGTTGGCCTGGCGCGGGGAAATAATCCAGGAAGTAGAGGCACGTGGTCTGTGCTCGATCCTCTCTAGAAGGTCACCTGATTCTCTTGGATGGAATCGCCTCCCATCCGATCTCAGCTTTCGAGTGCCTCTCCATGGTTCCACCGACACTCTAAGTCTTCCTGCTATCCCCAGTACGGAGTACTCTACGCCGTACGCAGTCTAGAGTATGTATGGTATCTCATGGTGGGTCAGCCCACTAACGCTGACAGTTTTAGGGGCCTTTCTTACAGCAGACTAGAGCGAAATACCTGGGTACCTGAACCGAGACTTGGTGGTCTCGACCAGTCCGGAAACGACCTAACGTGCGCTTTGAAGTCCTCTAATTAAAGGCAGACTTTGGATTAGGTGATTCTGACAGATAGCCTCGCTTGAAAGTCGCATACGCATAATTTTGGGCGACCAGGGTTCCCATAAACCGAGTCCAGGTATCGGGGGAACCATCAAAGGCTCCGGAGCCAGGCTTTCGCGGGTTCTTCGGTTCCTGAGACGGATCACAATCTATCGAGGTCTCGGTACCCCTGAAGCAGAAAGTGGGATTCTGCAGGATATCTTCGAACAAAACAAAAGAATAATAATCTGATTCTGACTAGGGGGTCTTAATAGATCTGGTTCTGGCTTGTCACATTCCGCTGCATGTTCAGCCGAAACTTTACGCATGACATGAGCAAATCGGGTTTCGCCCCCAGACGATTCGTTCGTATGCTATTATTTGATGATCCGGTGATTGCTCTTCCAGAGTTAGGAAGACTGTGTTTTGCGAAAGATGTATTCATCACTGCTAAACTCTATGACTCTATCGGGTCTCCATGCTCAGCTCACTTTCCTGGAAGAAGCACTGGAGATATCGAAATTTGACGAGATCAAGTACTATCGGAGAATTTATGGCTCAAGAATCTGTCAGTCATTCATTCATTCAGCATGTAAGACGGTCAATCGGGTCAGCAGCATGATTTGCCGGCAAATCCTTCAGCGCACAACTACCTGTGCTTTATGCGAGAGCTTTGCGCTAGCACAACCCCAAGCAGTGCTACCGGTTTTGAAGCACCCATTCAACCATGGGGCTCTCGTTATTATTATTTACGGCTTTTTCAGGATCCTGAATGGGGATGGGCCGAAAACCCTGGTTGGCCCAACTAACCTTTACGGAGTACGTCTGCACTGACCTACGGATTAGACCTGATCTGGAGCTCTGCGTTGTTGTTCTCGTTCAGAAGCCTAGTAAAATTACCCTCTTACCGCTTTCTGCAGCAGAATCGACGACATTATCACTCTTTTCCCTATTATTGTCCTCGATAAAGCAGATTCTGCCTCGCGCTAGCAACGAAAGTACCCGATGCTTGATTGTTGGGGTTGAGCCCCGAGACTAGGCTCTGGAAGCACGCGCTTGCAGGTAGAGGTCCGCGCGACCGTGATTAACACAGGAATCAACGATCTGATGCGCATTGGATACCATCGATTATGGTGGCTCTATGCAATTCAGATATATGCATATCGATCGTGGACGCCAAGCCTTGTCAGCATTGACGCCCAGGTTGCTCAGAAGTGGAACGTCCCTGCAGAGTGGAAGCTCGTCGCACAGCTTGTCTTTGGCAAGCCTGAGCGTGAGCGGCCAGCGACTGATAGCACTTAGCTATCTCAGATTGACCAAGGAGAGCGCTTTGAACACAGACTCGCAGCATGCGACCGCTTCCGGGCAAAAAAGCATGAGAATACACTCGTGGGGCAAATAATAATGATGACATGTCCGCGTGAGCTTATAGGATATTAGGCCTCCCTGCCTGATATGGAAAGGTGAGACTGTTTAACTAATAATGAACAGAAAACCCAAAACTAAAAGCATAGTCGCTCTTATAGATTGCATTCTCTGTCCCACTGTTGGCGCTAAAATACTGGCGCTTTCGACCACATGGCGCGGAACAGGCAAGTCTGGTGTTGATGATAGGCACCCGAGCCCCTCGCATATGCTGTACTACACGAGTCGTCAGAGATGGAGATCGCTGTGCGGGAAGTTTGGTGCAAGCGAATGTCCCAATATAAACGCGATATACCCTTTGACTCTTTGTCGAGATGCAAAATATCTCAGAATACAATTCTGCCAATGTTGTAGCATAGGTAAGGTTAATGAGGTCAAGTGTGCGCCAGTTCCTTGATTGATTTCTCAGCAAAGTATAGAGAAGGACTAGCAGCGACACCGTTTCTATGGATTCTCAAGCGCCGCTATCCAGCGCATCGTCAGATTTGCTGTCATCTGCGGCACCACTCATATCTCGCAACCTAGAATGACAAGTTGAACTTAATCCCCAATACCGACAGACTGGCGCGGAGATGCCCGGTGACTCTGCGGCTTGCTGCTGTGCCTTTCTCCTGGGATAAGCCAGTAGCAGCCACCCGTGATGACCCTGTCATTAGCGGACCATGGGCCGCTGAGACACCATGCAAACTGCAAAGAACAGCGGTGCGGATCCTGCTCTCCCCAACTCCCACCGGTTCCTCGGATGGACGCTCTTGATTAGCGCTCTGCGTCGAGCGCATGGTTGGCAGGGATATCCCGGCGCTCCGTACGAAGGACTGAGATCAGTCGAAGTCACTGCTATTGTGGGTTTGCCTTGGTTCGAAGGAAACACACAATAATAATAACCGCAGCAAGACCAGTGTTTTTAATGTCGTTCACCACAGCCTTATTCGTTGGTATCTATGCAAGGAACTACTCCTTCCTCTGTTAGGTGAGCACTGTATCCACTTGTTATGTTATCGAAGTGAACAAGAGGCCATGTCTGGATTGTTCGGGCATCGCTCTCTACTGTTCTCAGTAAGACCGGCTGAGCGGCGAAGACCCCAGAACCCATGTCATCTCCGAAGTGAAACCTGATGATTACCATCATGGTCCCTAATAATAATAACACAGACGGTCCCCATCCGCGGCCATCGCCTAATCGCCTAGAGTATGGTGCTCTCCTACAGGGTCGGATCTAACCAAGATCATGGATGGCGGCCACAGGCTCCAGACTGTCCTGCTGGCTCGTATTACTCTAGCGGCAATGTCCAATCCGATCTGGTCTTGAGCGAATCCCGGTCACCGGCCTAGTCAGTGAGTGGCCTGAGCTGCCTTTTGCTCGCTTTTGTGATTGCGCTGCTGCAGCAAGACAATCTTGCAGGTTATTTGCGAATAGCCCCCGACGCAAACCCTGGGCTACCAATGCCCACTTCCCTCTGTGCGGACTCTATGGATAGCGCTGCGCTGCGTCTGGCAGACCACTCGAGCGCGCAGACGACGTCGCTCCGCATTGCCGGAGTCTTTTTTCTCTGTTTCTTCCAGCTTGTTCTCTGGCCGAGATTTCCAGTCGCTGGTCCCGCCCCCCGGCCTGACCACCAAGCGGGTGGCGCCCGGTCCCTCGATTAGACGAGAGACCCATTGAGCCTTTCCCGTCTTCCCAGAAACGCCGAGCTGGGGCAGGGTCTGGGAAGGCCTATTCGACCCAGTGATATTATTGCCAATGAGTTGGGACCGCTGGTTAACTTTGCCGGAATAGCGCTCGAACTCGTCGCTCGAGCCCGCTGCCCTTGGTACTGCCCGGAGCGGCAAAACCATGGATGGGGAAAAGGCGACAAAGAGAACGGCAGTCTTTCGACCTTGCTCCAGATCCTACAATGGCTCGAACTGACTGGGGGCCAGAGAAAGAGCTCCTTGATAGCGTAAACTCTTGACCAATAGTACTAGACGTTCTTTTGGAATACGGTTTATCTTGTTCTGTTTTTTCGCCCCTCATACGATCAAACAGTTGACGGACTGTTGGACTTCCTTTTTTCCCTTTCGACCCACTTGTTTTTGACTCGGTCGCGCACCCAAAAAGAAAAGGAAAAGAAGAAGAAAAAAATAATAGGCAGCTTTAGGGCGTGAGGGTCGTCGGAGGAACGCGACGCAAGGAGTACGCTCCTAGGCCAGAGTCGAAAAAAAAGAACACACCCAGTGGACCTGAATCTCCTTTGCATACGATCAGACAGAGGACTCTTTACATTCAACCTACCGGATGCTAAGCTTATATTCCTGACCCCAAAGAAGGAAACATATCAACATTCCAAGGGCGTCCCCAGGAGCGACGATCGTCCATTCTCCACCCGAGCCATCTATCAACACCCAGATTTCTAGATCCCCAAGGCACATCACGGATGGCATCTCCCCCTTGACGAGTAATTAGTCTTGCATCCCGGCGAATATCCACCGCGGAGCTCTCGTCCAGGGATCGCCTCAGCCCCCCGAGCTGGACGTTTCGGCCACCCGCCAGACGGACTTCCTTGAGCCCTGTCAACCACGTTGCCGTTGATCACTCCGTCGACAGATTCTCTTCCCACCATCCACTCTTCCTGATCATTCGACGGAGTCTGCCCCAGCGCTTGTGCTGGTGCTGGTGCCAACCTGACGGGGTCCCCCGCGCTGGCTAGACCGCGGCTGCACGATCGTGGAGCCACGCTCGAGCACCCACCGGTCTGGGTACATCTCTCTCCATCTTCCTGGAGGTGCTACTTCTCTCCTTCTCTCTTTTACCAGTAAGACTCTGGGCGTTGGGTCCTGTTCGTTCCTCTCAAAAGGCCTGAACCCCAGCTGATCGTCAGGCATCGTTGGACAACTATATCCATTGCCGTTCTCGTCAGTTGTCTTTCTTCCGGGACCCGAACAGGTGATGCTCTAAGAGCGCAAAACAAAGGACTCGCGCGTCGACCATCCCGGTCTTTGTCCTCGTCGATTTAGGTGTTAGTCCCGCGTCGATCCTCTTGTGTGACTGTCTACGATCAGCCCTGTCCCGCTCTGATCGCGTTGAGCGATCATCTCCAATCACTGCTTCTTCGTCCGAGACTGAGATAACTCGGACGTCTTCATCCTATCCTCCTTCCCTTGGCGTGTATCTCTTGGATTGTCGCAGAAGAGCGGCTCCAAGGCACATTCCTGATCGCCCCTCCTGGATCCCTCAGGCGTACCTGGTGGACGTTACTGGATATACGGAGCTAACACGTCGTTCCATTCTGCGAATCTCCCAACGACTCTTCCAACTCCGCCTACGGCAGAGACCGTCGTCCTGCGGCCGTCCGGGCAGACGAGAGATCCGTCCGGCAATCTGGCGGCCTTAGCAGTTCCGCCGCCCGGTATGGGTACGGCGATTGATGGACTGACAGCTTCTCAACCATTGACGTCTCGAAGGCCAGCAGCACAAAGCCTGCCGAGTTTCGAGCTACCTCCTCCTCCATCTCAGTTCCCATTATCCAGCTCAAACCAAAAATATCATTCTCAGTCTAACATACATCCTCCAAACGTGAGCGTTGGCAACTTGCTGACTCCTCCATCTAATCACTCCGGGGAAACAAACAACACTATCCATTCAGGCGCAGCTTCAAATACGGCCTCAGCCTCACAGGAAGTGCCTTCTTATTCTTCCGGTTACTGGCCGGGACAGAACTCCTACGGATACGGTTCTGCAACGGCGCCTTCGCAGTCGTGGAATCAGGGTGTTCATGCGCTTTTCCAGCCGCGTGGATATTCGCCCTTAGTAGGTTCCCTTGGTCGCAACACAGCCGGTACGCCCAACACAAGCGAAGGCATGTCGCAGCCATACGATATCAATCAGCTTCCGCCTTTCCAGCAATCTCTTCCTGTTTCATCTCCTACTGTGGCATCGCCCGCGGTGCAGCAACATCAAGCCATGGCGCATGCGATGATGAGCGCGCAGGGCACGCCGCCCAGTTCCGCGCCTCCCTCTCAGCAATTCACGGCTGCAGACCCATACGCATCGAAGCCTGCTTCGACACCTATATTTGGAGGCTCGCAACAAGCTCCGAATGCTCCTTATCCTTCGTATGGCGGCCCTTCACCAATCTCACACGGTGGGCTAGGTATACACCCAGCTGGTCCGAGAATGCAGCCTGGACCAAGTCAGTCACCGACTGGGCAACCCACGCAATTCGGATACAATCGCCCTCCGTGGCCATCATATTCCCTCCCCGCGATGAGCGGGCCGGTCATGACGAATGTACATAGCCCCAATGGTCAGATGTCACTTATGGGCGGCATGCAACCGGGAGTTTTGCCTGGCTTCAACAGCGGACAGGTTGCGAGCATGCACCATATGTATGGAGGCCATCCTTCTCACCAGGGACATGGACAGCCAGGTCCACCCAACGACCGGCCGTTCAAGTGCGATCAGTGTCCGCAAAGCTTCAACCGAAATCATGATCTCAAACGGCATAAGAGAATCCATCTTTCAGTAAAGCCGTTCCCATGTAATCATTGCGACAAGAGTTTCTCGCGGAAGGACGCATTGAAGGTGAGCTAGCGAGGGTTATTTCTTTTTTCTACGGGCCTCACTAACAACCTTTTTTTCCTCTATAGAGACATATTCTGGTGAAAGGCTGCGGCAAGGATACATCTTCTGAAGGTGGAAGTGCGAATCAGGCTGGGTCCGTTACATCGAGCAAGGATGAGGACGGGGCAGTCACGAGGACCGATTCAAACAGCGACAAGCAGAGCCCTGTACTCAATGGGCATGCCTAGAGGTTATACAGTCCGTCTAGAAGCGGCTCCTGCCTAGGACCTCGTCCTAGTATCTCGATCCTAGTTCTCCTCCTCTCCCTTTCGCCTCTTCTTTTCTTTTTCCTCGACCATTTTCCTTATTTCGATGTATTTATGTTGGGAACGGTGACGATGGCAAAATGCTTCCATACTTTGCGTTACGGGTCGGGTCTGGGATATGAGCCCAAGCGCTCAAGAGATTGTTTACGTTGTGTTTACGCTGCATCGCTGTTCTGGTTTCTGGTGTGGGTCAGCAAGTCTGCGGAAATGGGTGTGTTCTTTTTTTTTTCATACTCCAGGATCTGTTACCCCTGGGTTTTCCAAGCGATCTGAAGTCGGGTTTTTCTCATCTCTGTTTCCTATGGTGTGGGTCTCTTCCTTTTTCTCTACTTTACTCGTCGATGCCTCTTCCGCTATATCTATCATGCACGTGTCCTGTATCACATTGTAGCAAAAAGGCTCATTTCCTACTACTATTCGGCGTGTTCTTTTCTCTTCCAATTCAAATCATGTCACGAGTCACGGGTGTACTTAATTATCAACTTGTCAACAAGTCATTGCAACTTTACTCGCATCCTTCACTATTTCCTTCTCATGGGTGTTTCGCGTCTTTTTCTTCTTCTGCCATCCGCCCAGCGCACGCTACGCAGCTTGGCAGCGTTTATCGGTTCTTGACATGAGTAGTAACTCGAGTCAGACTGAATCATACTCCGCACTACTATAGATACTAATGAGATACTTTACCACGCTATCCGTGCGCGACCTTCGGCTACGGACCGGATTGGGTTAGCTGCTTTAGCTTCTTGGTGTTCTTCTTTTTAACTTTTTTCCTCGCGCTCTACAGAGTGGTCGAGACTCACACTATCTACTTCAAATTCGCCACCCCAATCGTGGGGACTGAGCATCAGCATCTAGACAAGCCCGTGTTATCTAGCGGGGTAATTCACACATTCTTTCCAGGGTCAGCCTGCGAAAAGGCGAGATGTGGTATTATGATGCCCTCGCGTCATCGTCAGTGATGTGCCTGGATACTTAGCGCTGAAGTAAAAAAAGGAACTAGATACGGTTGAGAGACGGATAGCAGGGACGAAGACAGATGTGGGAAAAGAAAATGATCGGCTAAGCTTTTGTCGCGAAATGGGTCTGTCTACTTTACTTAGTGGTATATAGTGCTGAATTAAGTTGTTGAAGTTTAGAACGCTCCGAAAAACAATTTTGCGGAAACAAAAAAAGAATCTCCGGGACGGGGAGTCGAACCCCGGTCTCCCGCGCTCGTTCCTATTCGGATGACAAGCGGAAATCATGACCGTTAGACCATCCCGGATCTTGTTGTAATGGTACTCGCTTTTCTGATTTATTATGGTAGAAGTAGATTTGTTGGATATTTGACGGCTGTGTAATTGATGTTGTTGGTGTTTGTAGGATGGTACTTTTTGTTTATTTATTTAGAACTGTGTTTACGGTTGTCAGTGTTTATACTCTAGTTATGTAGTTTTCAGGTATCGGGCTGGTAAAAATCAATTGTTGGTTGTCTTCACTGTCTGACTCCTGGCTAAATATATTTATCGGATGCGTTTCGTACGTTCGATCGCGGGTTGGCCTAGGTACAGATTTGACCATCCAAGACACTGACCATGGTATGAAATTCGAAGCACAGGACTATCTAAATCTGCCTCTTCCTGTTTACCCACAGTTCTATTGCGCCAATTGCATGTATCCCACTTCGTACACCTAGTCCGTGAGCGTAAACAGCTCATGAATTGCGGGCCCGGATGTAAAAGGCTCACTCTGGCTACTCAGTTTACCCTCAACGGATCCAATCCAACGGGTGTACAAAGTAGGCACCTCTGCGGTCACCGTCTTCGTGGTGACATTCACAGACAACCTCCCACCTTCCGCATCCCCCAGATCAAAGTCCATCGAGAAACCATCTGGAGTATCACCCTTGCGAGGCGGATATCGCGTATCCGGACCCATAGTACTAACACTGAACTGATCAGAGCTATTAGATGCGCAGAGAATCCTGCCGTTCAGAGAGACATAGCTGTTGACGTAGTGCTCATGAGAAGGAGTAATGACCGAAAACCAAACCAAGGAATAGTTCCCTACACGTCCGTGGCCCCAGTACCAGGTTCCGACGAGAGTTTCGAAAGGCGCATCGGCCCAGTTCTTTGAATAGTATAGTTAGCTTCAACGGACCGGTATGCATGCAGGTGCAGGGAGAGATTATAGAGCTCACTTGGTCGTGGTATGCGGATCCTTCAAATTGCAGGTCAGTACCCTTGATGTTGAAGTTGACCGTTCCTTTTGAATCTGGAATAGCATTCGTCCAACCGATATGAGGGGCGATCTGCAGGGATTGTTTCTCCCTATCATTTACGGGACCAGAGGGATAATGCGCTGGTGCGATCTTCAAGTAGGAGAAGAATGAATTTATAGTCAGTACTCGAAAATTCAAATGTGCCCCGTGTTGACGCAGAAAACAATCAAATATAGAAGCCAAGGGAATGGAAGCAGTGCAACGTACCGAATCCAACTCAAGTGTCCCGCTAATATCCATCTCATTCGACTCGATTGTCACGGTATATTTCTGCATCTTTGGATCTCCATCCCATCTGAAACCGGTCGACTCCCAGCTCCCACTAGATCCATCTCCAATGGTGGTGATTGTCGCAAAACTGGCAGTCGTGTACCCCGTGTACACAGTCCCATTGGGAAAGGTCGCCCAGACGTATGCTACCGTGACAGAGTCGCTAGGCAATATGAACGGGAACGCAAGTGAAGTAGAGGTGAAAAAGATGATGGTGAGGGAATTTAAGAGATCTGTCGAGACGGCGTCGAAATACCACCACTGGGTGACAGTGCTGTTGATGAAATCGAGCTTGGGACTATCGACGCCTGTGAATAGACCCGTATCATTGCCAGTCGAGGAAGAGAATTGAGCGTGGCTGATTCCATTCTGGACCGTTCCTGGATAGACCTTGACAGAAGTCGCTCCCTGGTTGCTTCCAGGAACAAAGACGCGTGAAAACGCTATTTCTATGAGGGAAAAAACAGTGACCAGGAGTCGGAAACAGTTCATATTGATGAGTGAGTGCAGTTTGTTCTGCTAGAACGTGTTTAACCTAGGATTGGTGTAAGGAGAAATAGAGGGTGTGGTTCAGAGATGAGGATGAAGGTGTCTCTTTCGTTTCTCCTGCAATGAGCTTTATCTGATCAATGCTTGAGTACGGAGGCTATAGAAGGGTTAGTACACCAATAAGCAGAAAATTTTTCACAAAAAAACAAAAACAAAACAAAAGGATGCGCGTCTATAGAGCGTACCTTAGTGTGCATAAGTGTCTTATGTTCGTCCTCAATTTGCCGGATGTTCCCTACTTGCAAAGATGCCAACAAGCAGAAGCAAACAACAATGAGAAAAGGGCGAGCAAAGAGGTACGCATGCATTTGCAGAGATAGCCAGTTACCATGGGTACCATTGGGGCTCCTGATCTTCGATGATTCCCACGCGAAACACTCGAGCCGTCCTCGGAGTTGTGTCACGCCCTTCCCTATTGCAGAACAAAGAGATAATACACCGCAAAAGCGGTTATAAGCAAACAGTCAAAATGTAGTCCTCATCCTCAACTCAAAAATCGCTCACGAATGTATGTAGATGAAGATAAGCACTGCATAAAATTCCTGATAAAGGGCTCGTGAAGCCGCTCTAAACAACACAAGAGTATAGAAAGCAGAGCCGATCGGCGAAGACCAACCCTTAACAACAGCAACTCCATGTTGGCAAAACCACAACTATGATTCCTTGGATACCCCTGCAAAGTGTAAGTTATACCCAATATTGATTTGAACGCCCTGCATTCTATGTGGTTCTTTGTTGGCATGGACCCGACGTACCCGTGAAACCTGGGACTAACGTAGGCAAGATACCCCGATATAGACGCTATATTGTCTGGCTACCTATGCAGGTGTATTACTCGGGATATACAGTACATAAAACAAGACGACGAGAAAATCCGAAGGTACCAATGATTGAAATGAGTTGATATAACAAATATCGCGCACAAAGTTCGAGTACATCAAAAGGTCAAGACTTCATTTGCACATCACTATTAACCTCCTTAGAGGCTCTGAAAACTTCCACTCCTTCTATCTCGTCCCTAGGACCAACGCCTAGTCGCGTTGCTTCCTCAGTAGTGAACGTCCCATAGTAATCAGACTCATCGACCTCGCCGAGTCCCATAGGCGGCCATATCTTACTTATAGCCACGTACAAAACGGCACTGATAACGAACCCGAGCGGGAAGGCAAGGTCATAGAGTCTCGTGCATCCAACTGGAACAGTGATCTTTGGATTAACTGCATGTACGAATCCCGGCAGCAGCGGAATGAACCCGACCACCCAGGCAGCAAATGAACGCCAATTGATACCGTAGAGGTAGTAATATATACCCTGGGGTCGAGGGTCGTAAAGGTCACTCAGTTTGATCCGTCGAGACCTGATGATCCAGTAATCCGTAATCATGATCCCACACATGGGACCAAGGAATACAGAATAGGCAGATAAAACCTGGATGAATGTCGCAGCGCTCGCGAGCAGCTCCCAAGGACACAGGGCGATTGAGATGATGAGACCAATATATGCACCACGGCGGATGTTGATAAATTTGGGAAACAGGGCGCTCATGTCCATTCCGGTCGAGAATGCATTATCAACCGTGTTGATGGCTAGCTGGCAGATGACAAGGCCCACTCCTGCAAAGAAGGCTCCTGCTCGAGATTTTGCATTGTAATCGGTATCTAGCCACTGGAGGGCGATTTCTGGTGGGTTCCAGAGGGCTTCACCGTAGATTCCCATCGTGGCAGACGATGCCAGGCAACCAAAAAGCGGCATGACGGTACCAAACAGTATAATAGAAAACCATTGACCGAACACCTGATCGCCTGGCCTTCGAGCGAAGCGAGAATAATCTGCTTGGTTGGTCAGGCCGACCGCAATACTCCCGATTACCGATGTGATACCACTGACGATGGACCATCCAAGCTCAGTGGACCCGTTTAGAGTCGAAGGCCGAGAGAGGAGCGGACCAGCCCCGTTGGCAGCAGAAAGGGCCCAAATCATTATTCCCAGAAGGGTAAAAAAAGATACGGCGTTCATAGCCGCGAGTAATCTCTTAGTCTTTTCTGGCGGTATGTACATGATCGGGATACTGATGACGTTATAGAGGATCCATCCTATAAATTGCTTGGTGGTCAAATGGCTTGACTCGGGAAAGACGTTATCCAAGTGTTGGAATCCCGAGAATATCGATGCCAGGATGGCCGTCACGCATAATCCTCCCGTCCAGCTCTGAACAGCAAGCCAGACAAGAGAGAGCAGTATACGCTGCAAAAGCATGAGATATGAGCCGTAAATGCCCCATACTGATATGCGTTAGTATGTGGGCAGTATGATAAACCCGAACACCATCTGAAAACATACCATTCCTTGAAAACACAGGAAATCCAATGTGCCAGTCTGCCCCAACATAGCCGTTAAATACAGCGACCAAGGATATGATGATCTTTCCGACAATGATCGCAACCATAGTTTGCCAAACCGACAAGCCGGCGGCAACTAGAGAAGCGCCGACCTGCCAATTGCTTAGGCAGAGATTGTTGATAGCCCAGAACGATATATATGCATATTTCCCCCAAGTTCGCCGGTATGGCGGTAAAGGACGGATATCATCGTTGATCCAGACGGAAGATGTCGTCTCCTTCGTGGTCGGGACAGCCAGCACGTCGACGAGTCGATACCAGGAGAACATTGCTTATGTAGTAGTCGTAAGATCGTAGAACTAGTAGGTCCAGTTCTGAGAGACGGAAGGAGTAGGCATGCCAAATGTTTCGAAAGGCTCGTTGTGTTGAAACCGCAATAGCATACTCAAGGGCAGTCGGCATGCGCAAGAGGTAGGGCGCCATAGGCAAGGTATATAAGTTCTACAATGTCAATGGGCGGTCGTCTAACAGCCACTGGGGCAAGATAGGCAAGACTAAAATCCTGATAAGAAATTCCGAGGACAATGCTTATCAGATATGGCTTCTGCAGAGCCCACTAGGGGCTGCTCGACAGGGGTTCTCTGCGGAATCGATATTCAGCATCCAGAAATATATTAGGTCCTTTAACTATCATTCCGGATGGTCCTTGCTAGCAAGTAATAGAAGATAAGAAAGAGTGAGCTTAAATGAGTCGTTGCGATCGAACGCCTCTTTGTCCGGCTACGAGTATGCGCTACCCCAGGCTCCCCCTCACGGCTCAGGGCACCCAAATAGAGCCGAGAAGTGCACTGGTATATCCGTGCGCCTGATTGCCATCTTTCGCCTGGATTGGTCTCGGCCAGAAAACGGGATTGCGGCATGAGAACCGATGCTATGAGCACTGGCGCGGCGTCTATCATGCAGCTAGACAAGCGTTCTCGAGCGTCTTAAGGGAACTATTAGTTGTTTCCAATGAGAAATCACCGCGATAGGAATGCCTGTTCATCTCACGCTTGGTAAAAGGCCAGACCCACTGCTGTGTATGCTAACTTGCTAAGTATCAAGACGCTAAGGTTAACGTTCAGTTTCTTCATCGCATGCCTCTGCGTGGACCGGACGCCAGTGCTTGCTATCGTGTATAAGATATCGCAACTTGCAAGACCAGAGGTGACAAAAGGGATTTACCTAATCGAAGAATAATAAACCATCTGTCACGGAGGTTGGGCTTCGTCGAAGAAATGGGGGCAAGAGGAATCTCCGTGTACGTCTGTCGGTGTTGTTCGGAGAATCGGCCACGTGATTGGTGGACGTTGTTGACTCCGGACGACTTCCGCGAGACTTTCTGACATCCAGTAGTCAAGCGTTCTAGTTGGAAGTTCCTGGATCATCTTATCTTTCGGCCATGTCGCTTGGCCGATCAAACGGAGAGGGGTCTTTAGTCTACACCCCCCAATTCCACAGTGCAGACAAGTCCGTCTTTTGCCATACGAGTCCGAACGGGGTAACGCTCCACTTAGTTGTAGCGATGTCGTTATCGGATCATGATGCGAGATTGGAAATCGTGCGGGATGCCTCAGAGACGCAAATCTCCGAAAGTCCACTGCGGAGTGTATAAATGCTCTGCAACCTTCTCACCTCCAAGATTGAACATCACGACTGCTTCCTATCGATAGCCTGTATCGTGAATCAGAGAAAGTGGAAGAAACATGGCTACGCCGCAGGCCTTCTATCGCATAGGTGTTGATGTTGGAGGCACAAACACAGACTCGGTGATTCTCGATACCCGTGCCTCAAATGCGCCTAATCGCGGGGTTATCGCGCTGAAGAAGACTCCGACCACGAGTCCCAACGTCACAGATGGAATAGAAACCGCAGTGAGAAGCGTGTTGGAGGAGTCAAAGGTCCCAAGGGATCAGGTTGCATGTCTTACTATCGGAACTACCCACTTCATCAACGCGATCGTCGAGCATGATGTACGCAGACTGTCCAAGGTCGCCATCATTAGGCTATCAAAATCTTTCACTAAGGAAGTTCCGCCGTTTTCGGACTTTCCGCCAGCCTTGAAAAAGATTATGAATGGTCATTACGGCTTCGTGGACGGCGGTTTGCATATCGACGGGTCGCAGGAAGCACCGATAGTTGAAGAGCAGGTTGTACAGCAGTGTGCCGTTATTAAGGAAAAGGGCATCGGCGCTGTTGTCATATCCGGAGTCTTTTCACCCATCGACGAACACTTCCATCAAGAAGACCAGGTTCGCAAGATTGTGCTCCGCGAGCTTCCCGGAGTCGATGTTGTGTGCTCCTCAGAGGTCTCCCAGATTGGCTTTCTGGAGCGGGAGAACGCTTCAATTCTAAATGCATCGATCCTCAAGTTCGCCAGACGAACAATTCGCGGTTTCCGTGCAGCTATGAAGCGGTTGGATCTCAAATGTGCCCTCTATCTGACCCAGAACGATGGCACCCTGATCGACGCTCCCGCTGCTGCTCGACTGCCTATTCGGACATTCTCCTCTGGACCAACAAACTCCATGCGAGGAGCTGCCTATTTAGGCCTTCAAGGTTCAGACGATAAGTCGGAGCGAACCGCAACCATTGTGGTAGACATAGGAGGCACAACAACTGATGTAGGGGTGCTCTTGCCCTCCGGATTTCCACGTCAAGCGTCAGCCTACGTTACAGTAGCAGGCGTGAAGATAAACTTTGGAATGCCGCATATCGAGTCGATTGGCCTGGGGGGTGGTTCTATCGTACGTATCGATGGAGAGCAGGTCAGCGTCGGACCGGACTCAGTGGGACATTACCTCGACACTAAGGCGACCGTGTTTGGAGGCGATACCTTGACTGCCACAGACATTGCAGTCGCAGCGGGAGAGAAGATCGGGAACCCAGAACTAGTCAGCCACCTATCAAAGTCGACAGTTGCTACGGCACAAGCGAAAATGAAGCAAATGCTCGAAGGCGTAATTGATCTTATGAAGACATCACCTGCTCCCCTGCCTGTTCTTCTTGTGGGAGGTGGCTCTGTTATCTCGCCCACTGAATTGGAAGGCGTATCCAAGGTGGTCTGCCCTCCGTTCCATTCAGTAGCAAACGCCGTTGGCGCGGCTATATCGAAGGTCGGGGGTACTGTCGACTCGATTCAAAACACTGCAGAACAGTCAGCCAAAGAAATTGTGGAGCAGGCGAAAGCAACCGCCATCGAACGTGCTGTTGCTGCTGGCGCTCTCAGAGAAACTGTATACGTTGCGGAAGTCGATGCCATACCCCTGCAGTATGTAGCCAATCAAATGCGCGTTATTGCTCGTGCAGTTGGTGAACTGTCACCGGAGAGCTTACCGCTAGCAAATGGTGTTTCAGCAGAAGAGGAAGAGGATGGAGAGGAAGAGATCTACAACGAGGGCGAGAAAACCAAATCTTCCCAGGAAGAAGGTGAGATGCCCACTGTGGACATCGATTCGTATCGGCCAAAGGTAGTCAAAAACCCGGAGACCGGCAAACACGAGTGGATAATCTCTGAGACGGACGTTGCTTGGCTGGCAGATGGGTGTTATGTTCTTGGATGTGCTGGTGGAGGTTCTCCGTTCGGCGAATACATCCGGATCAGAGACCAGATCCGTCAAGGCTATACTATCCGTGTGATCGACGCGACTGCATTGGAGGATGATGCTGTTGTTTACTGTGAGTTAACCGTCATTCCCTACCATCAATGCGATTTTACCAGTTCTTGCTAATACTAGTTAGGGGGTGGCCATATGGGATCACCTGCAGTTTCCGTTGAGCGGTTGGCCAACGACGAGACAGAGCAAGCTGTCCTTGAGTTGATGGAATATCTTGGCCACAAGAAGATCGACGCTTTTATGGATCTTGAGATCGGTGGCGCGAACGGATTGCAAGCGTTGGCACTTAGTTCTACAAAGAACCATGGTTGCCCGGTTGTTGATGCAGACTTCATGGGTATGTTCTGTCCTCGTCTCAACATATTTTGTGATTCAAAACGACGTGGACCTAAGCTTACAATGATTAATCTAGGCCGCGCTTATCCAACATACTGGCAAACCACTATCTGCATCTATGAGAAGAATCCGCTGGTGCCATGCGCACTCGCTTCCGGGGATGGAAAGACTATTCTTATGACAAAGACCACTAACGATGAGATCGTTGATCGCGCTCTTCGGGCTGCATGTGCAGAAATGGGCTCCCGAGTCGGGAAGGCCGCTAAACCGACGAGCAAACATAGCATCATCAACTATAGCGTCCTGAACACCGTCTCCCTCGCATGGCGCATCGGTCGCACCATTGCCCGCGCAGCAGCCACTAATACCGTCAGTACTGTCGCGGAGCAGATGATCGATGAATGTGGCGGCCCTGAAGCGGCCAAGATCCTGTTCCGGGGCAAGATCGTCTCTGTCGAGAGGCGTCTTTTCAAGGGCCATTCTTACGGCGAGATAACCATCCAGCAAGTGCAGAGCGGTGAACAAGAAGACGTTTCGACATCGACTCCAGCCGTAGCAACTGGAGGTGTTCTCAAAATACCGTTCAAGAATGAAAACATTTACGCCAAACATGTCGCAGATGATGGCACAGAGACGTACGTGGCTACTGTCCCGGATCTGATTTCGGTGCTGGACACCCAGTCTGGACGAGCCCTCGGGGTGCCTGAGTTCCGGTACGGAGTGATGGTCACCGTACTGGGCATTACTTGCTCGCCTAGGTGGACAGACACTCCTAAGGGGCTAGAGATCGGTGGGCCCGGTGCCTTTGGATATCACGATATCCCGTATAAGCCTCTGGGGAAGTACGTTGAACCGAAAAGTGTTGTTCTGGAATACGCGGAGAAGGAGTAAGCCACTGTGGGCTTCGTTAACGTCATGAGATATGTTTATCTTCGATGCAATTTTGTAGAGGCAACCCATATAGTATGCTAGCTACCCTCCTGCTGTCATCAATTAACTATGGTATGAATGTTCATGAACGTCCAAGACTAGGATGATTGTATAGACAAACCACTAAGTACCATTCCCAACACAATCAGAATTTATCATTATTATCCCTTCCGTCCTGAAAACAACTAGTTACAGTATACCCTAGAAGTAATCTAATCCAAAAACTAGGGCTTATTATTACTACAACCCCCTGCATCTACGAGACAGTTAGGGCAAGAATCTATCTATATATAAATACCTATAACCAAATAGGGCTCTCACAATCACCTGACCTGACCCGAACTATCTAACTCAAGTGTTGGCGGCGGCATGACGTAGCCGACTCGGAGCTTTCCAAGTCATCCATTACCGAATTAAGTAATATGCTCTAGTTAGTTACTTCTACGTCACCCTTGTCAGATCACCCGGATCTGAGCGCCCGTGAATGTGTCCAGATTATTAACAGAAAGAAAGAAAGAAAGAAAAACAAAAAAATGATACATAATCCGGGTTTTAGGTGGGACGGTCCCTGTTTTTATTGCATTTATTAGAGGACAGGGAAAAGGGTTGGGGGACGCGTAAGTGAGGATCGATCTTATCCTGTCTTGCGGGGGTTTTTCTCACTAGGTTGTTTGCTGTGATTAGGTAGGTACCTAGTTGTCGTACGATCCAGGGACTGTCGTTGACAGGGATTACGTTTTGGAATAATTACCTAAATTTTCTCCCCTCCCCGTCATGACCTCATTTCGGTGGTATTTAAAGGGTAGTTGAAGCTTGGGTAAATAACCCTGGTCCAGATCCCCTGGTGAATTTAACTAACTACCTTATCTACCTTATCTACCTTATCTATCTTACTTGGGATTGAAAAAAACGTTAACAATGTCGTTGTCACATCATGTGAGTTGTATATTCTACGTGCTTGATTACCTGCTGGTGGAAGTTAGGGGAGGTATTTATTGGAGGCTAATCACCGCGTGAGGATAGATTGATTCGGATGCAATCATCAAGGAGCTCCGGCAGGATCCGGAGAAGAGCTGGAAAAAGAATATTCATACGGAAAATGCAGTGTCCTGCGTGACGCCTTACTCAACTCGTTATGCGAGCAAAGAGGAAATCCCCAAGTTCAAGATCCCTCGTAAAGGAGCGCCAGCGGCGGCTGTGCGTCAGATTCTGGAGGATGAATTGGATCTGGACGGAAGGCCTAATCTGAACCTCGCAAGGTGGGCAATGCGCCTGTGGATGTGGATAATATACGATGGATGGGGTAACTAGCTAACTTGTTTCGTCAATATGTAGCTTCGTTGGCACTTACATGGAACGCGATGCGAATGCTCTCATGGCGGAGAACATTTCGAAGAATCTGTCGGATGCGGATGAATATCCCGCTTTGATGACAATGCACGCTCGTTGCGTGTCGATGATAGCTGATCTCTGGGGAGCTCAGCCAGGCGAGAAAGCCATTGGGTCAGCTACAGTGGGCTCCTCAGAAGCCATCCACTTAGGAGGCCTCGCGATGAAGCGCAACTGGCAGCACAAGCGGAAGGAACAGGGCAAGGATGCGTCCAAGCCAAACATTCTCATGGGCGCAAATGCTCAGGTGGCCCTTGAGAAGTTCGCTCGCTACTTTGATGTCGAGGCGAGGATCCTAGACGTGTCTGAGAAGAGCGAATTCAGACTCGATCCAGAGCTTGTGAGAAAGAACATTGATGAGAACACAATCGGTGTCTTTGTCATCCTGGGAAGTACCTACACTGGACACTACGAGCCAGTGGAGGAGGTGTCTAAGATTCTGGACGAGTATGAAGCGGAGACTGGGCACTCTATCCCTATTCATGTGGACGGGGCTAGTGGAGGATTCATCGCGCCATTCACCCACGCTGGCGCCGGTGCGAAATGGTAATTCCCTTTATTCGTTCTGTGGCGGGATGTTTCTGACCTTGTCAGGAACTTTGAATTACCTCGTGTCAAATCCATCAACACATCTGGTCATAAGTATGGCCTTGTCTATGCGGGAATCGGATGGATTATCTGGCGTGACAGGTCATACCTGCCCCAGGATCTGATCTTCGAGCTGCACTACCTGGGAGGCACTGAAGAAACCTATACGCTCAATTTCTCGCGTCCCGGAGCGCAGGTGATCGGGCAATATTACAACCTGGTACACCTTGGATTCAACGGGTACCGGGAGATCATGGAGAACTGCCTGGCTAACGCACGCCTTCTGAGCAAGGCACTGGAGCGGACCGGATGGTTCACCTGTGTCAGCGGGATCCATCGCAAGACTGCGTTCCGCGGAGTTACAGAAGCCGTCCTTCCTACGCATGGAGAGAGTTCTGCCGATTACAAACCCGGCTTGCCCGTGGTTTCTTTCCGGCTGTCGGATGATTTCCAGAAGGAGTACCCGCATGTTAAGCAAGAGAGCATCAGCCTTCTCCTGAGAGCAAAGCAGTACATCATTCCAAGTATGTGCAGGGTCTCATCTCTTGAGCCCCAAGGGTTATTGCTGTGACTGACTGCTGACCATTTACTTGATTAGACTACCCTCTACCACCGAAGACGGACAATATCGAGATCCTCCGCATCGTCGTGCGAGAATCGATGAGTGCAGACCTTGTCGACAGACTTATCAGTGATATTGTTGCCGTGACTGAGAGGCTGATGGAGTCTGATGCAGTTGACCTAGCCCAGTTGCAGACCGGACCGACGTCCCTGGAGAGATCAGGTGACGGCAAGAAGCGACAAAAGAGCCATGAACGGAAGCCGGGCAAGCATCCTATGGCAAAAGGTATCCATAAATCAGTATGCTAGTGGGTGACTATGGCACTGAGAGACTTCACGTTGTGATGACCGGTATCGGTGTTCCAGGGACTTGTAACAGCTGCAGAATGCGTGATGTCCAAAGGCGCTAGTTATCGTTGACATGTTAGCTAGTAGCAGAGAAGTCCCCAAAATGAGAGACGCTTTCCTTTTCCCAGATATTGGTACCGTCTAGTTTGAGCGGCGGTGGAGGTTAGCTTCCGGACAACGCTGTGGCTAGAGTGCGCGCTTGCTGCAGCATGTATAGAGCCAGAAAGCCGGTAAAAGCTTGGCCTGGAACCCGTATAGGTTCAAATACGGACGTAGAGCTTCCAGCTTGACGAACGACTCGATTGAGGGGACTGCGTCCATCTGTATCCTCCAATAGCCGTAGCGTCCGCCTCTTTGGAACGGCGGTCGAGACCATCGCGGACCTCGTGATGCCCCGTATCCTGCGTCAAACCACGTAGACTAGTGAGAATCTTTACGCATCTTCGGGGAACAGAACGGCAGAACGATACCAATCGGCCATAGTTTTCTCCCCAAGCGCTGTAAGGCACTGCAAGCATTGTCCCTGACGTGTCGATCACATGGCTCTTACCTGGTGCTTGTTTAGGGGGAAAGGGCGTTTTATGTAGGTAATAGTAATAGTAGTAGTAGTAGAGAGGACAAAAGGCCAAACCGGTGCGGAGGTGTTCTTCGCGAGGAGAAATTTGCCATTGTCGCATCTGAAAAGGGAAATACAGAGAGCATGTGACCGGGAAGTAGAGGGAAGAGGCAAGAGACAAGGATTGGGATTGACAAGAGAGGGGTTGAAAAAGCGATCTGTCAGTGCGTTGCGGGGGATGTTACTTACCTACTTATACCACTCTGTAGATCGCGGGCGGGAGTGACTTACCCGTGGCAAGAGCTATGTAGTTAGACAGGTGATGTAGAAAGCGTAGAACTTTTATGACTTTGAAGAGACGAAGAACGGGACAGTAGATCAGCATATGATGATCAGTAATATAACCAAACACTATTTAAATATTTGTGTAGAGCATCACTCGAATGGTTCTGTTATCAACCTTGCAGGGAGGTCGCAGAGAGAAAGTACGGGCTTATCTCTGGTCGGTCCGATACTTACTTACTTATCAGCCTCCTCGAGTGTGTTCCATCTGGGATAATTTGCATCTGGTGTGCTGGAGATGCATCTGCTTGCCACAGAGCAAGATCTCGATCTCTGTTGAGTGATCTGACGGATTGATTGACAGTTGAGATCAGCTTGTTCCCCAGAGTCCCATCCACGTCAGCTGGGACTGGCCATCAAGTATTAGCTGTTAGCTCTCGCTTTCAATCAGAACGCCTCTTGAATCAGCAGGCAGACCATTGGACGGGAGAACAGCCGGAGAGACAAGCGCCATTACAAGGGAGTGTTGCCCTGCCCGTCTTTCGCTCCTCCCAACTGCCATCCAGCGACAGTGACTGAACAAGAACTAGGAATCCATCATCCTAGACGATCGTCCAAGTCAAGTGTCAAGCAAGTCAAGTCAAGTCAAATATCATCCCAAACGGTGGGAGCGGATGGATCGGCGAAATCCTCGAGCGCCAATTCGATCGAGCATCCCCGCAAGCTGCTGGCTAGTGGGAAGTTCTTATCATTCCCGATGTCTCCTCCGCCCTGATAAAAACAGTTCGACGACTTGGCTTTATCTATGCCTCTATCGCTTCTTTGTCATACTTACCTCCATCGTCCTTCTTGCAGCGCCCCGTCTTTATCAAAAAACACACCTCTCGCTCTTTTCCCTCCCCTTCGCCTTTCCCTTTCCATCCCGTTCCCCTTCTATATCCCCTCCCATGTCTGATCCTCCTAGTGGGTCGATGCCATCTCTCCAGGTCACGATTAGCTGGGCATGGAAACCATCAAAATCCCCTCGCCGTCCGCCTTTCTAGATCCCCCATCCTTGAGCCCGTCTCGTGGCCAGTCTGCCAAGAAGCCTGTCTCTAAGCAACCCTCCCCGCCCTCTGCCTCCAAACAGCCGCTGGGCAATGCGATCACATCGACTGGACTCAATAAACCCAAACAGTCCAAGAGCCGTAATGGTATGATCCTGTAGATGGTGTTCATCATCCATGCAGTCCTGCATCGAAGGAAAAAAGAAAGGCAAAAGACTGAAAAAAAAGAAAAGAAATGAAAAAGAAAAAAGAAAAAGGAAATAGAAAACAAGAGCTGACTGTGTGACCTCGCAGGCTGCATTACGTGCAAGACAAAGCGGCTGAAATGCGATGAGACCAAGCCTACCTGTCTGCAATGTCACAAACGGAACGTCGAGTGTGGAGGCTACAAGAAAGACTTCAAATGGCGTCCGTTCGAAGAATCCAATTTCGTGACCAAGTCGGCCCCCCGACCAAAGAAAGGTAAGCACCCCCGTGTTGTATAGTTAATAGGCCACGGTGATTGACAGTCAAACTAAGTAACCACCACGAATACTTCCTTGAGTAGCAGCGCTCCGGCCCATATTCCAAACCCGTCTGCACATGGGTCAGCATCGCCAGCTGGGAGCGGAAGGGATACGCCCTTGACGTCGCCGTCATTTAACCATCCGTTGCCTCTTGCCAGTCCAACCTTTGGCATTGATGGATCGCCACCGACAGGTTCCAGTCTGCCTGCAGACCCTCTGCATGTCTCGCGCTCGAGTACGGAATTCAGTGCACGGACATTCCCTGAGCACACTTCCGATGATATCTTCTCTACTGGCCGAGATCCGCTGCAACCTGAGCTAGGAGGCTTAGGTATTCTGGAACCGGGTGACGACCTATCTGATCTGATGTTCTCTAGTCCTGGTATGGATGTAGATGGGACAAATCAGTCGATACCTTTCCAGATCGGCAGCATGAGTTTCTCTGAATTCCTGGAAGACGAAAATGCGGATATAGAAGAGGTAGTTCGACAGTCGGAACCAGGACTTGTGATCTGGCCTCCTCGCGATGCTACTCAGAGCCAGCAGTCGTCAGCACCGGCTGTAGACGCCACTGTGCTTTTTCGACAGCCAGATTTGGGCTGCGGAAGCCCTGAGATGCTCGTTGTTCGTTTTGATAAGCGCACCTGCGGCATCCTCTCCGTGAAGGACGGGGCTTCCGAGAATCCTTGGAGGACGGCGGTTTGGCCACTAGCAAAGGACTCCCCAGCGTTGTATCATGCACTATTTGCTCTCACGGCCTTCCATTCGTCTAAAGAGAATCCCACCTTCCGGGTTCAGGGCGTGGAGCACATGCGAAAGAGTATCCTCTACATGGTTCAGGGTATCTCGAACATGAGGACGGATGCTGCATTGGCCACGACGCTTGCTCTCGCATTTGCTGAATCCTGGGACAGACATACGTCGACTGGGATCCAACATCTTCGTGGTGCGAAAGCGTTAGTGTCTCAGGCGCTCAGGGGCCGGGCCAGAACTGAACGTCATGCAGATGATCTCGCAAGGTTACGCTTTCTTTACAATACATGGGTCTACATGGATGTAATAGCGAGACTGACCTCTTTGGATGGGGGTGGAAGGGAAGAAATAGACATTTCACCTTTTGCAATGCCATCCAATGCTGTCCACGAGATCGATCCTCTCATGGGGTGTGCCAGCACGCTATTCCCTCTCATTGGCCGTGCTGCCAACCTTATCCAAAGAGTAAGAACGAGTGAAAGCAACTCGATTGCTATCATCTCCCAGGCCATTGAACTTAAGACCCTCATTGAACAATGGGAGCCTCCGCAGTTCTTCGAGCCTCCCGAGGACCCGACTTCGGATGTGCAACACAGCTACCAGTCCGCACAGGCTTACCGTTGGGCGACTCTGCTGTATCTGCACCAGGCTGTTCCAGAGATACCCTCCGAGTCATGTGCAGATCTAGCAAAGAGAGTGCTCATCCTCTTAGCGACGGTGCCGCTGAGTTCTCGGACGACGATTATCCATATATATCCGCTCTTGGCGGCCAGCTGCGAAGCAGATACGCAGGAGGATCGAGAGTGGATAATGGAACGGTGGTCAGCGATGCAAAACCGGCTGATGATTGGAAATATTGATCGGTGCTTGGAGGTCGTTCGGGAGGTATGGAGCAGACGTGATGCGTACGAGGCAGAAAAACAACGTCGGCAGCGGAGGTTTCCTGCGCGGGCGGGCTCTTATGTTGCACCCGTTGATACGATGAAAAGGAAATCTTCGCATGGTCCCCCAATGGGCGGTGACCCGGATGTAAGCGGTTTCTATGGACTCACGGAGCCGTGGAAGAAGAGAGCTGTGAATGCGACGGGAGATACCCCTATGACGCTGTCTACACCAAGTTCAAGGCGTTCGTCAGTTGCCTCACCACTGGATAACATTGAGTTCGAGAAAACCGTCCGGGGAAGGTTACACTGGATAACCGTTATGCGAGACTGGAACTGGGAAGGTAGGAATTTAATTCAATATTATTCTCATTTCTCGTTTCTGAACCAGGAAAACTAATAGTGGACACCGCAGTGCTTCTCGGATGAACAACAAAAACAATACAACCTCATATGCTACTGTCGTTTCTGTGACGAAGCTGCCGTCTTTGCAGTCTGTCCTTGGTTGCGGCTCGTGCTTTCGTGCGATTCGTACCCGGAATCTCTCTGGTCGGGCTTCCGTGCATCATTGATCCTGGGCTGTAGATTCGCCTTGGGTATGTATGAGAGGGATGTTGTCTCGCGTATTTCCGGTGCATTCTCTCGAGTAAGATATGAACGAAGTGATGCTAGGTACGGCTCCAGGTCGGCTGTAACGGATACCGTAGCCATGGTCAAGAATATATCAACGAATTATGCGAAATTTTGAGATTTTGAGAAATTGTGCTTTTGTCGATATCGATACGGACCTGTGGTTGGCGTCGCGTGAATTTGTTTTTGGAAAAACCGGTGTCGCTCTCGAATATGCCCGTCTATCCTTTTGGAGTCTATCTGTTTATTAGCGTGGATGGTTCTGGAGCGCTTAGGGAATCATGATATTTCTGGATGAAACGGCCAGACCAGGCTCTGGGGAAGGCATGTACGGACTTCTCTTGTATATTGCAATAGCGCTTTGGGCTTTGGACGGATGATTTTTTGTTGCAAAGGGCGTAGGCTTCTTCCTGTCTCTTGTCCGCTTTTGGATCCTTCTGTGTCGCTTGGGTAGAGAATTGGTGCGTTGGGGAACTGGCCGATAGTTCTGTTGACGAGTAACACGACTTGTACCGGTATTTTGGGAGTAGGGTCGCAAGGGTCGCAAGGTTGGCTTCGCTATTCGAGCTGAATTTGGCTGAGCTACTCAAGTCTTTGATTTGCCGGGATGATACAAGCAGTTGCCTGGCGTCTACTTGTCCGTTACGTCTTCAGCAGCGCATGTGCAACGTCACAATTGACTCTTGGTCTGGCGGACAGTATTGGTTCCCTTGGACATGTAACGTCTTGAAAAAGGGCGATATTGAAAATCGATATTTTCAACTGGTCACAGCGACGACTGTTGAGTCTTGATGTGACCTCGCAATCGCAGTAATCGAACGTTTGTTTTATCACCTGGACGTTTCGATTCTGCTATGGTTTCTTTATTCGAGAGAGCCAGGTTCACTTCCAGTTGAATCTCCCGCGTCTGTAAGTTCCTCCCTGGAAATTCCGAGCTCTTTCTGCGGGGACGATGATGGTGGAAATCGGCATTTGGCGGTCGAATGGGTCGTCAATAGCGGAGTGCGGTTCACTGGAACAAGTTGGATCTGGATCTGGTATTCCACAGGTGAATAATGGACCGCTGAAATGAGATGATATACAAGAGATAACCTGTCGTTGAAGACCTAATGCGTTCGACGGACTGTCGATTAAATGTCCATTCGAGAAACTCGGTGTGGTATCGTGCACTGGAGACGAAGAGAACGATATTTTGTCTGTCTGCACCTTTCTTTTCCTGGTAGGGTGGAGAAGAAGGCCGCCGATGTCTTATGGAGAGAATCGACGGTCGACTGAGGTAAGAGCCTTGCTTTCAGACGTGATCCGCGATCCCAGACAATACGTGTACCGGTTTGGATTTCGCAACTCTTTGGAGACAAGTTGCGGAATGCGGACGATGTACGAAGCTCAGAGCGTCAGGTTGGATATTTTTGACGCTTCTGGCGGATAAAGCTGAATGAAGCGGGGTATTGAATGAGGGGGGGGGGGCTGAATAATAATAATAGTCGACCGGCTTGTTTTTTTCTTTTCTGTAAAGGTAAAGAAGACCTATTATTGACTTATATTAGACGTGAGCGCCCAGACTGTGAAGCAGCTAAGTGTGAACCGGTTCGAAAAGTCGATTGGACAAGCCAAATTTCTGCAGACGTATCCGTATCCCGGGTTTCTCCACACGGCGGTCAGCTCCTCGAAGAAGATGGGACACGTTGGTCCTTTTTTCTTATGTTGACGCGATGGCGGGGAGGAAAAACGTCAACCCCATTCAGCTAGTTACCATCTAATTATTCCTGTTGAGTAGACTACCGGGTGAATGGTATGGTTTTAAGTATATGACCTACGTCCAGTCGTGAGAGTATATCGTACGAGCAGAAATTCCATGAAACCGAAAGATTGTCAGGTGAAGATGGAAGTCTTTCTTCCCGGTCCCCGGGAAGGGGATAGAATTACGACTACTAACTAACTATTTCTCTCATTCTACCTACCTACCTAGGTAGCTACCGATTTCTCGCGTGATCTCGCTTCTAACTATCCGTAGACTTAGGACTAGTCTACCGGAAGAAAAGCAGGATTTCAGGTTGAGAAATGCTCGAAGCCAAGATACACTAGGGACGTATTAAGTAAGGTATTAGGCGGGTGAGTTGGGCCGTTGTGTCTACGTTACTCGCTTTCCTCATGTGAGAAGGTTGCTTCTATGTAAAATTATTAGCTTCTGGATCTGGGCAGTGATGAACGAGGGTATTAACTAATTATTATTATTATTATTATTATGTTGGGGGATGTCCACTTGAGAATGATTTATGGTAATTAGTTGGACTAGTTAAATAGTCGAGTAGAAAAGCGATAGCAGACACTGACTGGGTAATGAGATATCAAGTCCCATGAGGCAGTCTGGGGAACTGCAAGCATCAAAGGCAAGAAAAACAACAATAATAATCACGGTAAAGAAAGACGAGAAAAAATAAAAACTCAACAATATCTCGATATCCCCGATCCGAACTCATATGAGAAAATCAAATATGGTAGACGGGAACGAGGGTAGAAAAAAAAAGGTTTTGTTAGATCTTGATGTTTGGAGTAAACGAATGCGGACAACTAATCTCTTGTCGGGCACGTTTTGCGGGATTCGACGCTAAACCGTATTGGGGAAAAGTTTCCCCGGGTTATTTAACTGAGTAGGAAGCGGATAATATTAATAATAAGAATAATAATACCGAGGTATGATGCAGAGATGGGCTCGCATTTAGATGCTTATATGAGAAGGAGTGGTGATTTTTTATTTTCTTTTCTTTTCTTTTCTTTTTTTTTTTGAATTTGACGATGATGGAATTACTGTCGATGTTGAGCAGCGGACGGAAAGTGTGTGTCATGAATCATGATGTACTTAAGACTGCCGCCTTTTATCTGAGTAGGGATTTAATTTAGCTGATCATGAACCAATAACTAACAGAACCATGATAGCAGATACAAAAAAAAAGAAAGGTGACAGAGGTGTAGATCGAACAATACTCCATCTACATTACCTTCTTCTCTCATTATTACTATCCAAGGGTCTCGTCTAGTTTATCAATAATTATACCCATTTAAGATTACTTTTACAGCTAACTTACTTATCACCCCGCTCTTGATAAGTACATACCCAGGGTACATACTGTAATTCTGCCCCTCATGGTAGATCCAGTTCAGCTTATCTATTACCCCACTGTAGAGCAGAATAGAATGAGAATGGCTCTATCTTCATTCACATCTCCTGCCTACGGGATTGTTCCTGAGCGGGGGAGAGGAATACAGTAAGGAGAGGCAATTGATTCCTGTATCTGAATAATCAATAGGATAGTTAATCTAGTTAGCCCAACTGCCCCCCTTTTTGTGAAACTACTTCCCCCCCCTCCTCCTCTTTCCTTTGTAAGCAATTCGCATCTACACACCGGATACAGTGTCTGCTTGCGTTTGGGACACTCGCGATAATGGATTTGATCACTGAGCGGGGGGGGAACTCGATCTGGCGATTTGATGCTTTCGTAGGGTAGTTTTACGCACTTGCGTTTGATTCTGTGAGATATGATAAAGGTGTAGGGGTTTTTTGTGAGTATTTAAACCGGTGCGTGGATGATGCGGTTTGTAGTGGATTGTTAAAGTACTGTTTCTTTTTTAAACCTGCATCTCATTCGAGTTCCGTTCTGGGTCTGCATATTTTTTGTGACCTGTTGCAGGTGATCTACTGTAAGTGATTGAGATTTTCTATCTATCCTATTATCGTGAAGAGGGTTATCTGGTTTTTTTTTTTTTTTGGTTTGATCGTCCTGTGTGAGTGTATGAGAGAGGAGGTTGGACTGTATTTAATTGTCTGAGTGTGTCTCCTTCTTTGTCTGGATGATTTTCTGTGTGAGCTGGTATATGTTATTGTGCTCTCGCTATCGGTGGAGTCTTGTCATTCAGGATCTACTTGAAAAGGATCGCAGCTGACTATGGGTGCTCTCCTCAGTCGTGTTTCCAAGACATCATCATCGTCATCCTCGACCGAAAAAATGGCTCCCGTTGCTTTCAGCTACTATGCCCAGGCTCAGTCCAACTTCAAGCCGCCGCTGATCGCTAACAACAATGCTTTCCTGGGCGATGTTTTCTCGAGGTGAATATCTCTCTTCTCTTAACGTTTCCGATGCAGGACAGGATGGGATGATACTGATGAGCGCGAATGTGATAGCGAGAAGGAGAACCCCGACAAGCCCATGTCAGCCGGCCTGTACCGACTCGAGAAGGGCGAACCTCTCGTCTACGAGTACACTTACGATGAGCTGAAGATCATCCTCGAGGGCGAATACAACATCTCGGACGAGACCGGCCAGACGGTCAAGGCTAAGCCCGGAGACGTCTTCTACTTCCCCAAGGGCACCAAGATCACTTTCACTACCGAGACTTACGGCTTGTCGTTCTACGTGAGTGCTCTGATATGTCTTTTTGGATCGTCGTTTCCCCTTTTGTCTCCAAATTGAAAATCATACTGACGATCTTGGTGCAAAACAGTGCGGCCAGCGCAAGAAGGATGCTGCTTAAACGCGCCAAGGGAACTTGTGGAACCGAATAATGGCGGATGGATCCGGAAGAACATCGATATTCCGGTCGGTTGGGATGCCCCCGTTGCAAAGCCCAACGCGGATACTGGGGGACATCACTGAGGTGACGGGGAAAAAACAACTGTTTATTATCATCTTGTCGACTGAATCCTGAGAATGACGTATCAGGTATTTTGTAGCTTGGCAGGAACTCTGCTAGCGGCTGAGGGGAACCACCAGCCCTTGCGGAAATCACATCAATAAAACCATGGTTCATTTTTTGTCTCGCGGGCCGCTCGCTACCACTAACCAAGAATGAGCCGCTGGCCTAGAGTATACCACTCTAGAAGGCGGAATGTTGGTTCATGGCTGAGCTATCATTATTATTATTGTTGTTGTTGTTGTTGTCCTTTGTAGAAACGTTTCGTAGTCTTGTTGATCCGTCATGGGCTGATTACTCTTCCCCATCCTGCAGCCCCTGAAACGTCAGCCAGCCATATAACATAGTCTAGTCAACTAACCAAGCACCCTCACCGTTGGAATCGTTATGGAGTCCGTATTTCTCCGACAGAGGGTCCCTGAGTGGGATGAGCAAGCATTTGCGCAGCCACAAGCGGCTGGTGAGGGTTTGGTTTCCCCGCCGTAAACAGATAAGTAGATTGTCTAGGGCATCGGATCTTCAATCCAGCCAGGAACGGACGGACCATTATTGAGGAGCGAGTGGGCCCCCATCGGAGATCTCAGTCTTCAGCTGCAAAGAATGGTGATTTGATTTAGCGCTGAGGGTATCTAGGCAATCTGGGCCCCTGCGAGACATGGACAAGGTTTAGTTAGTTTTCGACTGGAGGGATTCTAGAGTAAACAGGGAATTAATTAGTCTAGTTATTCCTCAATAATATACCATGACTTGCCCTGACGAGGCGAGGGGAAACAAGGGGAGTCCCTGGAAGGCCTGATTGTTCCCCAGGCAACGCCGCAGCTGCCCGAGGGGCTGAGTTCAACGCTGGAATATCGTCCAGGGCAGTCGGCGACAAGAGCGTTCTTTGCTTAACAACAGGTCGTCCCCCAGATCTTCCCTTTTCTCCCCTTCTGGTGGCAATTGTCTCTGCAGTTTCCAACTGTGCGGCATACCAGAATATCGAAAGTCTGTTCCAGCAGGATCTGTGTGCCTGGCTCGGGAGGAGGAAGAAGAGGAACAGGAAGAAGAAGACGTCGTTGCCCGCCTATCGCCCTTTCTGAAGGGGCCACTGATATCGACCCGATCAGAGCTTTGGGCTCCAAACCACCACACCACACTTATCACGATGACCGTCAATATCGCGACAGACGCTGCTGAGCGTCAGGGACTCAGACTGCCAAATCCACCGCCTCTGCTACACACGCGCTCAGGAAACGATGTCTACGATCGTCCTTCAACCCCCACCACCAACGGTTTCACCAGCCCCGCCCAGACACCGCATGGCAGTCCGAGCAAGAACAGAATGCCCCCAGGTGCACTGGATTTGCCCAACGTTTTTGAAAAGGCCTTGAAACTGGCTCCATCCTCGCCAAATAAGTCAGGACTCAACTCACCTGGTTTCGCGCCGGGCAAAGGAGGGTTGAACGGTGCGGACGATTCGGGCTTCAACGAGAGCGTCATCCACCAGCAGCGAACTGGCAGCCCAACCAGATCCGCCAACAAGGAGAATACGCCTCCCAACCCTCTTCGTACAACGAAAGACCTCGGTCTGAATCCGAATGCAGCGGCCATTTCGCGCCATGAGCCCTACCAGCAGAGAGAGTCGGATACTATGCGGAGACAGACACAACTACGTGGACTGACAGCCGAAGAAGCCGAGAAGCTACAGCTTCCGAAGGTCAAACGTCTGGCCAACGTCACACAGCTATGTATGGCCAGACTGGTGTGACGAATGGACGTGATGGTTCTATGTTGCTGACTGCAGAACAGATTTCCTCGATCACTACTTCGACCTTCTGAGTTACGTCCATAACCGCCAGAGTCGCCATGCGCAGTTCAAGGCTGCCTATCCCCCGCCACCTGAAACACCTCTTGAAGAATACGAGCCAGCATTGCATAAGTACCTGGGCCGTGAACGTGCCCACCTGCGCAAGCGGCGTACGAGACTGCGCCAGGGAGATTTCCAGATCCTTACGCAGGTTGGACAGGGAGGCTATGGACAGGTCTATCTGGCACAGAAGAAAGACACAAGGGAGGTGTGTGCACTGAAGGTTATGAGCAAGAAGTTGCTCTTCAAGTTGGACGAGATTCGCCATATCCTGACGGAGAGAGACATCCTCACTGCCGCTAAGAGTGATTGGCTCGTCAAGCTGCTGTACGCATTCCAGGACGACGAGCAGATTTATCTGGCAATGGAGTATGTTCCTGGTGGTGACTTCCGTACGCTGCTGAACAATACCGGTGTCCTGCACAACCGTCACGCGCGATTCTACATTTCCGAGATGTTCATGTGTGTCGATGCGCTCCATCAACTGGGTTATATCCATCGTGACCTGAAACCAGAGAACTTCTTGATCGACTCGACAGGACACGTGAAGCTGACGGACTTTGGCCTGGCTGCTGGAATGCTCAACCCAGGCAAGATCGAGTCGATGCGCGTCAAATTAGAAGAGGTTGGCAACACCCCGGTGCCATTTGGCCGCCCAATGGAGCAGAGAACTATGGCAGAGAGACGGGAGGGATATCGCTCTCTGAGGGAGCGGGATGTCAACTATGCCAAGTCAATCGTTGGTTCGCCGGACTACATGGCCCCTGAGGTCTTGAAGGGCCAGGAGTACGATTTCACGGTCGACTACTGGAGTTTGGGATGCATGCTCTTCGAGGCTCTCGCGGGTTACCCTCCGTTCGCAGGAGCAACTGTCGACGAGACATGGCAGAACCTCAAACGCTGGCAGAAAGTTCTGCGGAAGCCCCAGTATGAAGATCCAAACTACTTCCTCTCCCGGCGGACCTGGGATCTCATCACTAGGCTGGTGGCTGCCAAGGAACAGCGTTTCAAGAACATCCGGGAGATTCATACTCACGAGTACTTTGCGGAGGTGGACTTTACCCGACTGCGGGAGCAGAGGGCGCCATTTGTGCCTGAACTCGACTCGGAAACCGATGCCGGGTACTTTGATGATTTCAGCAACGAAGCAGACATGGCCAAGTACAAGGAAGTGCACGACAAACAGAAGGCACTGGAGGACATGGCAGACCGAGAGGACAAGATGAGCAAGGGCCTGTTTGTTGGTTTCACTTTCCGGTAAGGACTTTCCGGCCCTATTTAACTTTGAGCGATTTGCTGACCGACCGTAGACACCGCAAGCCCGCTGTCGATAGTGATGGGCGCAGCAGCCCGCGCAAACCCATTGCGACCGATGGAACATTTGGGACCATGATCTGAGCCTTGGTGGGAGCGCTTAGTGGACAGCGTTTGTTCCTTTCTAGCGGTCGATTTCTTTATTGTTCTCCCCGGATAGACGAGCTGGCTCGAATCTCGGCGGGCTGCATCGTTTCTTTATTACTGCCCTTGCATCTTTGAAATTCTGATTCGTGTCGTACATGCCTCTTAATGACCTACCCTTCTCTACTATTGTCTTAGTGTGCCTCTGGCCATGTCTTACTCTGCGCAGGAAGTCTACTTGCTGGAGTCGGATGAATTTGTTTTAGTGACTGTGTCTCAAAAAGGATGGAGTTGACAACCTTCGGAGCGTATTGATTGTTCTGTATGAATAATAATAGAACATGAATGGAATCTGAAAAAGTAACCGTTCCGTAGGCAACTTTTAAAAGTAATTATATTATCGTCTTGTTTGTTGTTGGCCCAGATGAATCACAACAGCAAGAGTCAATCAATTATGCTATACTTGCCCGAAACATTATATGTTGCTTAGATATGATTTCATTCCAGAGGTGAGATGGCCCCTCAATAGATAGCTAACATGCGGCGCAAGACACTGCGCAATCCGCATTAACCGTTCAATCGTTTCAAAACTCGCCAGAGCGAGAGGGGGAGAACAAAAAGACGAAAGCAGTCTACAATCTACTGATTTTTGTTCTCGCCCTCCGGCAATTGCTGCAGCATCTTGAGGATCACGGACTCTTTATCACCCACCACAGCCTGGCCGTTGTTCCAGTCGACGGTCTGCATCGCGTTAGCAAAACTGGCCCCAATCACACACCATAACCCAATTCAATAAAAGGGCAAAAAAAGCTCAAAGCATAAAAAACATTCCGCACTCACCACCGGCCTAACAAAATTATCCCCATTCTCCTTGACCTTCTTCAACGCGTCCGCTGCATCTTTCGCTCCCCGCACGATATCACTAATACTCTGCTTGGGATCCGCGCGCGCCGCATAATCCAGGATACTGCGCAGCTGGTCCGGAGTAGGGGGTTCTTCGGTGACTTCGAGTTCGAATTCGCCTCGTTCGCGTAGTGCTTGGGCCGTGTTGTCGGATGCTTGGTCGATTGTTGTGGTTTCGGTGGCTGTTGCGTGGGCGACTTTGAGGAGGTTGAGGGTGCGCTGGGAGGCGGGTACGCTGGGTTTGTGGAAGAGGGTGACGACGTCGAAGGTTCGGGCCTGGGAGGTTGGAATTAGTTGGTGGTTGTTAGGTATGGATTGGGTGAGTGAGTGAGTGAGTGATTGATGTATTGATGGGTGGTGGCATGATAGCCAAATGGGATGATGGTATGAGTCTGTTCAGCAGTGAAGAATGAACGGGGGGATGGATGATACTTACGAAACGGAACATTGTGCTTGCGATTGAGTCGATTCAAGATAAGATAAAAGTAATTGGTATAATCCGTGGATAGAGAGAGATGTCAAGCTCAATCAGATGTAGTTAAGTTAAGTGAAGCTGGAGCTTCTGAGTCCGTAGTCTACCTAAGAGTAAGAACGCGCTTCTTGGCTCTCCGCTCGGCCGTTTCGGCGGATCAAATCGAAGCTAACGGAACCGCATACGTCATGGCTTAGAGTAGAGATATTGCGATTTTCTATAGTTATTATTATACTATTTATTTCTTATTATGGAGTTACGTACAAGCGTGCTGCTGTATTCAATTATTTATAGGAATTGTAGTAACGATTGATGCTTTCAATAATTCCAAGACGGCTCATGAGTAATGTAGTTTGAGCCGGTCAGATAGATTACAGGCGACACAGAGAAAAGAAAGAGACTAAAGAGCTAGCAGTTTGTTTCCATTCTTCTTCTAAAACTCAGCGTGTAAAGGAGACGGTGAAATCTGATCCTATGAACACGCTGGTGTATTATTCTCTAGATATTAGAGGAAGCTCGAGACAATCTTGTTCTGGTGGCAGTGGCATGCTGAATATGTCATGGTATCAAAAGGCAACACTATGAGATTCTATCTCCCCCCGAAAAATGCAGCGTGAGATGCTAATATAAGCCCTACACCTAAGAGGGTGCCATCCAATCAGCTCTTTTGACTCCATCATGGCAAAGAACTCTAGTTTGACAATGTAGACGAAAAGCCCAAGAGTGATCGGTGGCTGTGAGTGTCTTTGCGATGTTATGAGCTGGCATGGATCGGACGAGGTCTGCTGTTGGGATCGCCATACTTGAACAGCCGGAAATCGTAGTTGATGTCTATTACCCCTAAAGCCTCAAGACTCGTAACGACACGCCGGAACTCCAACAGGAGTCCGCGCAACTGGCGGAGCAGTTCAGAAACGTCGGCGGCATCGGAGCCCGCTTCGCGAAGATCGGGGCTACATTCACCAGATATGATGGGCACCCTTATCTCTAATTCTATCTAAGTAAATATCAGTATAGAAAATCATAGTTGAGACCAAGGAATGAGATTAGGACGGTGAGTTATCATGATCTCACCTTGTACATATGACTGCCGGGTTCCTCTCATAATACGCCTACTGAGTCGTGAGAATAGAAGAGTAACTTAGACCCTCGGCTTTTACCCATTGACTCATCAGATTGCCCACTTCTGCCGAAGTGAAGCTTCCAGTATTTTTGTCTTCCAGGTGGGTCATCGCTCTCCGAGCTGCTTTGACTGAAGACAAGACCGAGGAGAAAGTGCACTGGCACGTTCCGTGATCCGGACTAAATGCGTCCAGATCTCATCTCGAGACAAGGAGTTCGGATCCCATCCATACGTGCTCCGCCAGATACTATTCTTGTTCGGAGCAGTTGCTAACTGATTTGTATTCTGGCTTTGTACCAAACAATCGAACTGCATACTCTGTTCCGAGATGTCAACTTCGACCTGCAGTTGGTATTTATTTTAAACCGAAGATGTAAGTACCAAGAAATTCGTTGACGTTGTCAAGGTCTGGTTCCCATCCGTGGTCTCTTTAGTGCCATTTCCCCGTCTCTGGACAAATAGCCCGAAACATAGCAAACTGCTTCTCTGTGACCTCTGACCTCGACTCTAAGAACTTATGGGGAAGGTCGTGTATAGTTTTGTTAACGAGATTCGCTCTGTTGATAAGCTCATTGATCTCCATCTGATCCATGGGGATAAAGAATCCCTGCACTTTGTGAGCAGGAAGTGTGCTTTAGGGCCTTCTCGATATTTCCACGAATTTGAACGAAGAAGAATAATACTCAAATAAGAGTTTTGTGTCTGAGTATCAAAGAAGAATCATATGTGGTCACAGGGTAAATGTTATGTTCGAAGACAATTTGTCAAAAATTGCGTTTGAACAACAGACTGTGCTTACTCATGTCTGATTTTGATAGATGATCGACAACGGTTTAGAAAACGTGGGATGCTTAATTATTATCAATTGTGAAAAAGCTAGAAGCTTTTTTCGAGGCGTTTTCTGTGTGTGTGCTTTGCGATTAACTGGGTTCGTTTGGATTTGTCACAATCCGGGAGTTCAAGGGGTGAACATATTAACAATATATCATAGAAAAAGTAAGACAAGACCCGAAGAGACGATCGAGGGCGAAAGTAGGTGAAAAAGTGAAAGGGGAAATGGTATTGGATGGTTCCTTGGATAATTCATGCCGGTACATAACCCATGTTTATGATTGGTATCCTCGCCCAAGTTCGCAGATTATCGACGCAATACCATTCTTTTCATAAGAATATGCGCCGGACTGAAGAGTTAAGCTTAAATTATAGAGATTATTTGCGTTTCTGTAGTGGCAGGGCTTGGGAAGATAAACTGTTATTATTTCTTCGATCAGTTGTCTAATTCTTGTGTATCTGTGAGATCAATTACTTACTCCACTTTGCTTGAGATACGGAATGTTGGCGGCGTCTCTTTCCCAAACTTCAAATATACCGTTAACATGTTATATTGGTGTCCCTGAAATCTTGGTCCAATGGAGAAAAAGTACCATTTGGACTTTGCTATCAAGACGAGGCAAGCCTTTAGACCAGCCGCTCTGGATTGTAAGTAGATAGTTGTTTGGAGTTAACGTAGGAGCATATCTGGTTCCTTGCGGGAACCGGTATACTGCCCATTAAAGTTACGGATGGCTTAGCCAATATACCAAATGGAAGAGAATGTATAAATGGAAAAGGGTATTAGCAAAACCAGACTTGAGAGAGGAGGTGTTTAATCACCACGACAATGGAGAACCCCCTTGGGTTAAACTGAGGGAATTTCGAATTCAAGACAAAGTCTCCGCTGGTTTTCCGGTGTACAAAGATTCCAGTAAGGTTGAGATCTATCCGCTTGGTTTTCTTGGATACTTTTCGTATCAACAAAAGTAAACTCCGCGGCCATTGGAGGACAATCTCAGGGATAGAGAGTGCTTCTCCTTCGTCAATCTAGGCTTGCACTTTATCCGAATGAAGCAGTCGCTGGTCCTCGACTTACGCTCGATCCAGAAGTGATGGCATTGCTCCTTGGAAAAGATGCTCGTGATCGCCTGATACTGAGCTTCTCTCAAAATTCGCGTCCGTTTCCTCTGTCGTCATTGGAAAAGAAGGGCTGCTCTCTTCGTCCCTTATTTGTCGTCTTCTCCCCAGACTCAGGCGAGTTCGGAATGCCGTCCCTTAGAGTCGTCCAAGAGCTTCTGGTATACCCAACAGGTTTTCCGGGTCTCGGGGTTGCTTAAGGAGATCCATCTCTTGCAGACAATCATCCGAGCATCATCTATGTCGACTTGCTGCACAATTCATTTCTCTTCTGGCGAGACTCGGCCTAACTTGACCACCGCGCTGGGTTTATAGGTCCAGTCAACGCATTTTGGAGCGGAGACAGTAGTCTTCCAATGATATGTCTCGTGGAGCACAGTCTTTGCTCGAATCATTGTCCAGCTGCTTCGCTCCTTTCCTTCAAGTCACCAACTTTGATCTGTGGAAGACGGCTGCTTAACACGAATATCTCCAGCCGGCGATGTTCATGAAGTAGATATAGGTGATTTACCTTGCAATCAATGCGCAGAAAAGTAAACTCGTCTACATCAGTAAACAGCACCCATAAACAATCGTGTTTATCCTGCCCTCTTATCTCCGGATGTGATGTACCATGCCTATATAATACAATTAGCTAATATCCAAAGACAAGCGAGAAATGGTTGACTTGCCTATATACGCCACGCATTGGGACTACCGTAGACGTTCCTCTGTCACCGTATCCTATATTAAGTATATTCGGACTGGACTTTCTATTCAGGAGGTACCTAAGCTTGCCCTTTCAATATGACCCCCATGGGTAACCTTTAACTCCCCAACGACCTTCAAAACGTGATCGTCATCCTCAGCTCCCAAACGTGGCAGCGCAAAATCATGACTCAAGTTGAGTCGCAAGCTCCATAACCATTCCTTCCAACACGTGTGTCAAAATGGCGAGTTTCTCGATCATGTTCCGGATGTGGCGAATCAGATTACCCGCAGCTGGCGCAGGAGGAGGTTCGGGAGGGGGTGGGTGTATCATCATCAATTACGATCGGATCTGGACAATATGGAGTTAGCAGTATCCCAACCCATAGAAAGCCCTACTTACTTTCAGCCAGACCGGACGCAGGAGTAGGCTGGCCCATGCCATGAGGGATCAAGATCACGTCAGGAGTGCCGGTCAAAGTAAACTGCACGCATTTGAAATCTGCGAACAGGATTCCCTTCGACTGTGATATGAAAATGGAGTTTAAGTAGGTCGTCGAAGTACTTATGGAATCTCCCTTGTAGACCATGCTCGTCCCTGACCTTGACGTTTAAATCAAGCTGAGTTTCGGGGATAAGATCAAGAAGACCCTCCGAAGCCGCTGCCTCGCGAGCTTCACGCTCGCGACTCTCCCGGACGTTGCCGTGAGCCGAGTTTCTTCTTCGACATGCTACATACAAGCGCTATTAGCATACTGCCACATGAGACCGCGGAGCGCTTGGGAGACGCTACTACGCGCAACAGAGCACGATGTTGTTGTTCCGTTCGGATATGTCAAAAGTAAAGATGAAGTTGCCGAAGGACTTATAGACATCATCTCTCTCGAAAAGCGATACCATTCGAGCGGTCATTGATATTCCATGGTTTCAATTTTGTAGGATCTTGCCCCAAATAACTAAGTATGCGGAAGCCTCTCGAGACGAATGACTTGGAAGAAAAGGTTCGATATTAGAAAGAAAAAAAGATCTATACAGAATGCCAGGTCACGACGAGGAGTAGAGTAGTGTTCGTAAATAGATATATAAAAACTCATATAAACCACCCCCAGACCCAAGATATAGACATCGTAGTCTCCAGTTTCGACCATTTGGCTCACGACAGGTTGAACCGACAACAATTAACTAGACACTGCTTTGCACAAGTCAATGCAACATTGCAGCGATTGTTATCCGTAGTGAAGCCAAGGTCTGCTAGGGTGTCAGTCCACCCAGTCAAGGATGATACATTCTGCCTCATGCCCTTGTCGGGAGTTCACTGTATGGAGTTGACTGTTGCCACCTTGATCATGTCATTCCAGCGGATGCCCTCCTCTTCCGCGAGAGCAATCAAAGAAGGCTCTGGGCAAGGCGATCAAAACCAAGACGGAGCTTCAGAAATAAAGAAAGGTATAGACCACTTCTAGCGTTAGACTTGATTGACTTTGGTAGTGGTAGATTGATGATGCTAAGTAGTGCTTCTGTATAGTTCGGGTATTTCTTTTGGCTTGCTTGGTTGAGCCGCCATATCTAATATAGATGATTTATGATCGATGCTTTTGAAAAAAAAACAAGACACAGAGAGGAGGGATGCTCTGTTGGACTTTATATAGGAAGTAAAATGAATAGTCCAGGCTGACTGTGATCCGGATGCATTCATATACCCATGGATGAGAACCTTGGAAGGGGGGTTCCGTCCATATGTGGCTTAGTACCTCTACTGAGTGATGGAGAATGTCTAAGTTAATAGATTTCTCAGTGGAGGGGTTGGATATTCACGGTGTTTTCGTTAGAGATGCGAGGAGTACTCCGCTTCTTGATACTGTATACTAGTGAATGAGAACTACGGGGTTAATTTCTGTGTCTTTTGAGAGGTATCGCGTTTAGTCTTGTTGTGTATTTCCCAAGTATGCGAAGGTAAACTTCCTGGATGTATATGGTTTAGAATAGTTACAATGCGATTGCAGTATTGGCTATTAGTGTCTATCTGTCCAGTTCCGAGTGTATATATGACAAAGGTAAACTGTTCAAAAGTCTCGCTGCGGACTGTAAAGAGGAAAGATACGATGGAATACGTTGATGAGATGTGGGTTATTTGGTTTCGTGCTGGTCGCGGTGCCCACCTCGGACTCTCACGAGTAGAGCCGCTACCAGCAAGACAATAAGTCCGATAGCGAACGTGTATGTCGCATTCGAACCTATGCTAGACTCCGCTGCCTCGGCGTGAGGACCATCCAGTCACAAGCCAGCGGAAGTTTGTCCGTCACCCTCGGCCGGCAGCGTCTTGTGCAGGAAACGCTCCAGGGCTTCGATCTCATCTGGGTCTGCGGAGTGGCCAAGGTCCCTGTCGGAAGTGTAAATACGTGAAACATGCACACAACGGGAAGAGAAAGGGACATACTCGTAGTCGTGGAACTCGACATTGATACCCATGTCCACCAAGGCGTCCTTGCTCATAACGCCATAATTGTATTTCACTACTTCGTCCTCCTTGCCATGTGCCATGAAGAACGGGGTGTCCTTGTTGGGGAAGTTCTCCGGGATATACTTCTTGATGCGGTCGCTGAGCAAGAGGTAGCATGAGAGACCAAAAACGCCTCCTAGTTTCTGCTCTCCTGTGATGCCTGTGAAAAGCGACATGGCACCACCCTGAGAAAAGCCGCCGAGAACAATTCGCGAGGGCTTGATGCCCTTCTCTATCTCTCCCTTGATCAACGTGTTGAAATAGTCGCGCGAGCGCAGGATACCTGGTTCGTCTTGCTTGCTGAGGAACTCTTCATAGTCCATCTGGGTTTCGCGTGAGCGAGGAATTGATTCACTTCTCGAGGAGAATAGTAGACTTACGTCTTTGCCCAGTTTCGCAATATCATACCAACCGGGCATGGACATGCCAAAGTTCTGATCCGCGGTTAATTCGACAATGTCGCATTCCACGGGCGATTTTGCAGTCACTACATACCACTGTGATGGGGATGACAGGCGCATTGGGGAAAATGAACGAAACTTCGTCAAACTTGCCCCGTCGGCGCCAGTTCTGCGCCAAAGACATCCTGCCAGTGATAGCCGCATTAGACTTGTCCACCGTCCTGCTCCCGATCGAAGTCAAGAGCCTTCTCGAAGTCCACAACCATATATAGACCGGATAAACGACGAGACGAGGGAACGTACCATCCTGCACCACTGGTTGGGATCAGTCAGTCAGATACTCTGCTGATAGCCAGTTATAACTGGCAAGGGGAAGACGTGGATAGGAACGGACGTACCTATCACCCAGACCATGCGCCATGATCACGGTGGCCGTATGCTTCTTCAGCGCAGGCACAACGAACGGTGCACGCACAGACATGGTGTCTTTGAATGTCTAATCCGTGTATGTCTTAGAATCGATAAGAGACGCAGCTCGAGTGAACGTGAACGCGAAACCAACAGGGCAACACGGTTGGCTTCGGGTCTCCGAGAGAACGGTGAGAGACTGTTGACTCCTTCTTCCGCAGAACGTGGAGGGGGATAAGATGGCGGAAGAAGATGCAAACTATAGTCGAGAGCAAGCGAATGCAAAGAAGCTGCAGAAGAAGCGACTGGATTTCGTAAATGGGACGCTGATCGACAAGATGCTTCGTCTTTTCCCCGCAGAACAGTCCGGATTCTGCCGCCAAGGTCCACTGCGGACTCACCGCCTTTGTATACTTCTCGCAATGCTCTTCACGTTGTTTGGTCTCTTCCCAGATATAACGGACTGGGAACTTGGAGGAAAGAAAAAAAAAGTATTTATGAATCAGATACCCATTTGAATATGGCTATGGAGATGTCTGATTTTTATTTTTATTTTTATTTTTTGAGTGAGCAGAGCCACCAAAGCTCAATGCCATAGAAGAAGCTCCACTACACTGTCTAGCCAACAGAAATATTTTGGTATCGGATACAACAGATACTCGTCACTCATTCACAATCATGATAACCGATATACACCTGCCCAAATGACAAGATACCACCCTACAACACAGCAAGACCACCAATCAGCGCAGCACCCATCATTCCCCAGGCAGCCGTCTCAAGGGGAGCAGCAGCACCCTTGGAGGTAGCCGTGGCGGCAGTTCCACTGGCGGAAGAAGAAGAAGAGCTAGATCCAGCACCACTCTGGGCCTGGCCATCGGCAGTAGACTCATTGGCATTGCGGGCGGCAGCAGCACCGGAGAAGGGGGTTGCGGTGACACCGGTGTTGTTCTTGCAGACCGTTGCAGATACATCGTCGCTCGTGACAGCAGATGTGAAGGTCACGTCGGCGCACTGTTGATATTGTCAGTGTCAGTCTGTTATCAAGTTCAGAATGCAACTTATGATCCACGATTTACGCACCGCGTATAGACCGCCGCCGTTATCTCCGTCCGTGACAACCTGCACAGTCGCATTGAGACCGTCCGTCAATGGGACTCCCTTCAAACTGACTGATGGCAAGCAGAAGGCGCCTAGGCCGGTGATGCCAAAGGTGTGAGCCAGAGTGATATTATAGTTGTCTCCCGGGTCGTTTCCCAGAGCCAGGAGGACCTCCGCAGCCGTCTGGCTGTGACCCAGAATCAAGGCGACGGGGATCGAGTCGGCGGATAGGGAGAGCTTGGTGCGGTTGCTTGATTGAGGAAAGCCACCGCAGGGGAATTCGGGCATTTTGTCCTCGTCAAAGCCTCGACTGGGGGGATATTCGAGCTTGAAGTGGGCGGCCGCCAGGGGCACAATGGCCGCCAGAGAGAGAAGGGAGAACTTCATGGTGATGGCTATTATTCTGTTGGCAGTAAACACAACGACCGGGGGATATCTTGAGTCGAAAGAGAAGTCAAATCAAATATTATGTCTAGAAGCTCTGGCAGGAATGCAGATTATTTCAGTAGTTATTAAGCCGCAACACCGGGGATCTAGAATCCCGGATCCAGGACCAATCCATCAGCAAAGCACGTGGAGACGCCATGTGGTACGATTCATCTCGGCTCTCAGACTTTGTGATACTCTGTTCTGCGGACTAAATCATGGCTTGGACTTTGTTATTCTATGAGTGACAAGTGCTGCATTGTTATTATACTTCAAATCGTCGTTAGCATATTCTTTTTTCCACCTGAATACGAAAACGACTCTATAGAAACCTCCAATACTCTATGCGGCCTGGACGAGTCATTATTAACAGCTAAACGAGTCTCTCGTTTCTCACCATCAATCCGGACATATCGCAAAAAGCATTCCCATCTCGATCCCGGCGGCATCCAGATCTAGATCCCAAGAGAGGAAGAATGAGTGGCGGGATCGATGATTGGGCAATGGAAGACGGGGATCTTAGCGTGGCCGATAATCTGCTCATTTGTGCTCAGCCTTTAACCTCTTTCGGAGGCTCGAGATCGCAGTTTTCGAACTAGAAAAAAAGTGTTACTACCATATACAGAAGAAACCGGAATTGCTGATACTAGTAGTAGTGGGCGGATCTGTCCGGCCTGACTCACTAGACGAGTTTAGTTTTTTCTCCGATTCTTATCAATAATAATAATAATATTACGCTTGGCCAACAAAGTTGATGTTCCTGTGCCTGTGCCGGATCCGGCCAATGACAACCACTTAGATAATAGTAGCATCGTGTTATGTACACAGAGCTGATTTGCTATTTGTACTTGGACAGACACTGGTACAGTACGACTGTAGTAAGCAGTATCGGACAGCAGCAGGCTGAGGTTGTACCGACCCGGCTTCTTTGTTGAGGTGATTAACTTGGCTGTCATTTGTGACAGGATGAAAGCTTTGACAGATCGGTATTCCGGCTGGACGACTCGTTTGTGCGGTATATTCTGTTCCATGATCCACACGAGGAGAAAATAGATCGTGTCAATAATGACTTCTCATTATTATCACCAAATAAAAGAGAACGAAGCTATCTTCGTCGTCATGCTATAGAAAGTAAAGAAAACAAAACCATAGGGGATATCATAATCGTAGTGCCCGTCAAGAAATACCAAAGTCATCAAAAAGCCCGAACAACCTCCAAGAGAGCGCACCAAGTCCCGCTGCGCCCGCAGAAAAGCTGCATATCCATCAATAATATCGACAAGGAAAGGTAGACGACATCCAGGTCGCATCTAGTGCTCGTTCCAGTGATTGTACTGGATGTATCTGCCTACTGCCAGCTCACCCAGGAAGGTACCTGCCAGAATGGAGCAGAAATAACCAACGTTCATCGTCATGACGCCCAACATCCTAGGCCCTTGGTTAGTCTGGTACACGACGAAAGGGATAATAATAGATCATGCAAACTTACAAGAGATATGCAACACCGGTAATGCACAGAACAATCAGAGCTCGGGGCAGATCCACGCTGAATCGCCAAGGCAACGCCTCCTGCGTGTAACGATGCACCACACGTACAGTTTCCTGCGCCCCTTCGGCGCTCACCAGAGTTGCTGTCTTGGCCTCAGGATCCGATGCGATACGTCCAGCTTCGGGGTTCTTTCCCGCGACGACGATGTAGCGCCGCTGCAGGTGGGCAGCGAGCCAGCGCTGCTCCATGATTGCTTTGAACGCGATGAGACCGCGAGCGATGATGGCGAGGATGATGAGAAAGATACAGGTGCCTGCATAGCCGCCCCGGGAGCTGGGTGTCCACAGTGTCGAGTACAGAGGCATAGTGTGGGTGTTGGTAAATACCATGGGCATGCTTGACATGTCCGACGATGACATGCCGGACGAGCTCGACGAGCCACTCATGTTCATGCTGCTCATATCCATATTGGCAACTAACTTGCGACGATATCGACGATTAGAGTATATAGTAAGGTAGTAGTGATGGGTTTCCGCCACAGCAATGGGATGAAAGAAACGAAGCCTTTCCCGGCAGTTGCACGATTGCTCTTGCAGTCAATTGCGAGCAGACCGGCGTGGTTACTCTTATAGACTTCCCACAGAGTAGGACAGAAGATGTGTAGAGCAAGCGTCACACGACGAACCAGGGTCGAAACCGTGAATGTATCAGTAACGAGAAGATTTGCGAGAGAACCCCAGGAATAATTATTAGTTAATTGCCTTCAGTTCGTATGGGAGAGGGAGATGGCCTGGATCTTATTGAAGCCGGGTGGAGAGAGAACGTGGTGCCGATCTACTTAGAGTGCGTAAGTAGTAACGGGCTGTCAGCGACAAGCTAAGAGAACGCGTAAAAATGCCTATAATAATAATAGTAATTCTTTTTCTTTCTCTTGCCCAGTACTGTAGTGGATTCACGCTTGAGCAGATTTCCTCAACTCTCTCGGGGCCGGAGTTGGCGCTTGAGCAGATTTTCTCCCACTTGCGTCCTATCAGGAAGCCGTCTGCGGAACCCGCCATCGTGCTGTTTGCGGAGTCCCAAGGATGAGACGGGAAAAATATTATTAGTTACTATTAATTATTATCGTTATGATTCTAGAGTATGCCAAAGATTGACTGACTGACTCTATCATTCTCGGGCCCATCAGACCTCGTGGTTGTCGTTCTTATCCTGCTCGTCCCGCGATAGGATCACGGGCGCTGCGTCTGGACCGGCTGGATCATCGATGGCCCATTCTCCTGCCAACCTCGTGGCTATTTACGATCCTAGATTTCCCCAGTGTTGATCGCTGACAAGTGCGACAGCCGTCTGACATATTACTGTTCCGGTGGTCTGGAGTTGTAGATGCGCTGATCCCCGCGATATAATCATACTGTCCCTCCAGACCTAGACACGGTCTAACACTTGAAACGGCCTCCCCCAGCAACGTTCTCCCGCACCGACAGGATGTCCATGTCGATGGGGGATATGCCCATGGGCGACATGTCCATGGGCAACGGGGTGCCCGGTCTCTTCTATCTCCAGAAGATGTACTGGGCTGTCGTCGGCTCTGCAATTGCGGCCGCCACCGTTGTGCACGTTCTGGACCGTTTCCTGGCTCGTCAGCGGTAAGTGCCTATGGCCCTTGCATAATAGTCCTGGTAAGAAGATAATAATACTAACGGACAATGGCAGGCTCCGGGACACATCGCTCAATCCGTCAAAACCAAAGTCGCTTTTCTTCGGGATCTATGCCACAATCACTGCCATATCGCGCGAGGTCGCATATGCCACCCTGCGACCTTTGTCGATCGGCACGAAATCGTTTCATCTGCCTCCACTGGGGCCAGTGGTCGTTGTCTTGAGCAATTTGGTTGTGGTGCTGGTATTCTGCTTCTATAAGCTGGATAGCACCAACCGATGGAACTGGGAAAATGTCGGGTACAGGACCGGTTTCATCGCCCTCGCGCAGCTACCCCTGATCTTCCTTCTGGCGGCGAGGCAGAATATCATTGGATACCTGACTGGCCTGAGCCATGAACGCCTCAATTGGTTCCATCGCGCGATCGCCCGTACCCTCTGGCTTAGTGTCACCATCCATATGGGCTTCTGGTTCCGTGACTGGGCTCAGTACGACTATATCACGTATCAACTCAAAAATGACCCCTTAACCAAGCGTGGTTTCGCGGCGTGGTGTATCCTCACCTTCATTGTTATCTCATCCGCTGGCCCAGTTCGCCGCTTGAGCTATGAGATATTCGTCTTACAGCATATAGTGACCTTCGCTGGGTTTCTTGCCGCCGTATGGCTCCATGTTCCAGATGAAGTCAAAGCCTGGGTTTGGATTCCCATCGGCCTGGTAGTGTTCGATCATGTCATTCGTTACGCCTTGGTTCTATATGCCAATATTTCCTTCCTCCATCCCTTTGCACGGAGGAATGGTCGCCTGCAGAACAGCTTCTTTGCCCATCAGGCCTCGTTCACTCCGCTCCCGGGCAATGTAACTCGGATCACGGTGGAAAATCCGGCCATCCACTGGAAGCCAGGCCAGCATGTGTTCTTGGCTTGTCATTCCATTGTGCCTTTTCAAAACCATCCGTTCACCATCGCGTCACTTCCCTCTGACAAGAAACTGGAGTTTCTTGTACGGGCTGAAAAGGGAGGGACTAGAAGGTTCTTCCAGTATGCCTCGAAGAACCATGGCATTCTCGGTGATTCAGGCACCGCCGCAGTCACTCGCACCAAGACAGTTTTGCTTGAAGGCCCATATGGTGGAATGCGTCCATTGCGTCAGTTCGACAGCGTCATCCTGATGGCAGGTGGCATGGGGGCTACATTCGTTGTACCCTTGCTGAGGGATCTTGTCGAGGGGTGGAAAAAGGAATGCACTGAGCCTCCTGCAGCGTCCAGGGTGCGATTCTTCTCAGCAGCTCGACTTGCTGCAACCAAAAGAATACGTGTAGTGTGGGTCATTCGATCGAGAGCCCAGCTGAGCTGGTTTGAGTCTCAGCTTCAGTCAGTCCTGGCCGATCTGGAAGTGTGCAGGCGTGTGCAGCCCGATTTCGATAAAACAATCGAGCTTAGCATCTATGTTACATGCGACGAGAAGCTGGATGAGAAGCCCGTTTACCTGCAGCCACCGTCACATAGCGCTCCTGTTCAGCCAAAACCGCGCATATCGGTTCTTGATGAAGACAAGATGGAAAACAAGGTTGTCGAGAAGGACGGTATCTCTGCTCATTCCACATCAATATCTGCATCTCAGCAACAACTTCCCGATGAAAAGGGCCACAGCTGTCTCCCCGGAGGCGGTTGCTGCTGCGCCATGACAATTGAAGAGGAAGATAAGACATCGATTTCGAAATGCGCTTGCTCAGGCCCTGCCCCTCCACCAGAACTGCCTAACCCGTCACTTTCGTCTCTTGAGGAGTCTATCCCATCCCATCCCATACCTCTTCTCTCGGGGCGGCCCCACCCGCGAACCATCATACGCAAGGTTCTGGAACAAGCTGAGGGTGAAAGCGCCGTCGTCGTATGTGGCCCTCGCGGCCTTGCAGATGATGTACGCCGTAGCGTTGTATATCTTAGCGACGAGCGCGCTGTTCACAAGGGAACGGGTGCCCAGGGCATTTACCTCCATGTGGAGGCTTTCGGGTGGTGATATACCTGAGACATCGATGTTTTCACTAATCTATTGCATGCATGGCGAGGCGTTCCTGGTTGGGTATTGGGATTTGATGATAAGGATAAAGTCACGAATGAGACGGCATTTCTGTTATTGCATCCAGTGTGGGATTCGACGAATCCAGTTCTGGGAGAATTTATACGGTCAAAATAAATGCATTATGTACCGCTAGTTGATATTTCAAAGAGTTCTGTCGACTTACTCTGTAATTTGGTCTGCTCTCATTGCGTGCTGAAGTTGCCCGGTTGGCCTGGGAAAACACCGCCCCGCATTACATCTCCCCTGTGAAATCGACGTCGAAAATGACCACTATCGAGGCGATATGGTATACGGTCGGATTTCCACTGTAACTCTCACGGCGAGCCGCCGCTTTAGCGTTCCACCACGTGCTGTTATGCCCCAGGCTCTTTCCTGGCTCTCCTATCTGCTGTTGGACATCAAAAGTCGATATATGGAACATCGGAGTGCTACTTTGGGACTTATTTGAAGACCACCATTTGTTTGACGGTAGTAGAACACTCAACCGGAAGCAGTCAGACGTACACCTTCTCGCTGAAATAGAAGCTGTGCTGGGCCCTCCACCTCTCAATTTCTTTGGCAAATATCCTCGAAGTCAAAAGTACTGGGATTCCTCGGCTAAGATCTTCACAATTGAGATATACCTAGTTGTTTTTGGGAACGAGAATATTTACCTTGCTACCAACACAGTAGTGTTCCACCTAATATAGAATTGTTAATCCAACACAAACCACCCAAGAAGACAGTGATAAGTTCAGCTGATCACTGTTGGATCAGGCATCTGGAAATCATGTATTTTGTGAGAGATCCTGCCAGCATTAGTTATACAGGGCCAGCAACAGCTGTGCATTCGTCGGGAAAGAACATCTACTGACAGTTCAGGCCCGGCAAGTCGACTGCAAGTCGATGAGGGAGCGACAGCGGTATGCCTTCCCCTTAGCAATTGCTGACTGACGGCTGATAGGCTTCTGTCGGTGCGGTGGCAGCTTGTCTGCTTCTGAAGGACACAGGTTCCGTAGCTTATTGTGTCGTTGATATATGTTCCCATAGGAAATATTATCATGAGCAGTTTGCTCCTGCTTCCGATTGTTGATATTTTTATCTACGGACTCAATGAGCCGCAAGGGATCCAGAAGATGGAGTCTATTGAAACTTGTGTTTCTGATGATAGGAATCCTTTTACTCGTCTCCCCCAGGTCGGCATTCCCGAATTGGCTACTTGCAGAATTGCTAATCCAATGCGTTGTCGAAACCCGAGATGGATTCCTGAAGCACCGACACTTCTTATTCTTTTCCCCCTTCGCAATTTTCTAGCTCTTTATCTACTCAGAAAACCATACCGCTCATAATAGGTGTAAGGTCCTACAGCATCTATAAGATTTTCATCGATACAATACATTAGCTGTCGGGTTCTATAGCCTCCGTAATATCACCATCCTAAGCCTGACCGAATACTTGGGTGTTTTGTACGAACATGAGTAATAAACGCCGAGTCATGGTCACGATCCACCACCGTGATGAAATGTCGCTCGGTGAAAATCGATCACGGTTAGGCTACGAAGCATTTCACTGGGGAATCTTGATTGCGCCTAAGGGCTCCAAAGGCCCTGACTGCACGGCATACGATGTGTCTGATGGGGCAATTCCTGATCCGAATACTCGACAAGATCTCAATCCAGAACGAAACTGGTTCTTCCGACCTAAGGAACGAGTTGACCCCATCAGAAGCGGTCGTCTTATCGGTAGAGTGTTGATCGGAAAGGTTCCAAACCATATCTCAGACGCGCAAATCCAGACGATTCTCGTCGCGGTTCCTCTTCCGATTAAAAATACAACAGAGAGCTGCGTGACTTGGACCTCTGCTGCAATCAGATCGTTACAAAATAATGGAATAGCTAAACAATTCGACATAGATCGGTTTATGGGTCGGGCCCTTACGTTGGCTGATGAGTGGTTGGCGAAACCCAAATCTGACAATCTCTACGATTATACCAGAACATTTTCGTAGTCATTATAATCAGATTACGGATTTTGTTGGCCTATTTATCGTATTGCTATTATTCACCGGTTCACATACGGTGATCCTGGACGGGATCGTGTCATCACCAGGATCATTGGCAGGAGTCCACATCGATGACTGACTATTCTTACGAAATGAATTAGTGTACAGGATTATAATACAGACAAGTGTCCTAAACAACGGTCGATTATACACGCTTTGAGGTCGCAAAGTTGTTGACCCATTGCTGTGCCATTCCCGGTTCGTTGAACTGCTCCCATAAAGCACGTTCTGCAGCCAGTTCATCATCATACCTCGCTACAACACTTCGAAGTTCCTCATACCAGTCAGGCATATTGAGGAGTCCATAATGCGCTTTCGTGTATTCCCAATACTCTGGATACCAACCCGCGAATGCCCAATCAACTAGCGCAACGATCTTGCCATCGCGAACAATGATATTTCGCGGCACGAGGTCTGAGTGGGAAAAGCAGCTTCGATATTGACGAGAATGACAACGTGAAACTGCTTCGCCATATACCTGTGAACAATTCTCTAAGGGAATATGCCCACGAAGAAAAGAATGGAACTCTTCATGATCATGAAATGGCCCAAAGAGACTGGTTCCCACCCGATAGTCGAGAACACCTCTGAGTTCTGCTGAAGCCACTATTCCCTCATGTGGTGGTTTGAGCCGTCGAAGCTGTTCAACGAAGCCAGCAAGCTCTTTGACAATAGCCTTTTTCTGAGCTGGGGACAAAACGCCACCAATCCATGCGGTTTCAAGACTTGTTCCCTTAATGTATTCCATTTCAATGTAAAGTCCCTCAAGCTGATCGTAGGTCGCGTAAACCTTTGGTACAGGTATGGATGTGGATTTGGCGACGTAGTTGAGAGCTTCCAGCTCTGCCAATTGACAAGGCCCTTTGATGACTCGGTCTCGACTAATCTTGACGAGGGTCGGCCCTAGAGAACCAAACACCTTCTTGCCGATTAGAAGCCTAACTTGTAGAATAAAAGATGTTATTCTACCAAGGATGCATGCGATCATGGCGCTGGTCGCAAGATGGCAAGATGTTTTAGCATAAAGTCATCTGACTATAGCAGACTATACGTACTCAAGTATATAGTTAGATTCTTGATAATGGAAAAGCTCTAGAGGGCAGTGTTAGAAGAGTTGAACGCAGAGAAGAGCTAGACACGCGACGACGACGTTCGCGGCGCCAAGGGGACGCTAAATTTATGTCTACGCGACAGACAAATTGTCCATTCCTTGGACATATGAACTCGCATATCTGTGTCTCGCGCGAAGGGCAGATATCACGCCGGCCTCGACCAGCCCACAGCAGCATCAATGGCCAAACGTTGGGAGGAGCGTTGCATTTATCATAGAGGGGCGGTCGGGTATGGTGCTTAAGTATCGGTGGTGCGGATTCGCCGAAACAGGGCGCTATCCCCGACCTGGTAACTAATTCAACTATGGACCCAATGGACTACCATCCCCGCAACCCATGCCAACCATAGAACAAAACAACAGAAATGGATTCTCAGGTTGCCTATTATGACCTTGGTGGTTTTCACCGTACAGTGACAACAAGCAGCGATGATGCACAAATCTGGTTTGACCGCGGACTGGTCTGGACATATGCGTTCAACCACGAAGAGGCGAGTAAATGCTTCAAACACGCCATTACCCTGGACCCCACCTGTCCGATGGCATACTGGGGATTAGCATATTCGCTCGGTCCAAATTATAACAAACCATGGAGCGTATTTGATGATGCTGAACGTGAGAAAACAATCAAGAGCACACACGAGGCCGCGGTGGCAGCCCAAGAGCATGCTCAGCATGCCTCCCCAGCTGAGCAATTGCTTATCAGAGCGGTTCAGTTCCGTTATCAGAAAGACTCAAAGGAGCGCGATCTATCAATTTGGAACAAACAGTACGCTGACGCGATGAAGATGGCTTATACTCGCTTTCCGGATGACCTTGATATCGCAGCTCTGTACGCGGATGCGTTGATGAATCTGACCCCTTGGGCGCTGTGGGATATTCGAACCGGACAGCCAGCTGAAGGGGCCAGCACCATGGAAGTCAAAAAGGTACTCGAGCATGCATTATCACTGGAAGACGGCTTGAAGCACCCGGGGATACTGCATTTATATATACACCTCATGGAGATGTCTGGGACACCAGAAAAAGCACTTCCCGCTGCCGATCATCTACGTCTGTTGGTTCCGGATGCTGGTCATTTAAACCACATGCCTTCGCATATTGATGTTCTCTGCGGCCACTATGAGCAGGCTATAGTCTCGAATACGGATGCTATCCGTGCGGATAGAACATTTGTTTCTCGAGAAGGCGCCATCAACTTCTATACGCTTTATCGGGCGCATAATTATCATTTCCGTTTATATGCGGCAATGTTCGCAGGGAAATTTCAAGTCGCGTGGGACACGATCATCCAGCTGGAGGCGTCAATACCGGAGGATCTACTCCGTGTGGAATTACCGCCCATGGCAGATTGGCTCGAGGGCTTTCTTGCCATGCGTGTGCATGGTCTCGTCCGCTTTGGGCGTTGGCAAGAGATATTAGATCTCGATCTGCCGGAAGATCAGAAATTGTACTGTGCAACAACAGCGATGCTTCACTATGGAAAGGGCGTGGCATATGCTGTGATTGGGGATATTGAAAATGCAGATAAGGAGCAGGTCCTGTTTTCACGCGCCGTGGAAATTGTCCCTCATTCACGTGTAGTTTTCAACAATACGTGCCGTGATGTTCTTCAGATAGCCGAAGCAATGCTTGCCGGGGAACTGGAGTATCGAAAAGGCAACTTTGATATCGCCTTCGACCATCTACGCACAGCTATTTCTCGCTCTGATTCCCTGCCATATGATGAGCCATGGGGCTGGATGCAACCACCTCGTCATGCGTATGGGGCACTTCTGCTGGAGCAAGATCGAGTAGAAGAGGCAGCAGCTATATATGCGGCTGATCTTGGGTTAGACGGTACCTTGCCCCGCGCGCTGCAGCATCCCAATAATGTATGGGCATTGCACGGGTATCATGAATGCTTGCGGCGACTCGGGAGAGACGATAAGGAGCATACTATCCACAAACTGCTGGCAGACACGTCGGCTACAGCGGACGTCCCAATCCGGGCTTCGTGTTTCTGCCGCAAGAATTAACTTTCTTGTCAAGAGACAGATGATCTTGAACTGGTCATTTCTTTTGTTGTCGTGATGCTATGAGGCTCCGAAACTGTGCATGTAGATCGTTGCGAGAGTGAACGGACATTTTCTCGTAGTGAGAGACCGGTGCAGATAGTAATTGAGATCAATTTTATTAACTATCATGTCTTGTTTCTTTCTTGGAGTGAATCCTATTGGGTACGGGTCTGTTGATAGCTGGAAGCGGTTTATATTTCCTTTCAGGCCATAGGTACTGCTAGCTCGGATAGGCACCTGAAATAAATGTAAACAGATATGGTATCCCTCAACATGAGACGCATTATCTCTCAATAAATATTGATATAAGTTTGGTGTTTGGCAAAATGTCCTTGTATATCTCGCGGATTTAGACGGGCAATGTCTGTACTTACATAATCAGGGCTTTGCGGGCGGAGAACCCTAAGGCTAAACCTGAAGTCTCGCTTAACGAGCCCACTAGCGCCAAACGGTGTGCACTCCTCGGGCGGCCAACCTTAGCGCGAACTTCGATATTGAATCTGAAATTGTCACACCCATCTCCCACGACGCCCAGCGAGCGAGACCTAACAAGACCGACAAGGTATGCTATTCTGCACTGGCTTTTGAAATCAATCGCTCGTATCGAAAAGACCTGTTCGTACTAATATTTGGATTTGAAGATGGCCCTCGCAAAGAAGCACGTCCCGATCGTGAAGAAGCGTATGTTCTGCTCCTCCCTCCGACTTTTCGTTACAACTTGAATGTCCTGCGATGTGAGGAAACAAGGAGCTCTTGTGGTGGACTGAAGGAAAGAGGAGGAAATATCTTGAATGTGATGATTGAGATTGTGCCACGGGGTTTCTGGTGCCTTTCGAGAATTCATCCGGACAAGAGAGGACTGGACAGGGAACACTCGACATGAATTGTTATACAGAGTCGACTGACGCCCGAATTCTACAGGCACGAAGCGCTTCTTCCGCCACCAGAGCGACCGCTTCGCGCGTGTGGACCCCTCATGGCGCAAGCCCAAGGGTATCGACAACTGCGTCCGCAGACGCTTCAAGGGCACCATTCCCATGCCTTCCGTACGTCAACCTTTATCTGCTCCCAGGCCTCGGAAATGCATGAAACGGAATAAAACAGAAACGAATGCTGATGTGATGTGATGATGGATAGATTGGTTATGGTAGCAACAAGAAGACCCGCCACATGATGCCCTCCGGCCACAAGGCTTTCCTCGTCCACAACCCCAAGGACGTTGAGCTGCTCCTGATGCACAACCGCACCTACGCTGCTGAGTACGTCACCCTACGATTCTCCTTTTTGGCATGAGAAAAATACGGTTCTCAGATGCTCGAATTGTCTTTTCAATCTCTCTTCTCGGTTCCACATGGAACGAGATGATTCTTATCGACGAGCTAATCTAACCACGACATCTTTAGGATCGCTTCCGCTGTCTCTTCCCGCAAGCGTGTCGACATCATCGCCAAGGCCAAGGCTCTCGGCGTCAAGGTCACCAACGCCAAGGGCCGTGTCCAGACTGAGGCTTAAACGGGTCGTCGTTTGTGTATTTGTGGTCATAATGAAAGTCGGGATTGCGGGTACTCCTTGCCCTTCGCTCATCATATCAAATGAGAGTAGAAAGGGGATTATTAACACAAAAATGCTGGTTCTTTAGTGTAGTTGCGAGGAGAATCCTGGGAAATTCACTGCACGGGTTCGGAAACCATTCCAGCGCACAGGAAATCAGTCAATTCAAGAATTATGAAAACGATTCTATTTTCCCTCAAAAGAAGAAAAGTTCCTATCATCTGTTTTGGAGTTGTCTCCCGTTCAGGATCTTGCAGATGGCCATTAATGACAACCTTTTCACGATCTTAAACTTGTTACGTCTTCTGTAGCTCTATTTTCACTGCAGTAAACTTCCAAGGTCCAATCCCAGAACTCGACAACGAAGTTGTATACTTGCCGATGTAGTAGCTTGATTCCATGCAGGGGGCCTGTCGCGTCAACTCTCGAAAAGGGACCAGGCGGACGACGTTGCAGTTAACCCGCAGAGGATATATATATATATATATATGAGCAGGATTGCTTCCAGTAGATTTCTTCATAAGGTCTATTTTGATGGCATCTATACAACACACAGTACATACTGCGTGCATATATATATATCAAACAACGTTATATCATGTTATCCCGAGATGGGAGGCCCTACATAATATGCTCATGCCCAAACGTTCCATATGACAGACCAGCAGTTCAAGAAGGAAGTAATTAAGCAAATGAGATCCATACACATTATTCGTCGCAAAGAATTATCTAAAATCTTTTAGCACCAGATTTGACTCAAGGAACGAAAAGGGGTAGTTCCCGACTATCCATCCGGGAGAGGTTTCGTCCAGGATAACCTGTTGCCGTCTTATGACCCAGAGACCTATCATCTTCACGGTCCGCGGCACTCTGGACGGAGGTCTCAAGAGTGACTTTGATTCCGTCAAGTCGACTACGACGCTGCTCTAGGGAGTGAGAGCCAGCATTCCCCGTGTCCGGGGTTTGCGCTTCCAGGATATATTGCTCGTCGTTTCCCCACCTGGTCTCTGGCACGGATAGGGGATGTTGATATATCCTGCGTTTGTATCCACTGGAGTTTCCAGGAGTGTTGGGCTGATCCGAAATGGCATCTTGGGACTCTGAAGGGAGTATTCCAATTCGACGCAGGATTCTGCGGAAGAGAGGGTAGATCATGGGAACATTGAAAATAATTACGGCAACGAAGGTCTCACGGCATGCCCAGCTTCCGGCTTGTTGGGCACCATTGGCACCAGCCTTTGGGAGCGCGAAAGTTAGTATTGGGGTTATTATTAGACACGGCGGAGCGCAGCAGGGTTTGTTGCTTACTGTGAGAATCAAAACACAGCGCAGAATTCCTGCCATCATGACGAAGAGACCGCCGCTGAAAAGGGCCATGAGGGAAAGCCTACGACGGAGAGGGAGACGGGCTCTCCAGAGCATCTGTACCAGATCAACAAAAATTCGCTCTCCTGAATGAATGATTTAATGCCTAGCTCATATACTTACCGGTGCGGGGATTGTCATCAAGTATGCGTCCGTGGAAACGTTCAAGACAACCGTCACGTAGATCTCTATTTTGGACACGGCCGGTTGGATATGATCTGAAAGGAAGGAGTCCGCATCTTTATGAGCAATTGATCGCTAGGGTTCAGTGTTCCATATTCCCCGGATTAGGGTAGATCTGCCAATTCTTGTGCATAGGATGGCGCCCAAAGAGAATAGATAGGATTACTGCGATATATGTAGCGCCTACCGCGACATAAGTTATTCGAATGCGAACCGCCATATCCAGTAGTCCTGATCTGAAATGCACAATAGCCAATTAGGTTCAAATAGACCATCTGGGAACATAGACCGGGAAAGAGATATACTCACGTAAGGCGCGAATAGAAGACAGCCATACATGACTTTAGAGTCCAGAGCAGAGTCGTGTATAACGACCATCCCGTAACCTGGATCTTGGAGCCTCCTACTCTCATTTTGTATTCTGGTGAGTTGGGATCCAGACTTGCCCGTTGTTCATTTGTCATGGAGTTTTCGCAAGGCCATGAAAACGGGCCCCAACGGAGTATGCGGCTCCTGTCTCTAACCCGTATATGACGTATATGCGTAGAGACGTAATAAGTATATCGGTTTATTCATCCTCGTTCGACTGGTCAACTTACAGCAGCTCCGAGCATCAAATAATCATCGAGCTGGAAGTTCCTCAGTCCTGCTGAGGTTAAACGAGCGTAGGTGCGCACGGCAATCACAACGATTGCAATGGCAAGAAGAGTGAAAGCTTCCGTAACAAACTCAGCCATGGTCTGTACATGTGTAGCCGTCTTCGAGTGGCCGAGGCACAGTGGAGGACGAAACGGAAGAGAGAAAAGAGCGAGCGGCGAAGGATGTATCCATCAATTGCCCTCCGACGCCATTCTGCTTGAAACAAAGCATTTATGACCTTCTTTGATGGACAGCCCAGCGGCAGATGAACTCGCCATCAAGGCCGACATCTTGAACTATTTGCCATAGATGCTCGATCAAGGTATGACAAGTCAAGATTAGAACCTGTAACGGCCGTCCCAAGCCAGACGACTAGCGTGCCGGAATTGACATGCAAAGAAGGCCAAAAGGTTGCCATGTGGTGGGGGAGCAATCTCGGACTCCATGAAATAAGGTATATGTCCGTCTAGACTCTGATACTTTCCGATTTATCCGCTGTTTAGCTGTTCGGCCGTCTTGCAGTACCAAGGCCAGGGTGCTTGTTCTTTATCCAAGAACTCGTATCTTCTAACGGTCCCACAGACGCCTCCCAAGAAAAAAAAAGACCTGTAGAAATTCGAATAGTCTATCAAATAATCATCGGGTATTGTCCGGCCTGGACTTGCCTCTAGATTAACTATAGGTGACTACAGCATATCAGGGATCTTCGCTTATCTTCGTGATTGAGGTGCAGATAAAGACTGCCCTTCCCGGTAATCCACCGTGAATAATCCCAGTTTTCCTCTGGGTAGCACAGATAGTATGTGGTATCCACAGAAATGATAGACGTCCTAGACCAATTCGCCATGAGGGAAGGCCCCGTGCTGGTTGGACGCGATTGAAATCTGATAGTGAAAATGAAAATATAGTGTTATTTTCTGCAAGCAGTTTCCTGCAGGACACGTACCATGCCTGTGAGCCGAGGATGTTTCCGTTACTTCTTGGTTCTGCGCTCAGGACTCTTGTTCGCCTCTCTCTCAAGTACTCTAAGTCTCGGTTCCTGATATCGAATCCGGAGTCGTTCCAGGCGAAATGTCCCCAAGATCCTAGCAGGCGGGTTTTACGAACTAACGGGACGTTGCCGCCGTCCCGTTCTCCATAGTCTGTGCCAATTGCCAAGATCTGGAGGCCATTCTATCGATTCGTCCAGCTCCTGACAGGCCGCAGGTGGCACAACAGACTGAGGCCGTCTCTGCATCATGGAACCATGAACCCAGCATAGCCCTAGCGCTATTTGAGCTCAGCAGCACGAGCTCGCTCCTTGGCTGTTAGATATTATGCTCTTCTGCTTCGAAGTTCCAGTCATTTGGGCTGGATTGGGGCGGGGATTTTTAGTGTGCGATGCTGCGGGTTGGTCTTTGTGCCCAGTCCACCAACATAGCGAGTTTCAAAGAGACCGTTGCCGCCCGCCAAAATGGACCAGTGGCTGCAACTGCACTCGCTACTAAGAGGAGCTGGTCTGGCTGGTCGCAATAATGGCAATTCGTGGGACCTGAAAAATCGAGCTATCCTAGTCATGGAACTACGCTTCTGTGCAGAGGCTAAGAGCTTCCAATGGCTCTTCGCTTGCATTGCAGAGTTTGGGACTTGAAGACATTCTGTGTCCTCCGTGGATGTTATTACTAGACTCAATGCTGCTGCTTTCTTTTTGACCCAATTACTTTTGCACTCGCGGTAGCAACTACCACCTTTTCTCTTTTGGAGTCCTTGGAAGGGATCCGTGAAAAAAGCTCGAAGATGACGGACACCGTTGATGTCGCGATCATAGGCGCAGGTGAGTTGTTTCTTTTCCCTGGTCCAGAGGCCAGTTGTTAATCTGCTGGCAGGTTGGAGTGGTCTTGCTGCAGCGAAGACATACATCAAGGTCCACCCAGGGAGCAATGTTATCATTCTGGAGTCTGCATCGTCTGTGGGCGGTGTGTGGGCTAAGGAACGTCTATACTACGGACTGAAGTCCAATAATATGCTGGGAACGTACGAGTACAGCGACTTCCCAATGGATTCGGATATATTCGGGGTCAAACCTGGCCAGCATATCCCAGGCGATATCCTCCAACACTACTTCGAAAAGTATGCCGAGCATTTTCAGATTCTCGGTAGAATCCGTTTAAATTCAAAAGTCGAGACCGCAGAGCAGAAACTCGATGGCGGATGGCGGCTCATTGTGACCGAGCGCAATGGTAATGAGCCAAGAACCAAGATCATTGAGCCTTCCAAACTGATTATGGCCACCGGGTTGACCTCTGAGCCATTTCTACCGACCTTTAGCGGACAGGATACCTTCGGTGCACCATTATTCCACTCCCGTCATTTCTTGGATTATGAGCCGGACGTGCTACAATCGGAAAAGCACGTAACCGTATTTGGAGGTACGAAGTCCGCCTGGGATGTTGCATATGCTTGCGCTAGTTCGGGCGTACAGGTTGACTGGGTCATCAGAGAATCCGGACATGGGCCAACATGGATGGTTCCCCCTTACGTGACACCGTTGAAGAAGTGGCTGGAAAAGCTAGTTACCACGCGGTTCCTGACATTCTTCAGTCCTTGCGTCTGGGGAGAGGCTGACGGATTTCTCCGTACCCGTAAGTTGCTCCATGGAACTTGGCTTGGTCGAAAGATAGTAGACATTTTCTGGTCTGTCCTTGGTAACGACGTGATTACCATGAACGGGTATGATAATCATCCCGAGACGAAGAAACTCAAGCCATGGATCAGCCCCTTTTGGATTGCAAGTGGACTCAGTATACTGAACTACCCAAAAGATATCTTCGAGTATGTCAGGAATGGCCAGATCCGAGTTCATATTGCAGATATCACTCATCTGGAACCTGGACAGGTGCATCTGTCTACGGGTGATGTGCTATCAACAAATGCTCTGGTCTGTGCTACCGGCTGGAGAGCCACGCCAAATATCAAATTCCTACCCGAGGGCATTGAGCGGGAGCTTGGATTTCCATGGAGCGACGACACAATTGATGACAATATCGTGAAGAAGGCTGACGCAGAGATCCTTGATCGTTTCCCGCGTCTCAGGGACCAGCCTGTCCCTAATCCAAATTACAAGCCGTTAGCAGAGGATGCAGAAGCCTGTGTTCCGCATCCCTACCGGCTAGCTCGTTTCATGGTTCCTCCGTCGATGTTCGAAAAGCGATCAATTGCGTTCCTGGGGATTCCCATGACGATCAACACAGCTCTCGTCGCGCAGACACAAGCACTGTGGGCGGTTGCTTACTTGGGCGGTGATCTGACCCTTTCTCCGTTGGAAAGCAACTCGTCGGGTCCGACCAAGTATGAAAAGATTGATGACACCAAAGACTCCGCTGAAGCCATAGACTGGGAAACAGCACTGCACACCGAATTTGGAAAGTTCCGGTACCCTGGTGGCTTTGGAAAGCGTAACCCCGACTTTGTCTTCGACGCGCTTCCGTACATTGACATGCTCCTGGGTGACTTGGGTCTCCGCGTGCACAGGAAATCAAATCTCCTGAGCGAATGTTTTGAGCCCTATGGCCCCGCTGATTATCGTGGGCTCATTGACGAATGGAAAGCGAAACACGTGTAAGGAGCCAATAACATCTTCGATGACCAGGCGATGAATTTTGCAAAGCTCGTACGTACAGAAGAGAGGAGAATTCAGAACAATTCCTCTGGTATGAGCGGTAAGGCATATCAGTAATCTGGGACACCGTCATTGAAAGACAGCATGCACCCTGTTCAGTGCGATCATACATAAACCCTTGTTCGATCTTACTCCAAATGTGCCGGTGTATGGCTTGTTTTGGATACCTCTCTCGTGCACTTCGCATTCATTTTCATTCATTTCCGCTTGTTATCTCCCAATTTTATTACATATATTCTTCCTTCTGTGTTAGTACTCACACGATGCTGATGTAGTTGAGTTCCCTCGTTTTCCGATGCTAGCGGTCTAGCATTTGGCTATTTTGGAGTATGGAGAAATCATTAGCTTGAGGGCATCTTGGTCTTCAAGAAAATACTGTTAACGATTCAGTTCATTAAATTTCCCTTGTACACTGACATGGGAGAGGGGTATGATAGATGCATTTTTTCTGATCTACGCATTATGTTACTGTAAGGCTATGTATGTATTTTGCCAAAATTCACCGCCTTCTAATTTGCTCTGTCGCGTCGCGGTTGTACTCGTCGCGTTTTCCGAGTCTCGTGTCAGAGCCATCATCGTCCGAGTCCTTCATAGACAACAACTATTCATAAGCCTTGGTGGCTTTTAACATGCCTTCACTGGTAGTTCCATCTCGTCGAAGGCGAACGGAGGACTCTGATGACGATGGGGCTTCTTCTCGCATATCAGGAGAAGACACCCCCGCGTCGCGGACATCCAACGGCAGCAAGCGTATCCGACTCCAATCGTCTGGCGACGAGGATGTCCGAGATGGACAAGACGGACTATCAGAGGAAGATAGCGACGAAGATACGGGTACATCTTCCGTGCCCTCTCAGTCGAGAGATCGTAACCTGCCCGCGAACCTGACATCCCGAACGAACGGATCTGCTGTTGCGCCAAAGCCATCCGACACTCACGAGACTCCTGGCTTCAAACCAGGAGCTATTGTGCGAATAAAGCTGACAGATTTCGTCACATATACATCTGCGGAGTTCTTCCCAGGCCCGAGGTTGAACATGGTGATCGGACCAAATGGTACGGGGAAAAGTACGCTCGTCTGTGCTATCTGTTTAGGATTGGGTTGGGGGCCGCAGGTACAGTCTATATGCTCTATTAGCCCCGGAAAGATTTTCTATCTCCGTGAAGTAGTCCGGGTATGAGTACAGCCTCTAATGTGTCTATACTGGATAGCATCTAGGACGTGCAAAAGATCCTGGCGAGTTCGTGAAGCATGGATGCCGAGAAGCCACCATTGAGATCGAACTTTGGGGCCCGCCTCGATTGCGTCGCAACCCCGTTATATCCCGAACGATCAAACGTGAAGGCAACAAGAGCACCTTCACAATAAATGGGCAACAAGCATCAAGATCTCAGGTGCTGAAGCTGGCGCAGTCGTTCTCAATCCAGATCGACAACCTGTGCCAGTTCTTGCCCCAAGACAAAGTCAGCGAATTTGCTGCGCTGTCACCGGTTGAACTCCTCCACTCTACGCAACGAGCCGCAGCTGGACCAGAAATGGTTCAATGGCATGAGGATCTAAAGAAGTTGCGCGCAGAACAGAAGAAGCTACAAACAGACATCAGAGCGGACCATGATCTAGTTGCGAATCTTGAGAATCGACAAGAATTGCAGCGGGCCGACGTTGAAAGTATGAGACAAAGGGCTGCAATCAAGAGACGTATCGAGATGCTCGAGTTTTCCCGCCCAATCACGAGGTATAAGGACCATCATACTGTCTTTCAGGCTGCAAAGCGAAGGAAGGATGAACTCGAACGGGAGCTGGACGACCTGAAGGCGCAGCTGGAGCCTGCTCTTAGAGCCGTGAATGCAAAACAAGATTATTGCTTGCGACTGGATGAATTTGTCAAACACAAAAAGCGGTTAGTCGACAAAGCTGATGCCGCTGTGACAGAGATTGGAAAGAGGATGGAACAACACGAAGATTCACTCCGGGATCTGAACAACCAAGTCGAGGCAGAGAGGAAGGTCGGGATGGCTTGTCGCCAGGAAGGTAGCAGGATACAGCAATCTATTAATGCACTTCAACGAAAACTGGAGAACGCCCCAGAGACGTTCGATCCTGAGTGGTATAACGAGAAAATCGTAAGCCATACCTGAAACCCGGTTAATCCTGATGGTCACTGACTTTTGCGCAGAGAGAGTTAAGAGGAGAACTTCGGCAGCTCCACGACAGAGCGGAAGAGCTGCAGAAAGCGAAGGACCCTCTTGTACAGGAGATGCGCGAAAAGACTGACCGTGTCCGACAAGCGGAACGCCAATTGAGAAATCTGGATTCACAAGCTGGGCAGCAAGAAGAGAAACTAAAACGACTGTCCCCCGATTCTTATCGCGCGTATTGCTGGGTCTTGGAAAACCAAGACAAATTTGAACATGAAGTTTTCGGGCCGCCCATTGTGACCTGCTCTATAAAGGACCCTAAGTATGCTGATGCCATTGAATCGCTGTTTCAACGTACAGATTTCTCGGCGTTCACTACGCAGAGCCGGAATGACTTTAGAACCCTTCAGAGGGCTCTGAATATGGAGATGAAACTTCATGACATCAGTATTCGGACCTGCTCGCTTTCTTTGAGCAGCTTACAACCGCCGTTCCCTGCTGACCAACTTCGCCGCATGGGGTTCGATGGTTGGGCAACCGACTTTCTCGTCGGTCCTGAACCAGTGTTGGCCATATTAAGCAGCGAGAATAAGCTACATCAAACTCCAATTGGCCTTAGAGATATTTCAGACGAAGAATTCGCAAGAATGGAGAGTAGCTCTATCAGCTCTTGGGTTGCTGGAAAGCAAAGCTATCAAGTTCTTCGGAGACGTGAATACGGCCCAAGTGCTACGTCAACTCGCGTCAGACAAGTCAGACCAGCCAGATTCTGGACCAACCAGCCCATGGACGTATCGGTGAAAGAGCAATTACAACAGCGCATCCAGGAATGGCAGGGCGAGATCCAAGAGATCGAAGGACGAATGCAAGCTGACAGAGCTGAACTTACTCGCCTCGGGAAAATCTATGAGGAGAAGGATAAGGAGAGGGTACGTTCATTCGACCTATGCTCAAATCTTACCATCCACTAACCGAAGTTTACAGACCGATCTCGAGAACGACAAGAAAAAGAAACAAAGTGATTTAACCGAGTTTAAAGCAATCCCGGAAAAGCTCGAGCAATGGAACGCCAAGCGCAAGAATAACGACAAGCGCTTAGCCGACATGAAAAATCGTGTTAACGAAATCCGTAACAAGCAGGATCATATTGCCATCGAGAAAGCCGAGATCGCTATCGAATACGCTAATGCAGTGGAGAAGCTTCGAAAACTCCACGAGGACCTGGTGCTAGTCGAAATTAAGCATATCGAAGGATTGTCTGATTTTGAAACACTGAAGGAGCGAAACAGTGAAGTTAAAGAAACACTAGAGTCAAAACGAGGCGAGGTGAAAGAGGCAATGCGACACCTAAAGACCACGTCCGAGATGGGAAGGAAGTTGCTTCAAGACGCGGAGCGCGTCGTCCGAGCCTCAAGTGATCAGCCAGACCTCAAGGAGCTTCTTCCTACCTTATCCAATCACACTATGGACCAACTGGAGGCGGACATCGACTCTGAAAAAGCTCGTTTGGAGCTCACTCATGAAGGCAGTGCCAGTCTCATCAAAGAGTTCGAAGACCGAGAACGTCAAATCCAGCGGTTGCGGGAGAAACTGGAAGGCTATCAGAAGTCACTCGCAGACTACGACCATGCCATTAATGAGATCAGAGGCAAGTGGGAGCCAAAACTTGATGCGTTAGTGCGGAAAATCAGTGATGCATTCTCGGATTCGTTCGCTCGTATCGGATGCGCGGGTCAGGTCAGCGTAGACAAAGCTGAGGATCCAACAGCTACCGAGGGTGAATCCAATGACAGCGACTTTGATCAGTGGTCCATCCAAATCCAGGTCAAATTCCGAGAACATGAGAACCTTTCCATTTTGGATTCCCATCGGCAATCTGGTGGAGAAAGGGCCGTCAGTACGATTTTCTATCTGATGGCTCTCCAATCGCTGTCTGCATCTCCATTCCGTGTCGTCGATGAGATCAACCAGGGTATGGACCCCAGGAACGAACGCATGGTTCACGAGCGCATGGTGGACATTGCCTGCGCATCGTCGGAAGTTGATAATGACGATGACAAAGTCGGTGGCGGTGGTGGCAGTCAATATTTCCTCATTACCCCCAAGCTGCTCAGCGGGCTGGTCTATAAGCCAGGTATGAAAGTTCTCTGCATTGTCAGCGGCGAACACATGCCCGAGGATTACACTCTTGTCGATTTCGGCCGTGCTGTACGCCGGATGAGGGAGATCGCAGGCTCAGACAGCAGCCGCAAGGGCAAGGGGAAGGGAAAAGCGGTTGGAGGTTCTAGTGAGACCGCCAGGTGGAACAGCAGTGTTGACGTTGGTGCTTAGGAGACAAGCTTAATTGATGGATGTTCGATACCCTTATGTATGGTTTAGGGCGCTGTTTATTATGGGGTGCATTTCTGCGACGAGCGACGTGACTTGATACGCAAGTTAAGCGTGGACATGTACAGGGTTCCATTCCATTTCTATATAAACACGATATCATAACTTGCGGCAATGTTCGACATATCTAGAGCACTTTTCTTGAGCATATGGTAGTTAATACACACAATGCAAGAATAACTAATTAATGCCCGCCGTGCGGGGAATCACATGTCAGAGTCTCGACGCGTCGATCGTCGCCCGAGACGAGGATGCGATCTCGATGCGATCCGTGATTCGCAACAATAATTAGTTAGAGTAGAACCCTGGTATCCTGATGATGACCCTACCTATTCTCGTCCCATGCAGCGTACCTGACCCAGAGACATGTCATCTCATCTTGACGTGGCGTCCGATGGCTGATCTTCCTGATCTTCCTGATCTTCCCTGATCCCCTCTTCAGTTTCATCGAATACATAACGCGCAACCACGGAATTGTGGCCTGTTCCCAATGCGCTCGTCATGTCCGAGCATCAGGACATAAGAAAGGCTCCAGTAAAACAAGACGAGATCAGATCGAACACGGAACATGATCTCGACAAAGCGGAGAATGCAAGCCATGTCCGTCCAACGTCCGGGAGTACGCTCCTTCCAAGGCCTGTTGCATCCTTGGTATCCTTCTTTGCGCAATCGACTTCGCTTTCTCTCCGACTGGGTAGTCTATTCGGTGGAGCAGCGATTGATGGAGCCAGAGTGACAACCCTGACGGGTCTGGAATTAAGCAGGGCGGTTATCGAAGGCATCTTGACCCGGGCTGGGCGAGATATCGCTATCAGAAGTCATGGTGAATTGGGGAGGGCAGAGGCAGAGTCTCTCTTCGAGAGAAGTGTAAGCTCAACCCCAGAAGATTTTCTGCATAGAGTTTATTGTTGATTGAATATTTTCATAGCTTGCGACTTTGCATTCAACAGTCACCTCCGCGTCCTTCTTTGCATCCGCGGGCTTTCATCTCTCTTCCGCAACTCTGTCGTCGGTCTCAAATCTTTCACAAAGCCTACTGTTCGCCCTGGACTCGATACTGGGTTCTACAGAGTCGTCACGAGCTATCGCGGCAATTATAACTCTGATTCGAAAGGAATTTAATGGTATGGAGATAGATAACGAAGGACAGAAGATTGGCGTGGGAGATCTATTAGTAGGATCAATTGGGTTTGCCTTGCTTCAACGCTGGGGAAAGAGGAATACAGAGAGAGAGATCCGTGAAGGCGGCGGAGAAGAGACTGTCTGGGATGTGGTCATTCTGGATAACGGTGTGAGAGCCGATGTCATAGGGACTCAGCAGATCGGATACACGAATGAACCTCAGGACAACTTCGATGGTGAATCCCGGCGTCCAGCTTCGTTCTTGTCTCCCGGGAAAGACGAAGAAGCTTTCGATGCTGTCGAGCGAGAGAGGGCCTCGGCTGCTGTTCTCCGTCATCCTCATCTAGACCTGTCCGCCGAGAGTCAACATCAGATATCAGATGATGATATCAGACGCTACATCATGAGTCAACTACCTGAAGGGTGTCACGCATCTATCAAAACGGAGACTGTCACTGCGCGCACCATTACTGTGGACATTTTTGATGACGATACTGAGATCACTGCTCCCCCCGGTACAATGTTGATTGAAGAAAGGTTTCATCATGATCCTAGCTACATGCCTGGAAAAGAATCGCGGAATACTGCAAACGCTCCAAAACATACTGTGGTGTTCAGAACGGCGTTGAACCGGTCTCAAAGTGCAGAGTTGCGCCGTGAAGAGTCTAGTGGCCCTCCGACTTCCTCTGGGTTCGAATCAGGTGAAGAGCATACTATTTCTGGGGACACGGATAATAGCCATATGTGGCACTCTTTTGCTACTGAAATCACAGATATGGACTATCCTGACAGCCATAGAGCTTCGGTAGCAAATAATCGTGATAGAAACGACAGGCCGTCTAACACTGCCCTCGACCAAGCTTCTGATTTCCGTGAAGATATCATTAAGGAGGACTCTCTGCTTCAACCACCTTCAGAAGAGAGAAAAATCACCTCGAACACGTCGAGACCTGTCACTCACAAACGCCCTCGCAACAAACAAAGCTCCTCCTCGTTAAGCGGTAATGAAAAGGGGACGTCCGGAAAGAAGTCTCTTTCAAAATTCGCCCAAAAAGTCAAGCAGACCGCTGAAGAGAGATCAGAACATAAAAAGAGGGCGCCTGCTAAGTCGGGATCAAGAGCCCGCCCTGGCCGGCCTTCTGATACCTCCCAGAGCAAAGAGAAGGAGCCTAAAGACGCTGGCTTGAAGAGGGCGTCTGCTCCTCATGGTCTATTTAGAACGCAAACCTCCAGGATTAAGCCATCACCGAATGCGCACTATCCTAGTGAACCAGGCGTAACACCTCCAGCAGTGAACAGGAACAAACCTCAACCGCGGTTACCAGTTAGTCCTACGTTGAGGTCTACTCCGTCCCCAACCGCTAGAAGGCACCCCCGCGATCTCCATGGGCGAACACCGTCAAGGTCAGATTATTATTCCGTGCGTGAGAAGAGCAGGGAGTCTTTCATTGCGCAGACAGACAGCTACTCTGTACGATCTGTCGATACGCGGCCTGGATCTGCTCTCGCTAAGACCCATCTTCGAAGCGATAGTGCCCTGTCTGCTACGTTATCGGAGAAAGATATGATGGTGTCTGCCGATGGCGAAGTTCGCCCAGGCTCATCCACGATACACAGAAGATCAGGATCATTTGTGCCTAGCATTTATTCTCTAGCGACGGCGGGATCACAGGCATCCCTTATACTTGCTCCTCGCCCACGTAAGAGTGTCTACGATGATCAAGCAACACTGATAGAGCTTAGCCGCAATGGCACGGTGCCTGGCATATTTCCGGCAAATCATTTAGTGCATAACGTTCGGCGTTTCTGCCGCTTCGCATCTGCATCATACGGTTCAAACGCTCTTAAAGTGATGGGAATTTCCCAGGCGACAAAAGCCATTAGCTCTATACGTTCAGATCATCATGAGCATTGTTCATTTTCGGACCACACCGGCCTTCCTCCTAGCACAATACTCCTATCATCCTTTGTTGATCCAGAAGGCGGCTCGAACTCCAAAGGCGAGACGGGAATGGGATTTCCCCTTGTCCATTATCTTTCTATAGATCACGAGTCTAAAGCCATCATCTTGACACTAAGGGGGACATGGGGCTTTGAGGATATCTTGACAGACGTGACTTGCGACTATGATGACCTCGAATGGCAGGGGAAGAACTGGAAAGTTCACAAAGGAATGCTTGCCTCGGCACGGCGCCTCCTGGAAGGTGGCGGTGGCAGGGTCATGCTGACTATCAAAGCGGCATTAGAGGAATTCGTCGACTATGGTGTCATATTCTGTGGACATTCTCTTGGTGGTGGTGTTGCGTCCTTACTTGCAATACTGATTTCCGAACCAAATACTGGCTCTAATGGTCCATCATTTGTCACTGCTTCTTCCCTGTCGGCAGCCAGGCCGCTGCTGCTAACAGCAGGCCACCGAGAACAAGAACAAGCCCATATGGCATATTCGTTACCCTCTGGTCGCCCGATCCATGTTTATGCCTATGGGCCCCCCGCAGTGATGTCCCCGTTTTTAAGACGGGCAACGCGTGGATTGATAACAACCGTGGTCAACGGCCAGGATGTGGTTCCGAGTCTCTCGCTTGGTATCTTACATGATGTGCATGGGGTCGCGCAGGCTTTCAAAACCGACACCTCCGGCGCCAAGTCGCATATCCGATCTCGAATATGGGAGGCACTGAAGCAGAGCATTATCAACAAATTTTATGTGAACCAACCCCCCATAATAGTCAATGCTGGAGAGGAAGCCGGCGATGACGCCTGGGCCTGGGCGGCGTTGAAGACTCTACGTGCAGAGATGGTGGCACCGAAACTTGTGCCGCCAGGGGAAGTATTCGTTGTCGAGACAATGCGTGTTTTGCAACGAGACGCCTTTACTTCAAATGTAGGCAATGATGGCTTTCTCGGACGGCCTGCCACCAGAGTGCAGTTTAAATTTGTCCGTAATGTCGAGGCCCTATTCTCAGAGCTGAGATTTGGTTCAGGTATGCTGGGGGATCACAATCCAGCTAGATATGAAGCTAGCCTTGCAGCCTTAGCTCGTGGCGCTTTGGATTGACTTGCGAGTCACGGACGAAAATATCGAATCTTTCATGCAACTCTGTAAAAATCGACATGTCGTTTATGGATCTGGCTCATTCCATCATGCGAGCTAACTGGGGTAATGACAGGATATGGTGTTCTCAGAAGGATTTTGTGATTGCAAGACAGATATATACCCAGCTGGTGACACGACACTCGTTTGATTTCATTTCAGTTTCGTCGGCACATATTAGATAGATATATAGACAACGAGAATAGGATACATATTTTCATGTATATAATCCTGAATATTTCCAGCCGTATTGCTCTGAGGTCTTCAACGTATATTCCTCCATGGCGAATCCAATCGCCAATATACCAATATAGGCGCGGATTGCCACATGGGAAGATTCGACTAGGATTCCGGCATGTCTCCTACGCACCCTGGTCATTTGCCGTCGGATTCAGCTTCAGCTCCATTGTTCTTCACTCAGAGGCCCGGCAGACAGGCGGAAGTCATTTAGCTTCGACCATGGCAGCCTTCGCTTGCACCTGCGGAACAGTACAGCAGGTATCGGGGGAGCGTGCCCCGGGAGGAACTAGCAGACTCGATCTACCAGATCCCTCTGCCCTTAATGGACAGTGATGCCGTCATGGCTCCTGGATTTGCAAATGCACGTTCAACCGATCACCTCTGGAATGGACAGCAATGATAACCTGCCCGCAACTGAGCTAGAATCCGCCGAACAAGAACCGATGGAGTGCATTCGTCGATGGTAAGAGAGTCTCAATGCTATCCTTGCCGTTGCCCCAATCATCCTTCATCTGGCCTCTGTCCGGGAGCCACACCGAGACCCTTTCTTTTCTTCTCCTCAGCACGGGTCTCTAAGTCTTGGATCTGTTTCTGGACCGTGTTTCTTTTCGTGACTAGTTCGTTGCGCAGAGTTCGGAGAGATTCGATGTGGTCATCGATGGGGGTTTCCTTGCGTTGTTTCTCTGCCTATATGAAATAAACATGTATATTAGCCGTTGACCTATGTTTGCCATGACTAATTGACTAGATAATTGACTAGACAGTCCCGTAGTCGATTGGGAATGAATTAACGAATGAAGAAGACATTGTCCGGTCGTACCTGCTTGGCTTCTTGCTCGGTCTTCAGTCCTGCTCCGTAGAGAGTACCCGCGATGGTGATCGTGGTTACAGCTGCAGTCAAAACTAGACGTTTGAATTTTTGGGTGGATGCCGTGGATGCCATTCTTTTTATAACATGTGTATTAACTTGCTTGCGTGGTATCAATTGGTGTTGGCAGTCGACCAAGTTCAAATAGCGAGGACTTCATAATGAGAGCTGGGTACTCTATTTATTTGCGGGAAACTCCGAGAAACTGCCATGACAGACCGCCTGCCTTTTTGGAAGGTTTCAGAGATTGCGACGCTTGATCACTCACAGTATGTTATCTATTTATGTGCCGATTGTTAAAAGCATTAGGGTTTGTTAAATGATATGGAACAGGGTGAAATAATGCCGACAGCCCCTCCAGGCGCGCAGTCATAAGAAAGAGTGTACAGTGCGGACATGCATTGCCCGCGCATCGAAAACATCAAAAATAAATTGGTGGAGTACATCCGCCGCGGCGTTAACCCTCAGAGCTTTGCACCTGTGAGAATCCAATAGTCCATGATCAGAAGCTCTCTTATACCCTTTCGGTCATTTCCTAAACATTCTGCTTTCCCTTTGAGGAACATCTCTAAGGGTATTTCTATCGCCACAAGATGGCGCGTTCCAGGCGAAAAGTTGCTCCAGACCCCTCGTCATTAACAGGCAAACCTCTCTCTGAGACCCTTACACCTTCACCGTTGAAATTCAGAGAAGAAGGATGGGTCACGTCTCCAGACCTGATAAGAGAAGGGCTGCCGTTTGTTCCACAGGTCATGTACAACCTGACCAGTTTTTTATTGGGAAACCCGAACAAAAACTCCAGCCATCTTTTCCGAGCCGACATCTTGTTCGACAGCGAGGGTAGGCTGAAGACACCTAAGGAAAGAGAACTATCATTTGCGCAGAACCAAGATGCAGATACGGACATAGAGGACGTCAAACCGCTCCCTCCAGCGGAAGTATCAGGTTTCGAGTTAACAAGGACCGTTGTGAGAAGGTTCATACCTAGAAATCCCCAGCTGGACCGTGCCCTAGAGCAGACGTGCCATTTTTATTCTGGATCTGCTAGAAGTGTTTTGAATGGAGAGACGGATGGAGACGAAACACATGATGACACGAAAATCGACCGGTTGCTTTTCGTATATACTCCTCATGTCTCCTCGAAGGATGATCTCCCCTGGTATCATCCGCTACTCCGTTCATTAGCTTTCCTTTACGACTTCAAAAGTGATTCTACAGTAACAACATCACATCAATCTGCACATTCCGGGTCATTGTCTATACATTTCTTGCCATTTTACGATTCTGAAGAACCAATCCCGACTCGCCTCGAACGTACACTTCAGGCTCTGCTGGCAACCCAGATCCGACTGGCTCGAATAACACGTTCTTCTGATACCACTGAAGGTGGAAATTATAATCCTTCGAAGGACAATGTTCTACCGCAACACCGGATACAGAACACCTACTCCCGACTAAAGATCAAATATGGCTCTCATCTCTGTGAAAATTGGGTTGAGGAGACGGAACCTTCGAAACATGTCTTCGAGGATTTAGCGATTACAGCGTTTCTCATAGAGCTATGGCGTTCTATGTACGGGGTAGCACCCGAAGCCGAGAAGGATGGCAAAAGCAGTGGGGAATCCAAGAGTGATTTCCCTGGGTTCGTCGACGTCGCTTGTGGTAACGGGGTTTTGGTATATGTTTTGCTTATGGAGGGTTATAAGGGATGGGGGTTTGATGCTCGCCGGCGTAAAACCTGGAGCATATTCCCTCAATCCGTACAGGAGTGTCTCAAGGAGTCAATATACGTCCCCAAGCCATTTGGAGACGCTATAGTGGCCCGCGGAGAGAGCAACATGCTAGACATAGGTGTATCAGCTCACACTGGGATTTTCCCGAAAGACACCTTCATAATCTCGAACCATGCTGACGAACTGACTGTCTGGACACCACTTATGGCGGCCCTGTCTCAGCCTGAATCTCCGCTGCCTTTTCTCGCCATACCATGCTGCTCCCATTCTCTATCAGGAGCACGCCATCGATACCCACCCCCGAAAACTGGAAAAAGGAACGGACACACTGTTGACGAAGAAGTGGAACAGAACCCACAGCCTGCGAGTGGCGACCTGAAAGCCTTACGAGCTGCCAAAATGGAAGAAAAAACTGATGCTGGAATGCTGAAGTCAATGTATGGTTCACTTACGGCGAAGACAATGAGCGTCGCGGAAGAAGTTGGTTACGAAGTCGAGAAGACATTACTTCGGATACCGAGTACACGAAATATGGGAATAATTGGAGGTCGACAGCAGGTGCAGCAACGCTGGGACAAGTCACATAAGCAAGACGACGAAGAGGGACGATGTGACGATGAGGTCGCTTCATCTGTTACTGAAAAAATCAAGATGATTGTTCAACGGGAATGCATGCGGGAAGGAGGCGTCGAAGAAGCTGCAAGGATATGGATAGATAGGGCTAAGGGACTAAACAAGGGTCAAGGGAAAGGGGGCCATAAGGGTAAATCGGAATCTGAATGATCAGCCTTGCAATACTAGCGGCCTCATGCATAGAATTACGATACAGGCAGAGAACGTAGCGTTTGCTAATGTTTCAAACTTTGAAGTATATACAGTGTTGGTACGGACAAAAAAGTCGTTTTGGTTCTCTCCAAATTGGAAGGTAACCGATATTGGATGGCCAGCGGGCTGATCGCATTCCAGAAATGCCACGAATACATGCGATCTCTAACGGCGATCACATCATTGCTTTCATATCACCCCCATATTGCACCCTCCTCATCACATCCCTTGTGCACTCCGCGACAGTTCTGATTCCGGAAAGCCCCATACTCTGATAAAGGTCCGCCAACAGTCCTTGTAAGACGGACCTCGCTCCATTCTTGCCGTCAATTGCCAGTCCGTAGATGACGGGTCGGCTCACGAGCACTGCTTTTGCCCCAAGTGAAAGGGCTTTGATCACATCAACACCGGTTCTGATGCCCGAATCAAAGAGGACAGTCATTTTGTCTCCAACAGCATCTACGATTTCTGGTAAAACTTCAAGAGAACCAATTGCCCCATCGACTTGGCGACCTATTGGAGAGATTGGAGAGTAAGCTAAGACGGAACGACAGTCACGGATCCTGTGCTGGTGGAAAGAGTAGACATACCTCCGTGGTTAGAAACAATTATACCATCGCAACCTGCTTCGAGGGCCAGTTTGGCGTCATGCACATGCTGGATTCCCTTGAGTACGATCGGGCCATCCCAGTTCTTCCGCAGAAAGGAGATCTGATCCCAGGTATGAGGCTTCCCAGAGAACACATCTGAGATCCACGCCCTTGAAGCGCCTTGGACATCCTCCTCTACTTCGCACCCAGACTCTGCCTTGAATTTGGCACGGAAGACAGGGTCACTAAACCCTATCTGATTTCCTACCCCTCTAATGAAAGGGATGTAGGCATTATCAAGATCCGCTGGACGCCTGCAGGCTTCTCGTTAGTATTGGATTGAAACGAAGAATATGATAATGAACATCCAAAGACCCTACCAAGCGAGAGACCATGTATCTAATGTTACGACGAGGACACTGTAACCATTTTCTTTGGCCCTTTTGAGCAGAGAAACTGTCACTGCATCATCTAATGGCCAATATAGCTGATACCACCTCTTCCCGGCGCCGTTTGCGGCAGCCACTTCCTCAATTGAGGAACTACTAGCAGTACTCAAGATATACGGGACATCCAACTCGCCACAGATTTCTGCGACACCAGTTTCCTTGTCCTCGTGGAAGAGCGATTGAACCCCGACTGGGGCCATGAGTAGCGGCGTGGGATACTTTTGGCCAAATAATTCGACGGAAATATCCTGGCCGTCCATCTATACGATGTCGAATGTTGTTATCAGTATTATCCTGAACGTTCATTGCCTTGAAAAGTATCCATTATACACATACCGGCTTCATCATCCTTGGGATCCTATTCGAAAAATTCAGTACGAGTTTTCCTTACACATCAGAAACTGATATTTGCAAGAGACACATATATCCTTCCACGCGGACACCGAGGAAGGGCTTTCGACAGAAGCAATATACACGAGGAAAATAATGCAGAACCTACAGTTTCCATTGGCGAAAGGCCAAGCGATTGCTGTCCATAGTCGCTTTCTCTCCGGCTCCTCCAGCGACATAGTTAAATGATCGCGACCCCAAGGCTTTTTTCGCGTGTTCTTCCAAGAGACGGGGGTCGGTCGTCACCGTCGGCTTGACGTTCATTAAAAATCCCTTACCGTAAATTTCCGTCTGGAAAGCTCCATAGTTTTCCGACATGTTGGTGTCTGCGTTCTAGTTTCCGTTTAGAATGATAAAAAAGCTGATGGATCGTCGGGATTTTCGCAATGGTAGAATCTGGAAACTAGACGTGTTGCAAAGTCGCGGGGTTAGCTAAGTAGAGGTGAGTTAGTTACCAGTTGTTGGTGTTTAGCCGATGAGATTATTGATCATCGCTCCTCGGCAACCTCGGAGCTTCAGGTACTTACATACAACCACTAACGGTTCCTGTAAGGAAATTTGCCCTCTGCGTCACACTCATTGAGACCCTGCTAATGCGAATTTGCATGCTGTGTCAAAATATACATTGCTCGGAGAATGGTGTCTACCTGAAATTGTCGATGTCAAGTATCATGACCTGGGGGAAACCCTATCGCAAAGTGAAATAAGTACATAATGCGGGGGTGGATACCTAGTCCCGGGAAATTATCTCGTCTCCTTTTGCTTCATCGCAGTTTTTCTGACCTGTTTTTCTAGTTTCGATTTTACTCTAATATTGTTTTTGTCCCTCTTCTTAATAGAATGCCTTATATGTCAATATATGCTCGAAACAGCGAGTAGTCCCGAGAGACAATACTCATGTTAGGAAACGGAATATCTCTGCCGTTGTCGGTAGCAGCTGTGGGGATGGCCTATCTAGATGCCTGATACAGTAAGGACTAGTGAAGGAAACCAAAGAGAATAAGAACACCATCCATAATTATTGACCAGTATGACTAGTGTACCTGACCCTGTAGGCGCTCTCGCCACTCTGTCATTGATTAAGGACGACTCTTGCCTTTTGCCGATTTGTGCCATGCACAATCTCTCCATCTGCCGCCTCGAAGCGCCTAGGCAAAGTATCCTGAACCAGTATAACTACACCTACTGGACGTTTCTGGCAATCGAATCCGAAACTACGTTGTTGCTGCGGGATGGCGCAGGGTTGCTCTATATCTTACCCGATAAGCCCAATTGATGAAGATAGGAGAGATGGATTTCCACACATATTTCTAGCCACATTCACCTGGACGCGAGTTTGACAGCAGCGACAGAACTTCAGAAATTCTTCGAGGCAGCTAAGTAATAGTCATGCCTCACAGATTTTTCCACCTTGAGCCCTTGTCCAACTTATCGGCCAAAACATGCTTGACACTGATACTTCTTGGGCCTCTTGTATTCTGCATTTGGGTGAAGATATCCCAGAAGGTATCCAATATTGGTATGTTCCGTGTATCCATCTCCGTGAGGTTTCTACTGCTGAATGTTCCATAGGAAGGACAAATCAGGAGAAACTACCTGCACAAGGACAATTCAAGACGCCGTTGCCGGTAGCGCTCAATGATTTCAACGTGGAATCGAAGACACCGCAAGTCTACCGGCCGTTCCGCCATGGCCCGAACTTCATTACCATGGGGATTCGGAAAATGGATTGGAACGAGTGGATTGAAATGGACTCATATTTCAAATGGTACCACGATACAAAGGTATCGGAGTTAGAAAACGACTTGGACGCCCATATCAAGTACGTTGATAACGCGGTAACTCGAGACGCATGCTTCGAGGTCCTTGAGGAGCTCACTCAGTACCTTTGTCATCGTTATCCGTCCATATTCCAACTAAAAGAAAAAATTCTTCATAATGTATTGACTGGAGAAAAGTTTTCGTGGCCGGCTGGTAGGTGTATAAGTGCAATAAACGCGGGGTTTATCGTGTAGCTGATATCTATCAGCGACCCCTACCGATGCCTTAGTGACTGCTGCGAAGCTGATACAGGATGATATTGTTTTGATGGTGGAGAATGACGGTAAGCCAATTATAATGCTGTTATCTCGGCAGAGCTAACGTAGCGAAGATGGACGGTATCATCTAGATGCAGGGGCTGTTTGCTTACCCGGCTTCTGGCGTCTTAAGGAGAAGTTTCGAATGTCTCTCGACACGCTGCACCTTGAAGCGGGAGTTCCACATTATGAACAGAAGCTTCAGAAAGCTATGAATCGGTTCTTCAAAAACCTTACCCCGGAGAAGCCAGTGACGCGGAACAATGTAAGCATGGATCTTGGGCTCTCAATCATAATGGGACTGACAAAATTGTAGTATTTTATCAAGCTCGACGATGGACTTCACTGGTCACATCGAATGGGAAACCAGGACGGTGATGAAATTGCCTGTAAGTCCAAAGAACATGAATTAATAGATTAACATGACGAAAACTAATAGGAGTCAGCATGGGCCACATCTGATAGCTCTGACCTGACTGTCGAAGAACTGCACTTCCGATCAGAGCGTCAGACACTGAGACGACTGCCAAGGTCGAAAGCTTTACTATTTACTGTGAGGACGTATTTTGAGCCGATTACAACAATCGCTCAAGAGCCTCACGTTCCTGGTCGTCTCGCCGAGGCGATTCGCGCATGGGATGACGTGGTATCTGCCTATAAAGGGAAAGAGAAATGGGAACATATCCTACTTCCGTATCTCGATGAGCAACACCAACTTCAGCAGAAAAGGGGAATCATTGAGATTACTGAGGAAGCACAGTACCCGTTTTAAAAGCGGAGCCTTACGATCTAACGAGTGCCTTCTCACCCAGTAATGTATTACAAGTCAGAACTGAAACTAAAATCTCTTGAACAAGGACGAGGAAAATATAGACATTTCAGACGATGTCATTCTGATCCAAACTATAAGACCTGATAAGGGTGACTGCTAAACGAGTGGACGTATTCTCAATGCCTCTCCTGAACGCGGCATGTAATCGGCAATGTAGGACTTTTTGATTAATGTGCGTTCAACGTTAAGAACCTCAATGACCGGAGTCCGCAGGTGTAAAATCCTTAAACGGTCATAACATATCACTGTAGTCATCCAGAAAGTGAGTGATGCTCTTCTCCTGGTTACCTAGAATACCATGGAAGCTTCCGGTGTTTTCGAATGCGAGTTAAAGTCTCTCGCACGTTGAGACTTTTCCTGGCTTCCATGGTTATCTTTTCTTTGGTTCAGGCTTCCCGTTTCTGATCCGGGATGCAGTATGGTGTGCACCAAGCCAGGTCATCTCCAGTATCTCTAGCAGCGAGGCCCTGAGGCTGCCTTTTCTTGACATCCTCCTTTTTCTCTCCCGGAATGCAGTAAGGAGTGCACCAAGCAAGATCATCACCGCTATCTCTAGCACTCGATTGATGCACATCCTCCTTTTTCTCTCCCGGAATGCAGTAAGGCGTGCACCACGCGAGATCATCTCCGGTATCTCTAGTGGCCAAACTGCTGGTCTGCACATCCTCTTTTTTCTGCCCCGGGATACAGTATGGTGTACACCAGGCAAGATCGTCTCCAGAATCTCTAGCGGTCAAACTGGTAGCTTGGACATCCTCCTTCTTCTGTCCCGGGATGCAGTAAGGTGTGCACCAGGCGAGATCGTCTCCGGTATCTCTAGTGGCCAAACTGCTAGTCTGCACATCCTCCTTCTTCTGCCCCGGGATACAGTATGGTGTACACCAGGCAAGATCGTCTCCAGAATCTCTAGTGGCTAAACTGGTAGCTTGGACATCTTCCTGTTTCTGGCCAGGGATGCAGTACGGCGTACACCAGGCAAGGTCGTCTCCAGTATCTCTGGTATCAAGGTCCAAAGGGGCGGCGTTGGCGCAGAGACATAGGAGGGCAAGCGCTCCAATAAGAACAAGAGGGTTTCGGAGACATAGAAGCTCCATTTTTGGCACTTGTAAAGCGAATCTGTCTTAGAGGTCTTGATATGATCAGAAGCTGTTTGGTTGGAGACTAGAAACGATATAGAGATCTATGCCTGAGCTCGAAGACATTTATAACCGCGTCCAAGGGAGGAACAGAATTCAATGGTAGTCCTATGTCTTGGGTAGGGAAGACGATCGCCTTTTCCATTTTCCCAGTTGGTGTCACTGTGGGTTATAGCATACAAAGCACCTATGATATAACCATAGAGATTATAGATGCTAAACCCAACGATTCGCAAGAAGCTGTAAGCAAGTGCAACATGTGAATGCATGGCTACCGCGCTATATAAAGAAAGTAGATCTCCAACGTTACATTAAGCGCCCTTCTTTGTCTATCCTCGGGCACCAAGCTCCTATCATGCTTGATAGCCTGATATGCAAATTGAAATGAGCACCGACATTCTTTATCCACCTAATGTAGCGCGGCAGCAAGCTGGGGGCGAAGTATGCAAGTTAAATGAAGCGGCAAGGTTATATAACTTGACTTAGCCTGATATGATTGCTGATCTGTGGTGCAGCATCTAATACTGGTAACAGATGGAGAAGGACAAGCATTGTTCATTCAGCGGACCTTGTTGCGGTGAGGCAGCGAGGAGGCTGAACCAGGAAAGATTTCCGACCAGCCCAGCTTGGGGTTCAATGTTGGCCTCCGTTCATAACAGTAGATCTACACTACAAGATGGCCGGAATAGGTCTACGACAACGGATGGTATCGACAGTCGATTCCATGATCATCCTGTATTGAATACAAAGTGGCTAGTCCTAATAATCCCCAGCTGGCAGTCTTGATAACTGTTTAGGGGACCGACAACCTATTAACAAAGAATGGATGGAGACAGAGTGAGAATTGAATGTTGTAGATATGCGGCTACTTGACACTAGAAGTTGAAAGACCTTACGAGGAATCCAATTGATGAAATTAGTATGTTTCTACCCCGCAGTCCTTATGATACAGTACGGGCTGTCATAGCACGACATAAGTCCACAAATACTCTTGTAAGCCGATAAGTGCATGACTGTTTGCGGCAAAGACACAACACAATGAAGCCCGGTGAGCGTAAAGAGAAGATGTAGCCGAGGTCTTGCTATTTCCTTTGTATGCGATAATTACTGGAGGCAACATACGAACCTCGATGTTTGGACTGCGGTAGCTCCGAGTAGGTAAGCGCACGTTGTTAACATGAAGTCACCATGGATGCTGCCGAATTAGTCTCTTACCTAGAGCTCATTTCATCTGTATATTGAAGATGTTTTACTAGATACTAGCGACCAATGAGACTGCTGAAATGCAGCACAAAGGCGACGAGGACCACGATACAAATACCTGGTCGATTGCGTGTTACTTGGAAAGATCTACAATTGTCTGGCCAATTTGCGATAGTTGCTAGGTATCAGATCTGGTTAACTAGTTACAGATTAGCGCTGAATTAGTCATCTGGCGTGAACTCGGGTCGAAGAACCGAACCAGAAGTGGAATTTGTTACATTCGTTTCCAATTTTGTATGAAGTAAGGATGTGTGGTCTGGTTTCCCATGTCGTTTGGCCTATATCTGCGGCGATAGCTTTATCTGCCGTTATTAGCACGTTGTGGCTGTCTGGGATTACTGACCGTCAAGGCATATGGTCTAAGGATTATTGTTCTCTTCTGAATGACCACAGCTTTCTCTACGGCTGGATCTGTGGCCTCCTATTTATTCCATTCATCAAAAATGCCACCAGTAGCCTCTTTCGTTGCTGTTTTGCGGATAGCGGCGAAGACAAGCTTTATGGTCTAGACCATGCTCTTCTCAATATTGAGATGCCTCCGCCAAGCATGTGGATGAATATGGGATATTGGAAAGTAGGTTCAATGCCCAGGTATACTATCCTTATACATGATATAACTTATTTTATGTAGCATACTCAATCATTTCCTGAAGCGTGCACCGCTCTTCTGGAAAAAGTGCTACGGACAGCTGGACTTCTTGATAGCAATCGAAGACCGCTAAGCGTCAGAGACTCTTCGGCCCTAAGGATTATTGATGTTGGCTGTGGTTGTGGTGACCAGACTATCTATTTGATGAAATGGCTGGCCCGGATCGATGATCATGCTCCTGGATCGGAGCGTCGGCCGCTGTTTGACGCCTATGTCGGCATAAATGTGAATCAACACCAGGCCGAGTTTGCTCGTCAACGGATCAAAGATACCGGTAGAAGCGACAGTATCCATATATTCTGTGCAGACGCAGCAGATCCGACGTCGTGGAGCCGCGAACTCAAGGATGCCGTAACCGCGACATCTCAGCAAGGATTCGGCGATAAGCAGTCTCAGACTGCTCACACGTGGCTGCTTGCCTTGGACACTCTTTATCACTTCAAGCCTTCCCGTGATCCCCTTTTATCCTATGCTGCTCGCGAGCTCCGCGCTTCTTTTATGGCGTTTGATCTCATTCTCGCTGATTCGGTACATCCCGTTGACAATATTCTGCTACGTGCTGTATGCTTTATGTCGTCCATCCCCTTCTCAAACTTCAAGACTTTGTCCGATTACCGCGATATGTTAGTCAGGGCTGGTTATGCGTCTGATAATATCGAAATACACGATATCTCTGAATATGTGTTTTCCGGGATCGGAGGATATATGGAGCGGAGAGAAGCTGAGTTGAGGCAGTTTAAATTGAGCCTTGGAAAGCTACAAGTTGCAGGAAAACTGTTTAGTTGGTGGGGACGGAGCAATATTGTGAGAGGAGTTGTGGTTGTTGCGAGAAGAAATGCTATATAAGTTCCATGTAAGGGAGAAAATCGTATCTCAACTTGTCCGTGCGTAGGTGGCTTTTTGTATGCAACACAATCAACCAATCAAATCATCCGATAACAGGTGGGACATTCTCGTTCAGATTATCACGCAACGTCATCATACACGAGACAGCCAGAAGCAGGTTCAACAGAAATACTGGCCTTAATACTCCTTGAATTACTCCGGAAACAACAATAAACAATCAAGACAGACGGCGAAATAATTGCGAATAGGAACATGATTGATTTAACTGTCATCCAGTCTTCGAACGCGCAAATCTCGACTGCTCTCCCTGCTGGTCTTGTCGCCGTTTTCGTTGGAGGGACCGATGGGATTGGTGCAGCAACAGCTAAACAGTTTGCAAGACATGTGCGCGAACCTCGCATATACATTATCGGACGTTCGCAAAAATCTGGAAACCGTGTTGTTGAGGAATGCAAGAAGCTGAATCATAGAGGACAATACATCTTGCTTCTTGCCGATGTGAGTCTGCTTTCCGCAGTAGACAACATCTGTCGGAAGATTGAGGAGAAGGAAACTGTCGTGAATCTGTTGTTCCTAAGTGCTGGAAACTTAGGGGCAGCTCATGGTAGGCCCTGACCAAAGCGCTACACAGACATGGGAATTGGAATGGCTAAGCTAGAAATCAACAGAGACTTCAGAAGGTCTCCCAATGACCATGGCACTTGTACATTATTCCCGAGTGCGATTCATACTCAATTTTCTCCCGCTTATTCGGCATGCCCCTGGTCTTCGCCGAGTCGTGAGTGTCTTCTCGGCTCATAAGGAGGGACACTTTCATGCAGACGACATCCAAGCGCGACATCTCTCTGTGCTATCCAAACGAGCCCATATCGCGACTATGGTGACCTTGTCACTCGAGGCACTAGCCCGGAAGGCACCAGAAGTCAGTTTTATTCATGCAAACCCAGGAACGGTGAAGACGAAAATGCGAGATATGCCGCTGGTGATGAGAGCCGCGTCCTCATTGATTGGTTCATTCTCGTCTATTCCACTAGAAGAGAGCGGTGAACGGCATTTGTTTTTAGCCACGAGTGCGATGTATCGTCCTAGCATTCAGAACCATGAGAAAGGTGGCATTAATGATGCAGCTTGTGGAGTTCCTTTGGCGATCGGTTTAACTCCGGCTATAGGATCAAATGGACAGACTAGCAGTGGCGTCTACTCGGTGGATTGGGATGGCGAAACTTATGAGCTGCATCTTGAAACGTATCTGCATAAGCTGAGAGAAAGCGGAGACTTGGAAGAGATCAACAAGCACACGGAGAATGAGTTTAAGCGGATCACAGGGAGTGTGGCATCAGTATAATAATGATACCTTCTGATATGAGCTACAATTGATTGAATAGAAAGACGTAACAGGTTTCCCATTCCGAAATAAAGTCTAGCTTGTTGGTTAAAACTTAATCTTACTTTCAACCCTGGCAACATATTCGAGCACTATGTTTGTTGCCTGCTTGTTCTGCCCACCAGCTTGCAGTCGAGTCTCCTCAATGGGCTTTTGAAATTTCCTATTTGTATTACGGATAGCATTGGAAGTTATAATCAGTCTAGGATCCTCCCATTATCTACATTATACGACAGACTTCAACTTATATACTTTCAAGTGGCACACATTCTTCCGTCTTTCAAGATAGTCCAAGCCTCACTACCGACAGATTTAGTTGCATAGAAAAAGCCATCCTTGTCCCATCTTTGCTTGATTTTCTTTAGCTTCTCATAATTTGAGCCGAAGAAGACCTGCTGAAAATTTGGCTGCCTGAAATCGGCCTCGTTCATATACGCCCCGCTATTAGGTGTAGCTGCCTCGATCTCCGGCATGATTTTGTGAGTCATAAGGTCCTGTCTGGCAATCATCTCTGACCAAGGAGCGGTGAAATTCCAAGGGGTAGAGAGGGTAGCATGTACGATGGCGTTGCGCCACGCGGGCAGGACAGAGTTCTCTTGCGACTTTCCAAACGCAGAGACGTCAACACCCACGCCGATAAAAGTGACGCCTTGTTCAGCTATGCTGCGGTAGGTCGATGAAATGTTTGCGACGACAGATCGGGGAATTAAACGACCACCGTATTGTGCGATACCGACTTGGATGTTTCCGTAAGGCAAGGGCCCAAAGTATTTGTTATAGTGGTCCCAGTACGTGGTCGATTCTCCATATGTCACGTTATACTTGATACCCAGGCTGCTGAGCTGTACGACAAATGGAGCAAGAAGGGACTTGACCTCCTCTTGTGTCCCATTGTAGAGGCTGAGGGACGCAATGCTGAAGAATGTACTATCGAAGAAATAAACAGCCATGGCGCCTGCATCAATGATGGCAGGGAGCTTTTCGTGGAAGGCATAAATGCCTTGATAGAAGATATCGGTAGGATTTGAGTCGGCATAGAATGTTAGAGAAGCACCTCCAAAGTGAGTGTCTGGGTGAGCTTTGAAGGTGACAGCGACAACAACACCATAGTTCCCGGGGCCGCCGCCGCTGAGTGCCCAGTAGAGATCCTGGTTCTGAGTTCGAGAAGCAGTAACGAACTTTCCGTCCGCAGTAACGACATCAAAGGAAAGTGTGTTGTCGGCAGCTAAGCCGAATTTCGTGCTAAGAATGGAGTGTCCACCACCCTGAGCATATCCGCCAGCTATACCAACAGTTGGGCATTCACCTCCGACGAGGACCAGTCCTTGAGCTTTGGTGGCAGCCATGGCCTCATAGCCTTGAACACCGGCACCAACCTTCACAGACCTTCCCTTATAGTAAGGGTCATCCCAATCTAGGAAACTTATATTCTTGAGATAGTGTGTCCAAATTGCAAGGGACCCTGCACCGGTCGAGCGACCGAGATAGTCATGGCCGGTATTTCGAATAACAAAGCGAATATTCTTGCTCTTTGCGAAAGTTACGGTTGCGATAATGTCCTCCACGGACGTTGCGTTTACCGCATATCGCACATAGTTACCCGGTAGACATGGTTTTGATTCCTTGGTAAAAGGATCACAGCTCTGGTTGGCAAAGAATGGTGCCATGACGGAGGACGAGGACTCCATACTGTATTAATATGAGTTTCCAAATATAGTTTAGAAGAAGGAGGCACCGTTTAGGTGTGAAACGTGAATCTTCTTCAATCCAATTTGTAGAATGAAATGCACATACTGGATTGGAGCTTCTTGCCATTGGCTCTGGAGTGAGCTGCACACTTCAGCATCGTAAAAGGGGTCGTGGCAAGGTTGGCCAAGGGGAACTGTTGCGATAAGACGGCCGCCAACAGTCCTATTCAGAGAGTTCCATTGATGCGGTGTCGGCCAACAAGAGTCTCCGGGAAAGCATTTGCATTTGGGAGAAGGACTCAAAGATGATACAACAGCCAGAATAGCCACAAGAGCCGGTATAATTAAACTCTTTATCACATTAGCATAATGTCTCGAATAGCCCGGGCTATCAGAATAGGAGATATCCTAATGAAGCGAGAGTCCTTAAAATGATACTTACTAGTTGGTATCTCGCCATTATTAGGTCAGGAGGACCGATACCGAAGAGTGTCTATACACAGGAGCGGAAAGGGAAGCGTCTATTATTGTAACTAGCTGTGATCAGTTTATAAAATTCACTAGTTGTAGCGACCCGGGGTCATGCCACTAAAACACACTAATTGGCTTGTTGTCAACAACAGCCCGTAAATAAAAGTTGGCGTCCCAGCCTCTCCATGACCCCGCGCTAGCTAAGCAGACTAAGAATACCACCAATTTTCCTCCACTATGTTCGTATTATGTGAGTACTAAGTATGGTAATATTCTACCTTGTTAAATTGAATAGCAACAACAAAGGGATGAGAATGGGAACAACCTTGTCAGCCGCACTTGTATATGCGGCTGAATCGGCGGTCAAGAATCTCCAACACATTAAACTTGCCGCTAAAATAACTGAATTGATACAGATTGCACTCATAAGAATTTTACTTGCCTGTCAGCGTCATGGCCGCAGAATTGAGGCGATTATAAAATATCACATCAAAAATAGTTCGGCAGATTAAGTCTGACTCTGATTTTCTGTGGAATTTAGATGTTGTAATAGCTGTAATACATTCACCTGAATGTATGTTAGCTCGAGTCAAGAAGCAGTAATGTCTAGGAAGCTTTCCCTGCCCATTGTGACAATCTACTATCACTACGATCGGCACTGTCATTGAGCTGCAAGTCATTTATGAACTCAACCCCTACAGCTTCTTTCGCGGCAGTGACACTATCAAAGGGTGGGACAGGAACTGTAGAACTAATCGATGGTGGCTCAGACGCGCTTAAAAGCATGTCAAATATCTACTTGCAGGTGCGTAGCTTCTCAAGACTAAGCTATAGGGAGTGTTTTAGGCCATCAGCCTAAATACCACTCATACAAAAGACTAAACACTATAATAGCCTGTCATCTATTACGCGCTGGCTAGCTACCCTTGTATGTACATACTTATATTAAACCCTCGGGGACTAATACTTGGATCGTCCTGAATAGAATAAAGGGGGTGAAGACTTCGACTTCCTCAGGCTTGAGATTAGCAGGAACGACATAAAAGGCTGGTGCGTCCGTCATGCGAGCGATTCTGATTGCGGAAAGGCATTTCGGGGTGCAGGTAATCTAATGGGGTGGCTCACGCTATGCGGCAATAGTTGAGGTAACGGGATTTGTTGTACATAGTACTTTCGAGGTAAAGGAATTATAATCGGTAGATAGATGGGAGAATCCTTCAGTTTGCAATAAGAAACTGAATCTGGACGAAATGAGCCATACTGGCTCCTCAATATTGTTAGCGCAAGATTAGCATCTCATTGTGTTTAATGGATATTGATGGCTTTCTGCCACTCGACCAAAAAGGAGAACTCCTAGTAGGAGTTGGTCGAGACTCTACCTGGATCTCTAACAGATATCTTTCTCTATTTCTTACAGGTGTTATAGCCATTATTATCGTCAAGGACTCTCTAAGAATCAATAAGGTCTTCGCAATCTACCGGCACTTGTCTTGACTCTGCTCTGCGGTGGGAGCAAGAGAGCGAGAGAAAAGTCAAGTTCTTCGCTCAGGATCTCATTGAAAAAGTCATCCTAAATATTAATTTTGCAGACAAATAATGATCTGCTATTAAGAAGTTGATCAAATAAGGATCAGAACCGCGTCTCCTATAGAAAAGAGTGTTCAAGGAGCGAACACAGTTCTTGGGCGAAGGTATATGCCCCCCTCGCGTGATTGCTTTAGCACATTTCAGGATCTTGATTAAAATGATCGAAAGATACGTGCTGTAAGCAATAATGGCTCGCCGTCAATATCTGAGGAAAAAAAAAAGATATAAGGCAAACTGGCGCTTATAACATCTTGGATGCTCTGGAGGAAAGAATGATCGATTGCTTCGTCCTCTAGGAATCGAGCTCAAAACCTCAAAGCTATCTAACGCTATCTGTGCGACGCGCTAAGTAAACCACAATCGGAGAGCGTGGCAGGCAGCGTGCTAGGCCCCTAGCGCCGAAATTAATATCCTGGGTTCTATATTGACGGCTGTCTCAGTGGGGACGCAAGCCAATCTCTAGACAAAGGGACCATCATGTTAATTATTGCGGGACCTCTTTTATTTTAATCTAAGGGCATGTACTCCGCATTCTGTTGTCAGAAAACTCCTTCCTAATTCCTAGGATAGCTGGGGAAAAGTCATTTGTTAACATCGTGACGGCTCAGTCTGTGCCGTATTCCTTCTTAGCAGGCTTAAACTTCCCATATAGCGGATTCTTAGCAAAGGTTAGGTTATTTAACCTTATAGGTGATTCGCTGAGGCAAACGTGTCCGACAGCCCCGTGAGGGACTCCCTAGGTAAGGAGTCTCGGAGGTTTTCTTACTCCTACTAAGTCCAAGAGGGCTCAGATGAGGGAATACCGTATTCTGCTGTGTAACGCATTGTCTCGTATCCACGCTAGTCATAGGAGAATTATCTTCCAGCCTCAATATACTTTGCAAAATGCTGCAAGGGATATGACAAGGTTCCGGCCACGTGCCCATCTAGCAGTACGAATTGATGAGGCATTTAGATCTCGACAGCTAGGTAAAAGAAACATGCAAAGTAGGTCCTATTCAGAACAAGGCAATCCTGGCCGGTGATATCCTAGAATCTGATATTGCGTCTTGCTAATTGGAAGCTCCCTCTCCCCAGGTTCAAAATTAAATTTCCCTAGTCCTCTCAGCTGAAGAGCTACCAGGAAGTCATACGTAAGGCTGAATCAGACATCGCCCGTGCTTGTAGCTGAAATTATGACGTTGTATAGGATATGCCAGATTACCAAGGGCTGTATAACCAGCTGACCTAGAGCCGCTTGCGACATGGTCTATTACTCTAATTCGGGTAAGCTATACTTTTCATAAGTATAACAGCGTTGATGTTATAATCCCTTATCTATTGGTTGTTAGTAAACCCTAAATCTACTTAGGTAATGTATTGAAGTCCTCTTTTGCGTCACGAAGTATGCATCCCCGTGAACCGAGTTAACATTGTAGTAGGGAGAGAGAGAGAAAAAGGGCACAGACTTGAGAGAGCCTTCAATCCATGTGATTCCTTGCATGGCGGACTGAGCGGTGGATTAGCCTGAATCCGGTCTGGATCGTAAATTCTATCCGGAACTTTTGAACGTGGCGGACGTCCTGTTCCTTAGCTGCGGGTCTCAGGCGCCACGCTTTTTGAAGCGGAATTTATGATTTGACAGAATTCGACTTCTTCTACCGCTTTCTAGCAAGTAAACCTAGTGGCTTGCCATCGATGATACCTAACAATCGCCGGAAGGGCCCGATCACTTGCTCCCCCAATGATCACGCGGTAGCCTGACCAATGTACAGTGTCTCGCTTCGATCAAGATGATAATACCCGACACTACAGAGTACAAGTGTGTATAAGAGCCAAGGCTGCCTTAACCTGGCGCAATATGGAGGCAGATGAAAGGGAACAAGCTTGTCGGGCTAGCGTCTTGTCTAGAAACTAGAAGAATCATCCTATCATTTAGGAATATTAAGCAGAGAATTGAGGAGGCAGTGATTAGGTTTCACCATAGAACACCATGGCTGGGCATTCGGCCTGCCTCGTCTTAGTGCCATTTGGCTTGGTGTAGTAAACCGCAAATTGTCACAAATCGCGGCAAGAATACCACCAGCAGCGAACAATATCCCGAAGCCACAGTTGAGCCATTACCCCACGAGAATCCCCGGATTCGTCCAACGTGGGCTAATTTACCTGACCGGTTTAGCGTTGGCCCCAGAAACGCCTCGCTAGCTTGACCATGGCCGCCCCCAGATTCTCCTCGTGGATGTAAACCACGCAAAGTACGGAGTAGTGGAGAGAATATACCCGGCCTTGAAAGCACTGTGAAGAAGCCTATTTATTTAAAATGTAAGTTAATGCCCCGTAAAAACTCAAGACAGCCCTGGATTCTAGCCTCGAGGTTTTGGTTTTCTTCCTGAACCCGTTCTCCTGGCTATCAAGACGTCTCCCTGTCAAAGCAATCCCAACAGTCATGACTGAAAAAGCAGCCGCAGACATTATCGACGCCTCGCACAATGAAGATGTGCTTCCGGCAACCAAGGTTGATCCGCCATCTCGGCGCGACTCAATCGCTGTTAACATCGTTGAGAACCCCTTGAAGGTGAGCTTTGCAGAGCCAATCCCTCACGCACGGCAAGTATCTGTTGACGTCGAACCTTTTCACCGTAGCGAGTCTCCACGGAACAGGCTGTAGCAGATGCTCGGGCCTACGCTCAGTCACATGGCATGCCTGAGCACGCCGACCTTTTTGGTCGGGCTGCTCTCGTCGCGCGAGACCCGGAAAGATTCGAGATGGTCGCCGAGCTTGATGAACGAGAGCGCAGTGCGCTCGCCTACGAGAGGGACCACAAATGGCACGGTCCGTTCATGCTGTGGTACTCAATTGGTCTGTGTGCTATTGGGGCTGCCACGCAAGGATGGGACCAGACTGGTTCGAACGGAGCCAACTTGTCGTTCCCCGAAGAATTTGGTATAAACGGTAAAGGAAGAGATGAATGGATTGTGGGGCTCATCAATGCCATTATCTTCTTAACTGCCGGTCTCATGTAAGTGTGCTGCTATGCTCGGTTGACATCTGTAACTGACTTCGGCAACAGTGGCGCTTTCATCGTCGATCCGCTCAATCACTACTTAGGCCGAAGAGGTGAGATCTTTCTCACGGCTTGCTGTCTTACTGCAACCCCAATTGGTTCCGGTTTCGCAAAATCATGGCAAGGGCTGTTCGCGGCGCGCTTCATTATGGGTATCGGTATCGGTGCCAAAAATGCCACAGTCCCCATATACTCGTCTGAAATGGCCCCGGCTAGAATTCGAGGTGCTCTCGTCATGTTCTGGCAGCTTTGGGTGGTAGTTGGTAAGCCTCCTCTTATCACTTGTCCTGGGCCGTTAATAATCGTCGCGGACAGGTATCTTCTTGGGCTTCTGTGCCAATGTCATTGTCAAAGATACTGGTCGCATTTCTTGGCGTCTCCAACTGGGTTCAGCATTTATCCCATCCTTCATTCTGGGCGTTGGTATCTTCTTCTGTCCCGAATCCCCTCGTTGGCTCATGAAGCATGGAAAGCATGCCCAAGGGTTCCAATCTATGTTACGCTTGCGGGCTCATCCCATAATCGCCGCAAGAGACTTTTACTACTCGTTCGTTATCTACGAGGAAGAAGTTAGGGAAGCTCGTGGTGCGGGCTACTTCTCCCGTCTGTGGGATTGTTTCACTGTACCTCGGATCAGGAGAGCAAACTATGGTGCCTCTACAGTTATGATTGCCCAGCAGATGTGTGGTATCAACAGTAGGTTACCTCTGAGTTCTTGTCACTTGTCACTTCTAACATACTGCAGTCATCTCTTTTTATAGCTCAACTATCTTCGAAAACGTTGGTTACACAGCGACCCAGGCTCTGTACGCTTCTCTCGGCTACGGTGCTATTCAGGTCGTATCCACTATCCCTACTGTGTTCCTCATCGATACTAAGGGCCGAAGAACCTTAACTTTGAGTGTGAGTCCCTCTGGAATGTGTGTGAATGGATATAACTGATAGTCTCTTTTATCAAGACTTTTCCACTTATGTGCATCTTCTTATTGGCTGGAGGTCTATCTCTTCTGAACACAACTGGTAGCCGTGGCTCACAAATTGGACCAGTTGTCCTGTAAGTTATCTTAGCATATCTGGAATTCTGAACTGAGCTAACTACGTTTGTGCACTAGATTCGTCTATCTCTTCACAATTTGTTATTCGTTGGGCGAGGGACCAGTTGCCTTCCAGTACTCTGCCGAGGTGTTCCCTACTATCCAGAGAGAACAGGGAATGGCCTGGGCGGTTTGCATCAACAACACTTTCGGTGGGTATTTATAAATCTTATATCCACCAGCATTCACTGACAAATTGTGGTGCAGCCGGTATTCTTAGTTTAACCTTCCCTCGAATGAAAACGGTTATGACTCCAACCGGTGCCTGTAAGTGGATACGCCAGACTCTCTCGCGAGGTGCTTTACTGACCTTCACTCTAGTCGGCTTCTATGCTGGTCTCAACCTTATTGCTTGGTTCATGATCTTCTGCTTTGTTAGAGAAACCAAGCAATTAACCCTGGAAGAGTTAGACCGTAAGTGGACTTCCTTTCAATTCAATTCGCCTTTCATTAACCATTACCGCAGAGGTATTCTCTGTTCCGACAAAGGATTTTATCCGTTACGAATTGACCGTGTGGCTTCCTTGGTTTATAAGACGGCATATCTTCCGACAGTATATCCCCAAGCCACCACCAATCATCGCAAAGGCTGAGAGGTTCGACGCTATCAGCGCGGCGTAAGGTTTGTTGACGAGGATTGGTTTGGATACACAGTATAGTTTCGATGTCTCTTTGTCCCGATATATATGTTATGCTATATGTGCTCGGCGTCGGACCCCTCTAGTCCTCTATGTTGACGCGTACCAAGTCGAGCTGCAATATGTCGGCGCTCACGGCTTCTGTGGAAGCGAGGTGCAAACCGCTGCTACTACCCTATACAAACTGGGTAGCAGCTGCAACGAGAAGCCACCTACATCGATCAAGATAGGATCATAGCAGACACGCTGGAACCATGGAACGCTCAAGACAGTATTCCAGCGCAGCTCCAGGCAGCAGGGATGTCAGGACAGAGTCGTGGGTATAAATAGCTGATAGATTTCGGTACCCTCTAGTTCTCTAAGCAATCAAGATTTTATTCCCGCATCAAATGCTTATCCAGTGTCTTTGCTTCCGTGGTCCTAGATCCCAACACAAAACCTAAATAAGGGGTATGGGTAATCAAGATCAACAGTATATTATTTAAAGCACATGTTTAGCTTCTGCTTTTGCTTCCGAGATCCTAGAACTCGACAGAATACAATATGGTTACTTGGACTTGACCTGTAGGTTTCACAGTGCTGAGGAAGCTTGATAACATAACCTATCTGAGAGGGGAGTTTGTGCACACGTCCTGGTATCGGTAGATAAGTAGGATTAGGTTCTAGAGAAAAGAACTATAAGTATTATTATATAACATCCTTCCGTATAGTTAGCTTTAAAATTTCTGGTTAAGAAATTTTGTGCTCCCGCTGGGGCACGACAAGATTTCTCTCAGAATGAGAAACATTCAGCACGGCATGGTCACCATTATGAGGAATGATTTGTGAACCCTCAAGTTCTTGGTAGACAACATTATACTGATCCTAAGGTCGTTATTACGCAATTATGGTTACTATTAGACTCTCTACACCACTCCCGGACTATAAAAGGACCACCTCCCAGTGGAGGCATAGACGAGAAGCTAATTGATTGTATAACGCAAAGGAGAAATATCCTCTTGGTCGCTCGGATTTGACAGTTACTGTATTTAAGGGCGTACATGACTGATCGTAAAAGATGAGCCCCAGCGGTTGTGCATAGAAATTGAACCTTGAAATCGGTATCTATCATGCCTAATGTCAAAACCATCATTTACCTTAAGCATCCATCGCTGCTAAATGCCAGGTTCTAGGTAGGAAATGCGATATTGTCAATTATGAGTCCATTTACCGCGTGACCAATTTCTTTTCTCCCTTTTCCGATGTCGGCTGATCAGCATTGCTACAAATGCAAGATTTTTCCTACGTCCGTATTGCCCGAGAGATCTGCAGCTGTGGATTCTGCACGGGAATAGCTACATATTGTAGATCACGACCATAAGGAGTAATTCGTGCGAGCTCTATAGATGTGCGAATAATTGACAGTTCGGCGCCTGGACTTTGCCTATGGGGTCCACAGGTCTAGCTTTAAGGTTTGCCCACTGGTAACGGTCTATAGGTAAAACGTACGAGCCACATCGATCAATAAAGCATTGAGTTCTCGCTGATTTAATGTGCTAAGCGTTTGGAGGAGACGTTATGAACATCTTTATTCGTTGGAATAATGGAGCACCATGTATTAAGCGTATGATAGCTGCCACATGGGGTCAGGGGGCTTGACTCGCTAGGGTTTTAAAACATGCAATATATCCATGGCTGTATAAAAGTTACTAGGTCTGCTAATATATGAATGGTATCTCCCGTACATACTGATTGAAAGTCAGCCGACACAACTGTTCTCTATATACAATGGCTCCTTCTCCCTTTCCTTCCACCCAGACGGCAATCATCGCTGCTGATAGTGCTGGCAGCCTTAAAATCGCCGATGATGTGCCTGTTATTGATCTTGAGCCCGATGCAGTGCTGATTCATACTGCCGCATTGGCTCTCAACCCAGTGGACACGAAAATGCTTCATGGTTTTGCCTACCCTGGAGCTATTCTTGGGTTTGACTTTGCCGGCACTGTGGCCGCTGTTGGCTCTGCGGTGACAAGGCCACTTCAACCTGGTGACCGCGTCTGTGGTAGTGCAGACAGTATGAATAGACAGCGACCCAGTGGGGGAGCATTTGCCAAGTATACTTCCTGTCCTGCATCGCTGGTGGTCAAGATCCCGGCCGATATGCCTTTCACTGATGCAGCAGGGTTGGGAACATCACTGGCCTCTGCAGGCTTGGCACTCTTCCATTCTCTTAAACTGCCGGCTTCACTTGAATACCCTGCCGACAGGCCCATCTATGTGCTGATCAACGGTGGCAGCACGGCAACGGGAACGATGGCCATCCAGCTCCTCCGAGGGTGTAATCTCCGCCCAATCGTCACCTGCTCCCCTGACCACGTCGAGTTGGTGACATCTTACGGCGCCGAAAAGGCATTCAACTATCATTCACCGACCTGCGCTCAGGATATTCGAGCCTATACGCGAAACGCCCTGGCTTTCGCGGTCGACTGCATCACACAACCGTCCACGATGAAGCTTTGCTACGATGCCATTGGGCGTGCCGGCGGCAGATATGTGGCTCTAGATCCTTTCCTGGAGTCGCAAAATACGCGGAAAGTTGTCAAACCCAACTGGATCCTCGCCACGAGCGTGACGGGCCGGGGCTGCTCGTGGCCAGCTCCCTACGGACGGGATGGAGACCGCGAGATTCGGGCTTGGGCCGAGGGCTTCTTTTCCACAGTACAGCCGCTCATAGAAGCAGGTCGGATCCGATCCCATCCGGTCAAGATCTGTCCAGGCGGGCTTCCCGGCATCCTCGAGGGCATCGAGTCTATTCGACGGAAAGAGGTGCGGGGTTTTAAACTGGTGTATCCAATGGAGTGGTGAAGGAGTTCTAGATATCTTTTGTGCATAAGAACAATGTCTTCCCTTCCTCCGTCTCGCTTACGTGTCCCGTTAAGGATTGACATTACAACCGGCGGTAATACATATATCTAGCTTGGCAAGTTTTCATGGTGCAATAATGTTTCTATGATAGACAGTGCAACGGCAGCTTCAGCTTCAGGATCGACAACACTAGGCATAACTCGGTGGCAGTTCCGAGGATAAGCATTCTGAAGCTTTTTAGTTTCCCCCATTCTAACTGGGGTATCGTCATCATGCTCGCTTAATGTGTACCTGCATGATATCCTAGTGGGGAAGAAGCCCGGCCGCTAGGCAAGGGCTCGAATGTAGAATTCTGATTATCTGATAATCTAATCTGATCATCATGCAACACGGCCGTTACGCACTTAGGCGCACCATGTATCCACGTCTATCATGTCGGCTGATACACATTTCCAAAGATCGATTCTCCCGCCTCTCTCCCTTTTTTTTTTCTTTTTTCTTCCATTAAGCAATGACCTCTACATTGCGTGGTCCAGGACAGGGACAGGGGCTTTTGCATTGATTTTGCGCTTAAAGTAGTATATATAGCTCTCTAGGGTAAAATGGCTACCTGTAAGGTTGAATGAATCCAAGGAAATCGGTTGGTAAATTAGGATTCACCTTGTCGATCCTACTAAATATTGGGATCCCTGAAATGTAATCTAAACCGAAGGGCGCGCAAGATGTGGACACATGTTCATAGAGTGTTTATTGACACATCAAGATAACCCCACCTTACTACCATCCCGGCTGCCTTTATTTCCTGCCTGATGTTTTTGTTTCGTACCTCGCACTATTCTCATCTTATACCACTTCCTTTCCTGTCTGTAGTCATTTGCCAAGATAGATAGTGGGAAATGGTTAGCCAAACCTTAACAAAGAAGCGGAGAATGGGTCCATAATAATCTTATAACGAACCGTCTTTTTTGTCATTAGCATACTCACAACTGCAGATCACATACAAAGAACATAACAAAGAACATGCGTTGCATGTGCGTATTCTAAAATAATGCCACCACAGCGCTTAATGCAAGTAACACACCAATTACTATTTTTTTTTCTCATGTTCCTTTTAGCAGTAAGTCTGTAGTAAGTTTTGGAATAGATGTTCCAGTAATTGGGGACTCATGCAGGTCCATAGGTAGTCTTCTTTATAGAATGAGCGCTGGTTAGCAAAATCACCGAGCTTCTATTCAAGAGTTAAACGGCCATGCCTTGCTTTCCTAGGAGAGTTAGATTCGCTAGTACATAGTCGAAAGACAAAGGAAGGCATTGGCCCGAAATACACTCGGGAAGGGTCTTACTCTGATGAGCACAAAAGCTAGAAAGTGACCCATATGTACGAATACTTTATCTTCCCTAATATTCGTTTTATCCCGCATTGGTTCTGTTTGAGGATTTATCTCGTCCATATGTCCCAAAGAACACCGCTGCTTGCTGAGACTTGTATTATATGGTTGCTTTTGTCATAGAATGACTCCTCCGCGTGAGCCTATTGCCATCATCGGGAGCGGCTGCCGACTTCCAGGAGATGCAAGCTCTCCATCAAAGCTATGGGAGCTTCTCCGAGACCCCCGAGACGTGTCGCGAAAAATCGACCGGTTCAACGCCCAAGGCTTCTACCATCATGATGGCCATTATCACGGTGCTAGCAACGTGACTGATGCTTATCTATTATCAGAGGATCCTCGGGCATTCGATGCTCAGTTCTTTGGGATACAAGCTGGTGAAGCTGACGCGATCGATCCTCAGCAACGATTGCTACTTGAGACGGTATACGAGTCTTTAGAGTCAGCCGGACTACCATTGGAGGAGATGCGAGGTTCCACTACAGCCGTGTATGTCGGCGTTATGTGCGATGACTATGGTGGAATCGTGTACCACGATTGAGAAGCAATCCCTACCTACGCGGCAACTGGCATTGCCCGTAGTATATTATCGAATCGTGTGTCCTACGTGTTCGACTGGCATGGTCCATCCATGACAATTGATACAGCTTGCTCCTCCAGTCTAGTGGCAGTCCATCAAGCAGTTCAAGTCTTGCGAGAGGGAACTTCAAAAGTGGCCGTGGCCGCTGGCGCGAATCTGATATTCAGCCCAAGTAAATTATCTCCCCCGTGATGGTTATCTCTTCGCGCTGACACAGAAATAAGACATGTTCATTGCCGAGACAAACCTCAATATGCTTTCCGCGACCGGAAAGTCGCAAATGTGGGATGCCAATGCCAACGGTTACGCCCGTGGTGAGGGAACCGCCGCCGTGGTTATGAAGCTCCTTAGTACTGCTGTCGCGGATGGCGATTGCATCGAATGTATCATCCGCGAGACGGGGGTGAATCAAGATGGTCATACCACAGGAATTACCATGCCGAGTCAAGAGGCTCAGACGAAACTAATACAAGAAACATATACACGTGCCTGCCTTGACTTGCGCAATCCTGCTGACCGTTGTCAGTATTTCGAGGCTCATGGCACTGGCACAAAGGCAGGCGATGGTGTTGAATCCAAGGCCATCTACAATGCTTTTTTCCAGACGGGACATAGCAATATCTCAGACGAGAGACTTTTTGTCGGGTCTATCAAGACCATCGTTGGCCACACGGAAGGGACAGCCGGTCTAGCTGGCGTCTTGAAAGCGTCCCTCGCTGTTCAACATGGTGTCATTCCGCCTAACCTTCATTTCAAAGAGCTCAACCCGGAGATTGCGCCGTATTACGAGAAGCTGCGGATTCCGACTGAACCGCAAGAATGGCCACCACTACCAACACATGCGGTGCGTCGGGTCAGTGTCAATAGCTTTGGTTTCGGCGGGACCAACGCTCACGCTATCATCGAATGCTATGATCCAGAGTATCATGGCTGTAATACAGTATTGCCACAGCTTCAACCTGGAGGCTCTTCTGTCAATACATTGCCGTTGACTTTGTCTGCCACTTCGGAAAAGTCATTATCAAACCTGATCTCTCGGTATCTGGAGCATATCAAGAATAACCCTGACGAAGATTTGCGTCGTCTCTCTTGGACACTGCATTATCGACGTTCACTTTTTCCTTTCCGGGCCTCGTTCGCGGCTCCATCAACAGATTCACTTATCCCTAAGCTACAGTCCGCTCTAGATGATAAGGGGGACTTTTTGACACGAAGAACACCGGAAAGGAAGTCCCTTCTAGGCGTGTTCACCGGCCAAGGAGCTCAGTGGGCAACTATGGGACGTGATCTCATCACGACATCTCCATTCGCTGAACAAGTCGTTGAGAGGCTGGAACAGGCCCTGCTGGGACTTCCAGCAGCAGATAGGCCCCGGTGGTCTCTTAGAGAACAGATGCTAGCGTCTACGGCCGAGTCGCGAGTTTCTGAAGGAGAGCTATCGCAGCCGCTCTGCACAGCTATACAGGTAATTATTGTCGACATGTTGAAGCAAGCTGATATTACCTTTGACGCTGTTGTCGGTCATTCCAGCGGCGAGATAGGCGCTGCGTACGCTGCAGGATTTATCAATGCTACCGACGCTATTCGTATAGCGTACTACCGTGGCCGATATGCACATCTAGCCCATGGACCGCAGGGTCAGCGAGGGGGGATGCTAGCGGCCGGAACAACTCTGGAGGATATTCAGGAGCTATGCGGAGTCCCTGCGTTTGAAGGTCGCGTCGTTATGGCCGCCTGCAACTCAGCCTCCAGTGTAACACTATCTGGAGATATGGATGCAATCGATGAGGTGAAAGAAGTGTTAGAAGATGAACATAAATTCAACCGGAAGCTTAAGGTGGACACAGCCTATCATTCCCATCACATGGTCCCTTGCTCTGTGCCGTACCAACAGTCGTTAGATGCATGTCGAATCGATATACAAGACCCAAACGGCCGCTGCCGATGGTATTCCTCGGTGCACAATGGCAAGAGGATGGATGTATGCGATGAGCTGAAGCATCAGTATTGGGTTAAGAACATGGTCAATCCAGTCTTATTTTCCCAGGCATTGGAGGCCGCCTTGACGCATGGTCCTACACCGACAATGGTCATTGAGGTTGGGCCTCACCCAGCGCTGAAAGGTCCAGCAACGTCAGTGATTGAAGAAATCCTTGGATTGAACCTCCCATATGTAGGAACTCTTGTCAGAGGCCAGGACGGCATCGATGCCCTAGCTTCAACCGTGGGATCTGTCTGCCGTTACTTTGGTCGATCTGCTGTCGACTTACGATCCTATGACCGGCTATTCGGCCACGGGGAGGATCCCTTGTTCCTCCGAGGCTTGCCATCCTATCCATGGGATCATGACCGTTCATTTTGGTTCGAGTCCCGAGAGTCCAGATCGCATCGTCTGCGCAATAACCCTGCTCACCCTTTGCTTGGGGTGCGGTTATCCACCAGTAACGACCGTGAATACCGTTGGCGCAACTACCTGAAGCCAGATGAGATTTCTTGGCTACATGGCCACAAGATCCAGGGTCAAACACTGTTCCCCGCCGCTGGTTTTCTGGTCATGGCGGTTGAAGCTGCTCGCTTCGTTGCCGGACATAGATCACAGCCTCTTAACATTGTCGAAATATCCAATTTCAACATCCATCGTGCGTTGGGATTCTACGACGATGAAAAAGGGGTCGAGATTCTTGCCACACTGTCCAATGTCACCATTAATTCTGCTGATGATGATGCGACCGCTGTTAGTGCAGACTTCACTTGTGACACCTGTCCCCAGAAAGACAATGGATCTTTCATCTCAGTTGCAAATGGCAGGATTAAATTGTTGCTAGGAGAGTCTTCGTCATCGACATTGATTGATCGCCCCGATATGGATTCGAGTATGATTGACGTCGACGTAAATATGTTCTATTCCTCTCTTCAGTCACTTGGATACAACTACGCGGGACTGTTTCGGAGTATCACTTCTTTACGGAGGACCACTGATGCAGCAATGGGAGAGATCCTCACGGCGGAAACCGTGAATGGAACAGAATATGCTTCTGAAGACTTTCTTCTGCATCCTGCTGCTCTCGATGTTGCCTTTCAAGCCATCTTTGCCGCTGTCAGTTATCCTGGAGACGGCGCTCTTTGGACGCTGCATATCCCCACCACCATCCGGCGTGTAACGATCAATCCCGCTGGGTGCCTGCGAAATGGTGGTCTGAATGTTCCACTAGCCTTTTCAGCAAACTCCCAGATATCCCCCGGTGGACAAATCTCCGGCGATGTGGATATCTTCCCGCACAATGGCCAGAACGCCTTCTGTCAGGTAGAAGGCCTGGAGGTCACGCCTCTCTCTCCTTCCACAGAGAAAGACGATCGCCAAATGTTTGCAGAGAGCCTGCAGTATATTGCTTCGCCAGACGCCGATATCGTGTTCAGACCGATCCTTTCCACAAGTGAGGACCAGATAGAAGCGATACAGGTTGAACGATTAGCACTATACTACCTGCGCAAATTTCTCGGATCAACTGTAAACAAGCCTGGGTTCCGGATCTGGGCCCAGCGCGCAGTTGACATAATAGCGTCAGGAGAACATCCGACCTGCAGGCAGCAATGGCTTTTGGATACATGGGACGATGTAGAATCAGCATTAGGAGCCATCCGCCCAAGCTCCATCTATCAAAGTGATGTTAGGAGGATCAAGGCACTCGGCGAGACCTTTGAGCCAACAGGGGATGCTGAAATCTCCACTGAAATAAACAGGCTACGCGATTTCTATGAAGCTTCCTTCGGTGTATCACAATCGCGGCAATATTTGGCTTCCCTTACTTTCCAGATAACTCGACGTTACCCTCAAACGTCCATTCTGGAGCTGCAAACGGTAAATGGTAGCGCCACGAGGACAATCATCAACCATATTGGCAACTCTTTCTCGGCATATACCTGCACCGACTCATTTGATACGAGCTTCGACGCTCTACATGAAGAGTTTGGGTCTCTAGACCGTACCTTATTCTCGACTAAGAAGATTAACATTGATGAGGACCTTCAAGCACAAGGTTTCTCTGGTGGCTCATACGACCTCATAATTGCACCTAATGGTATACATGGCGTTCAGGAGTATTCCCAGGCTTTGAGAAATCTTCGCGCTCTTCTGAGACCAGGCGGCTACTTGCTGGTGCTGCAAGTAACCAACCCAGATACGTTGAGGGTTGGTCTCACCGTCGGTGCCTTGGATAGGTTGCCGGAGAGCTTTCACAGTCATGGGACACCTTTCCTTGATTTGAGTGAATGGGACACACTCCTTCGAACCACTGGATTCTCCGGTGTTGACACTGCAACACCAGATGGCCCCGTTCCCTTTTCAGTCTTTGTTACCCAGGCAGTCGACACCCAGATCAATACCATGCGTCAGCCAATGGGCAATAGCAGTATTGTGATCGACCATCTTCTGATAATTGGAGGCCACCGGTTCCCCGTATCGCGCACCGTACGAGAACTCCAAGAATTGCTGGGGCCATTCTGTAAAAGCATTACTACCATCAAGTCCATGGATGAGCTTGATGCTGCCACCCTCGTGTCGAGGCCACTTGTCCTCAGCGTGACGGAGCTGGATTCCCCGTTCTTTCTCTCTTTGACGCGACGTAAGTTCCAGGCATTGCAAAAGCTCTTCGATCGTTGCAAAACTGTGCTGTGGGCCGTTGAAGGTGCCAATGGGGAGCTTCCCCATGGTAACATGATGAAAGGCCTCGTGCGTTGCCTTCTCCCAGAGATGCCACATATCTTCGCACAGATCTTTAATTTCCAGCCATCCACCGCTGTCAAGGATCGGTCGCGAATACTAGCTCAAGCTATTTTACACCTACATATTGCTAGTACCTGGAGAGACGGCTACGGCCCTCTTTGGAGCACCGAGCGCGAACTTACAATCGATGATGGCAAAGTTTATATCACAAGATATATACCGAACGAGTTCCTAAATCGTGGATACAACGCGATTAGGCGACGCGTTACTGCCGAGGCCTCACTTGAGGATCGGACTATTGCAGTCATCACAGACAAGGAATCATATGCCCTGCAACAATACCGCGTTCCGCCTGTCCCGAGATATATGCTTCTTCAGGGGGGACTCTGCACTGTCAAGATTCATTACTCTACTCTATGCTCGCTGAAGGTCGGAAATTTAGGCTACTTTTACTTGTGCTCTGGTATCGACCGAGAGTCTAATTCGTCTATCCTCATCCTCTCGGAGCAACACCAGTCTGTTCTGACAGTACCACGGACTCGCGTAGTTGCTTGCAATCTCCCGAGGAACCATGAACGCAATATGCTTATTTCTGTTGCCGGTGTACTTCTCGCTAATTCTATCACAGAGAAGAATGGCGCTAACAGTACCATCATCGTATATGAACCACCTCCACTAATAGCCTATTTTGTTGCTCGAAAGGCTACCCAGAAAGGCATACATCCAGTTTTTACGACAACAAGACGGGATGATGCCGTTCATAATAACTGGACATATATCCATCCCCACACACCAGACCGCCACTTGAGAAAACTTGCTTCTAGCAAGGTATCTGCATTCATTTCCTGTTCCGAAGATGCTGTGAAATCTCGCATTACCGACCATTTGCCCATTGGAGTCCATGGACTCTCAATCACTGACTTCCTCAAGTCCTGTTCTTACGTCTATCCAGGACTCATGGAAAAAAGTATCCATGAAGCCCTTCTTGACGCTTACAATGAAGCATCTTCGGTTAATATCTCGGACGTGTCTCTTGACACCCTCGAAGACATTGCGCTGCACGATGTGGCTAAGCAACCTGTAACAGCGGGTCGCAATCTTCAAGCGGTTAACTGGACAAGCGCGGCACCTGTTCTGGCACGAGTAACTTCGGCGATGGAAGAAGTCACCTTCAGCGACTGCAAAACATATTTCTTGATCGGGATGACAGGAAACCTGGGATTGTCGACATGCCTTTATATGATCTCGCGCGGTGCCAAGTACTTTGCTCTAGCAAGTCGGAACCCCAAGGTTGATCAGCAATGGTTGGATCATGTTAGCTTGACTTATGGGGTGATAGTAAATGTTTTCTCATTGTAATATTCCCTTTTAACAGTTGTGTCCAGTGGGCTAATTCGTGCAGGGATATCACGAGTCGGGAATCATTGATAGAAGTGTACCAAACAATCTCTCGCACTATGCCTCCCATAGGAGGGGTGACGAACGCTGCCTTGATCATGCGCGATGGTGCCTTCATGGACATGGACTCTGACGACATGAACCAGGCGTTGCAGCCCAAGGTAGACGGAAGCATTTACCTTGACGAGCTATTCTCGGATCATACCGATCTTGAATTCTTTGTTCTCTTTTCCTCTCTTGTCTATATCACTGGTAACGCGGGCCAGGTTGCTTACGCAGCTGGAAATGCCTTTATGGTAAGCCTGATACACGGTAGGCGTCAGCGCGGCTTGGTTGGTAGCGTCATGAACCTGTCGGGAATCAAGGGTGTGGGATATATCACCCGGACTGACCATGGAATCTTGAATCGCCTCGATATTTTGGGATACGGAGTCATGTCTGAACGGGACTTCTTATACTTCTTTGCCGAGGCTATCCTAGCTGGACCGCCAAATTCCGGTCGCAACCCGGAGATTTCAGCTGGTCTACGATTCTGCGACCCTCACAAGGACGCTGCCCCTCCAGCTTGGATCGAGGATCCAAAGTTCAGTCACTACCGAGTTCATCATAACCAGAATGATGGTCAAGAAGGCGGACATCAAGTTACGTCTGTTAAGAATCGACTTTTAGGCGCCCAATCTGAGAAGGAGGTCTTTGATATCATCCTTGGTTAGTGATTAACAGGCCAGATGACCATGTGCCACGACTGACCATTTTCACTACAGATGCTTTATTGGCAATGCTACACAGGAAACTGAGATTACAACCAGAGAACGCTGTGCCTGCAGATGTGGCCATCGTTGAACTCGGTGTGGATTCTTTGGTGGCGGTTGAGATGCGTTCATGGTTCACCAACGAGTTCAACCTGGATATTCCCATCATCAAGATACTTGGAGGCGCTACGGTCTCAGCTCTCATCTCTGACGCTATTCCAGAGCTCTCCCATGAGACTATCCCAAATCTCGCCAAGGATGCGCCTGCTAAGCCAGCCGATGCTATACCGCCATCCATGTACAAGAGCTCAGACTCAGGGTCAGGCTCTTTCGGAGAATCAGAGTCGCACTTGGACTCTAATTCTACCCCTGATGAGTCAACTGATACAACGGCGAGTATACCTGACGTGGAAGAGAAGACTTCGCCCCTGGTCTTTCAGAGAAAGGAGAAGATGTCTTACGGATCATCACGCTTCTGGTTCTTGCGGCAATACCTGGATGACAAAACCTGCTTCAATATTGTTTTTCGGGCCCGGATTACCGGCAAGATCAATATTAAGAAATTCGAGGAGGTCGTCCGCCAGATAGGCAGCCGCCATGAGGCCTTCCGGACAGCCTTTTACGCTGATAAGGAGCGTCAGGATGAGCCAACCCAGGGAGTTATGGTAGAGTCGCGGTTGCAGCTTGAAGTGAACAAGATTACTCACGAAGACGAGGCTCTTATTGTTACTAATGACTTGCTCGATTACAGCTTTGACATTGAAGGTGGTGAGACGATACGAATGCTGATGTTGTCCTTGTCACCAGAAGACCACATTTTAGTTTTTGGGATGCATCATATTGCTATTGATGGATTCAGCTTCAACGTTCTCCTCACTGAGATTGATATGCTCTACCGGGACCAGCCTTTGCCCATTATTCGTCGACAGTTCACTGATTTTGCTGTACAGCAGCGGCGTGAGGTTGAGAATGGCCAGACGGATAAGGAACGAGCCTTCTGGCGGAATATGTATCCTGACATCCCTGAACCTCTTCCTCTTTTCCCACTCGCCAACGTTAGCTGCCGAAAGCCAGTGATGAGATATGAACATGAAGAAGCGTCAATAATCTTAGACCGTGCTACTGCGGAGAGCATCCGGACAAGGTGTCGTGAAAACAGATCCACTATCTTCCACTTTTTCCTGGCTACTTTACAGGTCCTGCTCTTCCGGTACCTGGACGTAGAAGATTTGTGCATCGGAATTGCAGACGCCAATCGGCACGATGTCAACACACTGACAACGGTCGGATTCTTGCTGAACTTGCTTCCATTACGCTTCAATGCTCCAAATGGAGCTTTTGACAGCGTGCTTGCTGCGGCCAGGAATCTGGTCTACTCCTGTTTGGAGCATTCAAGGTTCCCCTTTGATGTTCTAATCGAGGATCTCAATATACCGCGCTCGTCTACCTACAGTCCCCTATTCCAGGTTCTCTTGGACTACCGACAGTTCGCCGTCAAAAGTCCGCCGATGCTGAATTGTCGGGCCGAGGGTGAACGTATCATGGGCCGCACGGCATACGACTTACTGCTGGATATCACAGACTTCTCTGGCTCAGATATCTCTATCAAGCTCCAGACACAGAAATCATTGTATTCACGTCAGCACACAGAAACCCTTCTTCGGAGCTATGTGCACCTGATCCACTTCTTTGCGAATGACTTCAAGGCAGAGACTAGCAACGCTCCTCTGTTTTCAGAGAATGAAAAATGGAAGTCTATCCGCCATGGACGAGGTAAGTTAACCCTCTGGTATTTAAAAATAAATTTACGAAATATGCTGATATCTGTCAAATTTCAGGGCCAACGTTTACTTCAGAATGGCCAGAAACTTTGTCTCACCGAATCGACGATATATCCACTCAATACCCCGAGGACGTCGCCCTTCGGGATGGCTTGGGTGTCGTCATGACATACCGCGATATGTCATTGAAAATGGACGCGATCATTGATCAGCTGCAGCAGGCCAGGATAGAGCCAGGGAGCAGGATCGCAGTATTCCAGGAGCCATCCGCTCTGTGGATATGCTCTCTGCTGGCTATCTGGAAGGTTGGGGGTATATACCTGCCCTTGGACAGTCGCAATAGCCTATCCCGACTGGCATCCATTGTGACCAACTGCAAGCCAGATGCCGTGCTCTGCACTACGGATACACTCGCTCATGCTCCTTCTCTCGGGTTTAACGGATCTATGATCGACGTCCGAACAGCTGCGCGGGCCCCATTGTTAGCTCGTCATACGAATAAAGCTGCTGGATCTTTCACGGCCGTCATCCTTTTCACCAGCGGATCTACCGGGACACCAAAAGGAATTGAAATCAGCCACTCCAGCCTGAGAAATCTGTTCGAAGGTTATCAGAAGACCGGCGATCTCAGCAGACATACTGTCTTGCAGCAGAGCGCTTACAGTTTTGACCTGTCACTAGATCAGATCTTGACAGGCCTCACGGGTGGCGGTTCTATCTATGTTGCTTCTGCTGAGCAGCGTTTGGATCCCCGCGAGTTGGCGCGAATCATTGCCCAGGAGCATATCACCAGTACCACGGCTACTCCCTCTGAATACTCCAGCTGGATCACGTACGGTAAACCTATGTTGCTGTCAGCCAGAAAGTGGACTCGGGCGATAATTGCCGGTGAACGCTGGACAAGTGCTTTACGAAAAGCCTTTCAGGATTTACATCTACCTGGTCTCCGTCTGCTGAGCTGTTACGGACCTGCGGAAACAACCATCTACTGCACAAAGATGGACTTGCCATCAGACGATACGGGCATTATCCCCGTTGGTTGTCCAATCCCCAACAGTTCTATTTACGTGGTAGATAACCAGTTGAACGTACTCCCTCCGGGAGTTGTGGGAGAGATCGTGGTTGGAGGCGCCGGGGTTGCAGTGGGATATTTCGACAATGCGGAGCTGACCAACGATAAGTTCTTCACTGACCCTCATGCGTCATCAGAATTCGTTGCAGCAGGCTGGACCAAAATATATAGGACTGGCGACATCGGTTATTTGCAGGAGGACGGCTCCCTGGTCTTTGTCTGTCGGGTCGACGGCGACACACAGGTCAAACTGCGCGGTATACGAATCGAGCTGGAGGATATTGAGAACACAATCATCAAGGCATCGGATGGTGCAATTTCTCAAGCTGTAGTATCTGTTCGCGGTGAAGGCAACGAGTCTCGGATTCTGCTTGCATTCGTCGAATTCGCTCCAGGACAGTCACTCAGTCAGGAGGAACTCTCTCATCTGCTTGGCCGTCTTTCTCTTCCACAGTACATGATCCCAACGATGCTGATTCCACTTGATGATGGAATCCCTCTAACTCCCCACAAGAAGGTTCATCGACGGGCAATCGACAACATGCCTCTGCCTCAGACACATCACATTGACGGTGAACAGAACTGTCTGAACGCCACGGAGGTCGCTCTCAGAGAAATATGGGTAGAAATGCTTCCAAAGGAAATCACTGCCGCAGTACCTATCGACAAAAAGACCGACTTTTTCTACGTAGGAGGAAATTCTCTTCTGTCCGTTCGGCTACAGGCCCGCATCCGAGATATTTTTGGTGTTTTCCTGCCCTTGGTAGATCTGATCGAATCAAGTACGCTGGAAGACATCGCTATCCATATTAACAATCGGTTAAATGAACATGCAATCGATTGGGACGCAGAGATTGCCGCGGACGAGGATATCCTATCGATCATTCCGGGAGAAGCGACGCAGAACAGTGGTCAGCCACAAACTGTTCTCCTGACAGGTGCTTCTGGCTTTGTTGGAAGCTCTATCCTGCAGAAATTGATTTCGGATGATCGAGTATCGCGCATCCATTGTGTTGCCGTACGGGAGGGCGCTGCACGGGAGAAAATGCGCTCAATGACATCGGAAACCACCAAGGTCATTATCCACGAGGGAAATTTGGCATCTCCTGCTCTCGGCCTACCTGAAAATACTTTTGCGTTACTGTCCAAAGAAACGGACGTCATCATTCACTCGGGCGCGAACCGTTCTTTCTGGGGCCGTTATGACTCCCTCCGCGCCGTAAACGTGCTTTCAACCAAGGAACTCGTTCGATTGGCCGCTTATGCTCGCCGTGATCATGGAAAGGCCATTCCTATTCACTTCTTGTCAACAAGCAGTAGCTGCTATCGTGACGCGAACTCCAGGCCCCCTACGGACGGCTCCATGGGTTATGTGGCATCGAAATGGGTTAGTGAGAGATACTTGGAGAATGCAGCCGCCCGGCACTTGGGATTACCAGTGTACATTCATCGAATGGCTCCTCCGGCATCGAGTGAGGGCCTAGAGGGACACAGAAACGACGATGATAAAAACACCGAGAAGGAACGCATTTTCCAGGAATTCATCTCGATCATCTCCCGGATAAAGCTCATTCCATCATCAGACACGTGGGGCGGCCAGTGGGATCTGATTCCCGTACGACAACTCGCAGAAGATATCGTGGAAGGAGCAGTGGTATCGCAGATATATAGCACTGCCAATTCTGCCGCTAGTCAGCAGAATCCACTTGTTCGCTACCAAATGCACTTTAGCACTGTGCGGATGACAATGGATGAGGTGGTCCAGGCATTGGAGGAGGCGATACCAATTAGACAAAAGGGGTACCAGGAAATACCGGCCCATATCTGGGTTGGGAAAGCGAAATCGGCAGGGTTTTCTTATCATTTTGCGTCGATGGATATGTTTCTCCTAAAGGACCAGAACGGAGATGTTGTCGGTGAATTGCGTCGTTGATGGACCATCCCCGCTAGCACAGAACCCTACTTCGTTACGTCGGCATATAAATATATGTGTGTATAAAGTCACTATTATTACATGATAGTACATTCACTTCAAAGCCACAGAACATAGAAACACTGTGAATATCTGACTTTGCCATGGCAATATACTAGCTAAACTATATAATAATTACCGTGTGGTAACCACTCCAATACAAGGTCCTGCCCCTCACGTCAGAAAAAGCCAAATATACGAATAGAATGACCACAATGCCACTTGCGAATCACCGATATCCCTATCCCGTTGATGATGGGCTCCAACATAAGCACTAATGCAACGCGCTGCGTTGCTGTCTTTGGGTTAGCGCCGTCTCAGTGGCTGAGTCTGACATGATCAACAAAATTACTGCCTGCATCGAGACATCGCAATCGTCGTTCACAAGCGCCCCCTTATCTCTTCAATAATGAAGGAGTGTTCCCTAGAAACCCCGTTTGATACTTAGATGAGCTCCTCGTGGCCTGTATCACGGGTGTGTACAACTAGGTAGGCAGGCAGGCTATCCACGATGGTGTACTGCGGTAAGCCATCTAAAGGATGTGGAGAATGCCGCGCGAGAAAGATAGGAGTGAGTATGCGCCAAGTGACAGTCAACCCTAATGGGTTGAGCCGTAGCCCGTATTTCTCGCAATGCTTACTGACTTGGGCTTCCAGTGCGACCAGACCAGACCGGCATGTTTGCAGTGCACTAGGGCTAATCGTGCCTGTCCTGGGTATCGAGATGAGCCTTCGCTCCTGTTTCGTGATGAGACCCAGGATGTGGTGCGAAAGGCGAAAGAAACAAAATTATCGAAAGCGGCGTCGCATCTATCAAAGAAAAAACGCACTTCATGCTCTTTCGAGAATGACGCAAACTCGGATAAGCGGGTTATACTTCGACCTGCCACTGCTGTCGAGTCGCAGCGGTACAACTACGATTGTGACCCGTTAAGGCTCCGATGGATCTCGGCGCCTATCACGGAACAGGCCACAAATTTCTTCTTCGCTAATTTTGCGTGGCTTGCGGCGTCCCTGATGCAGAAGGGTGTGCTTTTCGCCCCTAATCTAGACGATTCTTTAGGGGGAAAGGCTTTAATGGCTGGTGTTGCATCAATCGGCTCCGCGACACTATCGAATATTCATAACGCCCCTGAATTCCATGTATCAGCAAGAGAGAACTATATAGCTGCTTTGCGTCTGATCAAAGGAGCACTTGCGGACACTGGCCAAGCGAAAACAGATTTGACGTTCACCGCTTCGATTCTTCTAGGCATATTTGAGGTGAGATATATCCCTCGCATCTACTTCCCAGAATCTTACATTGAAGATAGCTTGTCACTTGCACGAATCCTGCCACGGCAGATAATTGGACTGGCCACGTCAGAGGCGCTATGGCACTCTTCCAGTTACGAGGCGCCAGCCGGCTTGAGGATGAATCAGGAATGCGCATGTTCCATCAGCTAAGAAACCAAATTGTGCGTCATCATAGGGATAGGGTTAATAATCACTCTTACTAACATTTCCCGCAGCTCATCTCCTGTCTTCAAAGGAAAACGCGTGTGCCCGCCTTAGTGCTAGAGTTGTCGAGGAAAGCTGCTTTCTTAAAAGCGCCTGGGACTACTTATTTTGATCGCCTCGCAGAAACGGTCGCCAAATTATGTAATTTACGCGCTGATATCGCGTCCAAGTCAATAACCAATAATTCGGAGATCTTCTCAGCGGCCTGCTCTATCGAATGCGAGCTGTTAGCTTGGGTTAACAGCCTTCCTCCCAATTGGGCTTATAGTACGAACCAGGCCGCCGAAGGAAACGATAAACTGAGAACTGGGTGGAATGGGCTATACCCATATAATGGCCGATATCATGTCTACGAGGATTTGTGGATATGTAGCGCCTGGAACCAGTGCCGTGCTGCTCGAATTTTTGTCAACGAGATTATTCTGACACGTCTGTGGCTGATGCACAGTGAATCTGCCACGGTTTCCGTTTCAAGCGAATTCAGAGTTCAGTGTGGTAATATTCGGAGTACCTTGAGGCAACTGGCAGCGGATGTTTGCTACAGCGTTCCCTATTGTTGTGCGAGCGTCAATGGGGTCGATTTCGTTGATATCGGAGATGTTTCTGTCTCAAAGTCTACTGTTGGAGGATTCACAGTACTCTGGGCTCTGTTCTTGGCTGGCTCGGTCGAGGGCTGTGATAGTGTGCTTGGTGAGTGGTGTATTGAGTGCCTTCGCTGGATCGGGCATACACTCGGGATTGGACTGGCACTGGCTATGATTGACATCCTTCGCATGAACACCGGGATTCTTCAATGGATGGATAGCATGGATCGAGAAACCCACTCAACCGGAACCGAAACGGCGAACGGAAACGATATACACGACCTCTCCACGAAAACCAATGACCCCTGGTGGGATCGGGAAATGGCTCATCAAGATACACAGTCATGAATTAGTCGCTAAACCCTATATTGCACACAAATCGAGCCCAGATATTACCGGGAAGAGTCTTTTGAGGATTATCATGATTAGCCAGCCTTTGCACAATGGGTGACGACTTGCGCTATTGTTGAGAGGCTATTGCTTCTAATGCAATGCCACTTTGAGTGAGACTTACAGAGCTATTCCTCTGAACCTCGTCTTCCCTTCAAATAAGACGGCGTTGATCACACCTAGGCGCACTGGAGCCGAATTATAGTCAGACTGTAGAACACTGCATTAGATATCATGGCTGCGCCTGAACACGAGAAAAACCCGAGCCCGTTGATTGGTGGATTGGAGATACCGAGGCACACTTCGCTGGGCTGTGCAAGTATGAGCTGCAGCATCCGGCGGTGCCCCTACTTTATTTCACAAACAACTCGACAGCAGTTTAGAAGATGAGGCTCAATTGGAGTTCAGAAGTTTCACACGTCGTATATTAGCGTCTACGGACCGCTGTGTTTGTGCCATGAATGGACCTTGGTTCAACCAAATGCGGCTGCGGGGGAGGATTGTAAGGCATCCTTGAAAACTAGGAGCCTAACAAAGAATGAAGTATATGTGTCGAGGAAGCCTTTCATCCATGATGGGATATTTAAATGAACTTGAAAGAATCGATAATTACTGCTTGCGATGGACTCATTGAGTGGTAACTTCAGCTTGACTTCATCTTGACTTTCAAAACACAGCGGCACATTCCCTCCGTTGCCTCCTTCCTGTTATGTCACAAGGATATTCATCCATCGGTACGTCTCTATTCACTGTGTCCTTAACATGTATGTTGCTATTTAATTTCAATCATACTGATGACACTGGCTTTCTCTGAGAGATACAGATTCTGTCAAGCACTTTTATCGGCGCTATTTCATCCAGGATACTCAGATCCTATCTGAGAATGGGACACCGACATTCTACATCACAGCGCTCGAGACACGGTCAAGTTGGCTCCTCAGAGAACCCTCTCGTAGCACGAGACCTTGCGAACCGGTCTTCCAGTACCAGCCACCATGGTAGCGATCTCTGGACGCCTCCCCCATACTCTGAAGTACTTCCAGCGGGGACGAAATTCCCAGCAATGAACCACCTTTCCGCCAATAATGGGATTAGCGCTGATTCTCCATATGCATTTCTCAAAGAGTTCGACACCATTTTTGTTGTGGACGACAGTTCAAGTATGACAGGATGGCGCTGGCAAGAGGCAGAACAAGCGATCTCAGCGATTGCGCCGGTCTGCACACAGTTTGATCCCGATGGGATCGATATCTACTTCCTTAACCATCGGAATGCGAGAGATAGGTCCCATGGAGGGGCCTACCTGAATGTCAAAACCGCAGAGGGTGTCAGGAATATCTTCCATTCCGTGGCACCATATGGACCCACGCCATATGGGAAACGCCTTCTTCAGATCCTACAGCCCTATCTGGGGAGGGTGGAGAAGATGGCAGCCGCTACAGATGATGTCGGGGCGTTGCGCGATCCTGCGCTCGCCGTACGGCCTTTGAACATCATTGCCATCACTGATGGCGAGTTCACAGATGATGCGGAAAGTGTCATTGTGGACGCTGCTAAGCGACTAGATAAGTGCAGGGCTGTGCCTTGGCAGGTGGGCATTCAGTTTTTTCAAATTGGGAATGATGAGGCGGCCCGCAGATATCTCGAAGAACTCGATGATGAACTAGAGCATAAAGTTCAAAACGAAAATATACGTGATATCGTTGATACCGTTCCCTGGAGGGGAGACAGAGGCCAATCGTTGAGTGGAGAAGGGATCCTGAAGGTAAAGGATTTTAATATATCCTACATACTGCGAGGGTTTGCTAAATGTCCCTGTACAGGTCGTCATCGGAGCGGTTCATAAGAAGTACGATAAACGGAAAGCCACCCATTGAACTCGTCCACTCGAGGACTTATAACGTTCATGATTTGCGTGAGATTCTGGGCCTTCGACAAGCAATTTCTATCTTCTCACGGTTACGAACGGGACGTTGTGAAGTTAGAATCGCTGCGAGGATACTGCGAACTTCAGACCATCGAGGTCTGGTCTAACACTTTGAACGGTGGTCTTGCTAGAACTGCTCAATGCCTCCGCTAGTGCAATAGTCATTTAGAGAGAGAGAGAGAAAAAAAAATGCAAGGCTGACGAGAACTGTGTTCGCATCGAAGTGATAGCCAGGACAAGGGACGGCTTGCAGCTTGTATCAAATCCGTCCAATAGCAACGTTGTCCATATAGTCTTACCATTCTCTTGGTTGCGGTTTAATCGTAGGAAGCCACGGAATATCCTCGAAGTTGTAGCTATTAGACTCTGGGATGAAACACGGCAGTCACATACACCGCCAGATACTATGTAACAGCTGTACTCGCGAGTTTGATGGTTTGATATTGTTGGAATTTGTAGCCATCGGATTTGCCGCCGATCAGGCTCAGCGAGGCGAGGGGCCTGCACAACTGTGCTGAAACAACTTTAGCGACTCCCTTGCGCCGCTCCTTGCGGTCTAGGCCACTTCGCGAGAGAAAAGTGTTCGCGAAGAAAGGAGAAAGTTAATCTGAAGAGCCTCAGGTGAACGAACCATGGCGAATTGACCTGATTAGTTGATGGGGATCTCCGACAAAGGAATGCAAGTTAGTTTCGTGAACCGATGTGCAGCTAGCTGAAACTCCAAAGAACAGCAATACAACTTACAGACCCCCGAGAAAATCCTCGTCGATAGCCTGCTGCTAGCGCTCCAGCTGTTCCTGCAGTGGCCTCGTCGCCACGTTGAGATCTCTTGAGGCACACGCTGATTCGATTACCCCTGGCTTTCGGTTTGGCCCGGAGCGTCACCGGAGGCTGATCAGTGTTCGGGCTATTCTTGGGCTGTCGTTCTGGTTGGGGGAATTCATCTTGTTTCAACAGTGGGGATCGACCTGATCGCAGCGCGTGGAAGTGCAGCGTGAGACTCGGCGGCAACCCGTTTGCGGCGTTCCAGGGACGAACAGGCATCGAAATGACACACCAGACTCTTTGCGACACAATGAACATTGTTGTTCGCGGCCACTCCGGTAAATATTATTATTGTCTTGAAGTCCAGAATGCATCAAATCGGATGGGGGCGCAGCATCGCATGGCTGGACGAACACCACCAGACATCATGGCTGATGCGCCATCGCTCGCTCCACCCCAAAGATGTCAGCGACTGAGATGGCCGCTAATCTGGACGAGCAGAGGAAACTAGACTGCACTACGGAGACTATGCTCACGCTCTACCGCTTTCGTCCGCACAAGATGGGTTCCTCTTGCGCCGTCTCCAGTAGTAACAGTTAACCTCGACCCGCAATCGATGGAGAGATCTCCATCTCATATTATTCCATGCGACTTTTCCGGTCCCGCTTTCGCGATCGCGATATTGATTTCGGATATGGTGGCCGCTTGCTTGGAAAGTTCAATAATGGATCAGGGCTCAGGGCTGTCTGTTCCCCGCAGATCCGGTCCTGGCAGTAGTGACGTGAGATCGTCGCCCATGGTTGAAATTTGTTTCCTATAATAATCTTTTGAAGGGACCTGGACGGCGTCGTCGAGTTGCTTCAACAACACTGTCGGGGCCATCCGGGGTCTGCGACTGTCTTCGACGAACCATCGGGGAGAACACTGCACCGTTCGATTCAGCAGGCGTCCATGCCCATAACATTGAACCCACTGGTCCTCAATCACGGCGCTTAGAATCCATTGAGCGACGCTATCATTGGCTATCGATCTCCTCGAGACCTTGTACACCTCAGCGATCCCTAATAAAACCTGAAGCAGCGCGGTTACTGCCTCATCCCATCCAACGGACGGCCTTTGGCTCATACATTCGACGACAAGGCAGACCCGTGGCTGCAGTATTAGTCTAAGCATAGACGGCTCCAGGTCAGTGGCCGGCCGGGACAATGTGTTGTTGGATCACTGCCCATTCGGAACATCGCACTGGGCGTCTATGACGATCGGGATCCTAGACAATAATAGACGCAATTGTTTACGCCTCCAAAGGCCAGTCCGGACCCAAGGTTGACATCTTACTGTGCTCATAAGAATACGCGGAAAACCTTCGTTGCCTCGTGCTGGACCGTGGTTCGTTCCATTCGCTCCCAAGACATACAAGCGACCAAATATTCTTAGTTCATTTGACTCTCAATCTGGCATATTACCGGCATTTTCCATATTTTCTATTTATCCTTCTTAATTGTTCTATTGTGAACCTCATCTTCCAACATGACATCAACGACTTTGATGACCTTTCTCCTGTGAGTATACGTCTGCAGACAACTTAATGCTTGAACTTTGTCTAACTGTGATAGTCGCACTTCTCCCGATATCAGATCCGTCCAGCTTTTAGGATCGTGGGATAATTTCTCTAAGCCTTATGCCATGGAACATGATAAACGAATCGGCGCCGGACACTGGAGAGGCTGCCACACATTTACCAATATTATCTGCGATGGTTCAAGGAGCAGTCCGTCTGCGGGACGATCTGGTGGCCTGAAAATGGGAGGAACATACTGGTATTATGTAGGTTCTCCTGCGTCACGAATGGGTTGGAGATGTACTTACTATCATAGTATGTGTTGGACAACGACGAGGAGTTCTATAATGAGGCAGAGCCAGTGACAACTTCGTGTCCTTTCCTTCCCGGACAGCCAGTGAATGTCCTCAACGTCCCCGTCATCCTTCCCGACACGCAGACGAGACATAAGCGAGACAGCAGTGTCAGTCCCTGGCTGTCAGATCAACGAACAATGAACCCCGAAGACAAGTACATGAACCCCAGGACTCCTCCCAAGCCCGAGCTCCCTCGGCTGAGAACCTCCCCTCCGCTACCCCAAGGGGACTTGTCAATATGGTCTTCACTCCTCACATTACCACTACATGCCGTTGTCCACAGGAGCGCTTCCCAGCCGGCAAGCGTCTCTTCGACCCCCGACCTCTGCGCTTCGAAGGAACCGGCCAGGAAAGAAGCCCGGTCTGTGTCCCCTTCAAAATCTAGAGGACTTAAAGATGCATTTCGAAACTGGACGCCGCAGCGATCCGCGTCTCCTCATGCTGAAGAGAGCAGGGGTCGCCCAGCGGCCAGGTGGGAGAATAACCGACATTGTGCTGACGAGCAGTGGCTTCTGGTTCCGGAAACTGGTTACTGTTCCTCTGATTCTAACTCAAGGCAGGCCTCGCCTGCGAACAAAGGAGTTGATTCCCCGGGAACACTTCACTTCCGGCGCCATCACTTTGACACGAACGACGGTCAAGCTTCACTGTCTATCCAGGATCGTCGGTCTGCAAAATTCATTTCCAGAGATTCATCACCGTTTGGGAACCACTTGACAGTTAATACGCCCAGAAAATACGCCCCCCATTGCGACTATGTAGAGCTTGAAGATACCTCCTACCGCTGTCATTCTCCATTCCCAGCTTCAATTGGCAGAACACCTCGAGCAACGGACGAAACTCCTACCCCACGAGCATATAATAATGCCGACGAGAAAAGATTGCCTACTCTGCCAAATTCCCCCTCGTCGGTTATGGACGAGGCCTTGCATGCCCTCGATTCAGAAAATGCAACGCTGGACATGGATGTTTTGCAGAGCCATTTCTCCGACTGGACCTCAGCGGACGAGTCTTGTGCTGAGGATCTCCCCGTGAGCCGATTCTCGGCATGGAGCACGGATGACGAAACCGAGATGGTTTCCCCCGCATCAATGACGTCCTCATCGACCTTCAACAATGATAAGCGTAATTCACCGACTTTAAGTGGCGTCTCGAGCGGGCTGGGGGTGTCTAACAGCCGGAGCCACGCTTTGTTTCACGGGCCGGTGACCCCTACTTTAGATGCAATCCCCGAGTGTTCCACAACCACCACGATCGTGGATAGCTCTCCAGCTTTACCATTCTCGTCAGGACTGCCGCCTCTTCTCATCACTCCAGATGATCTGAGGATATCCGGGTTGTGTATTTCTACCCCGAAAGAGCCCGATTGCACACTTAAGCGACACGCCGGGATCTTTGACAGCTTCGGGCCGAGGGATGACATCCCTCAAGCACCAGACAGCGCCTCATCAGCGGGCACTATATTCCCAGAACAAAGAAACGACACCGAGAACTGCGGCATGAAAACTGATAAGGACGATGACAGGTTAGGGCGATTCAACGACTCTGCTCTATCTCGCTCCTCCGTCATGCAGGAATTAATGGATGAACTGAGTTACTTAGGGGACGTGATCCAGGTGGAGGCAGATAATGTTTGCTAGGCGTTGTGATAACTGGATGGCATTTGCGCCGCGGAGCTAGCGTGTGTTTTTGTTTTCATGTTTCAATGTACCGAAAAGGCCGGGAGTTACAGTTATGCCCATGTACAGTAATAAGAATAGAATAGATAGCATCTCGTTGCTCGACATCATGGATCCATCTAATGAACAATATAAGTTTGCTCAAATATAGGTAGTTACTACTACATGATGATCGTTGCTAGGTACTGGCGTAGTCAACTTTCGGCAAGCCGTAAGTTAATTACACCCTTCGCATACCTACGAAAACCCCATGCCAAGCAAAAAAACAACCATACCCACATCTCCCGCAACCCACCCGCAGGACTACTGTAGTATTCCCATCCCAGCAGTGGAAGAAAAGACAGTAACAATGAGAACGAAATAATAAAATCCTCACTGACAGGCTGTCCTCCGCCACAAACATGGACGAAGGCCATCATCTTATGCGCAGCCAGCCGCGGCTGACCGCCGTCGCGGAGAAGACGCTGCCGGCAAAATGCAAACCGGACTCCCTCGTGTACTGTCCGACGATGGACCTTGTCGCGCTAGCTTCGCAGGACGAGCAATTGCATGTGTTTCGTCTAAATGGGCAGAAGGTATTTGGCGGTTCGTTTCGAGGTGGGGACGCGTACTTTGATTATGACGATGATGAAGACGAGGAGGATGGGAAGGGAGAGGTCAGGAGGCTTAAGTGGAAGGATGATGGTAGGTTTTTTTGTTTTGTTTTTCTCTTGGTGATTTTCTTTTGGTTCTGATTATTGTTTGTCTTCTCCTCAATGTCCTGTTGGATCTTCTTTACATTGTTATGTTGCTCTCGTCGACTTATATCGTCTTTCTTATTGGGTGGTCCGCTTCCTTCAGGATTCACCGTCCTATGGTCCTTGTCTTCCTCATGGTCTAACGGTATACCCAGGGCATCTCCTTGCTGTTGCATGTGGAGATAATACAATTCGCGTTATGAGCTCCTACAGTGGCAAGATCATCCATCATTATCCAGCCCGACAGCAGGAAGATGACCGTTCTGAGGGGCCTACAGAACAGGCCCCTAAGATCACTTGCTTGGGGTGGGGAGTCAACTTCACAGATTACAACGCTATGCGGCACCATCTCAAAGACAACACTACTCCGTTTTCTCTGGAAAGTGTTCTGTCTCAGGAAGCGCCCCCGTCCAAGGCGAATCTGCTGAAGGCTGACTTGCCAAGTGAGTTGGCAATGCTAGACGTAGAAAGCTCCTTACCAAAGCTGAGTACATTGCCAGGTACAGGAAGTGAGTGAGTATTTTCCTGTCTTTCTCTATTGCTATCGTGTTAGATTTGTTTGCGCTGATTTGGTCCGCAGTGATGATGTTTTCAGTTCCCGGGCGTCTGTGGACGCCATTTTCCACTCTAATAAAACCTCTAGCGACACCGTTGATGTGCTAGTGGTCGGGTTCGATGATGGCACCATCCATCTCCGGATATTTGACTGCTTTGAGATTGGATCATTTGATCTTGGGAGCCCCGATCCTGTTTTGAAGTCTTGCAGGCCCTTATTGCATGCCGCACACCCGATGAGCTCCACGCATGCGCTGCTGATATCAACGCGCGGTTCAGAATCCGAGAAGACGACTCCTTTACGCCTCTTAACCTTAGATCTGCGATTTATCACGAAATCAGGCCGGTATCTATCTCTGCTCGCGTCGAAGACGACTCAGCTGCAGAATCTGTTGAGGTATATCGGCCAGGTTCAGCGACAGATCCAGCTGGAATGGAAGAATGCTTTGGAGCTTCCCGCTAGATTCATGCGGAGCATTAACGATGATCTCCAGGCGAAATGCCATTGTGACTTTGTGACTGGACTTTATCATCTTGTGGTTACTGGGGATTGCTTCGAGCCCTTGAAGGAGTTCCTCGTGGACATTGTATCGGAAAGGGTACACCAATATGCTACAACCCTCAAAGTATAAATACAGTTGAGATTATGCTGACACATATCCAGGGCCATAAACGGTGGGAGAAGGCTGTTCAGAATGGTTACGAAAACGTCCGCAGACTCACTCACGAATGTCTGCTTCCAGCATTGGAAAGAAGCCTAGTCCTGCTCAGCAGACTGACCGGGCTGTCAAAGTTTCAGAAACTGAGCGGTGTCCTTGGGCTTGAAACTAAGGATCTAAACGCGATTGTGGAAACCGTTGACTGTCTCTACCTTCTCTCGCATAAGATATTACTCTACACCAATGAGGAACTGGAGCAATTCCTTGCCTTCTCGAAGTGGCTACGGCACGAGATTGACATCCAAAGTGCGGAGCCGATGTCTCAGACTCTCGAAGAGCTATTAGAAAAGTCCGATATGATCGATCATCAACGTACATTAAAGTACATACGAGGAGCTATGACGAAAAGTGCCCTGCAGGACTTCATTCAACCTGCTCCTGGATTAGGCATCAGACCTGCACCTTCTACCGCTGGCAGATGGGCACCTTCTGACCAGAGTGGTTCTTTTTATGAGGAATATAAGAAGCTTCTAGCTCAACAAAGCAAGCAGCATCGGGAGAGTCAGAGCGATGGCCGGTTGGAGCTTCCAAAGCTACATGATCTCACTAGCCGCCTGGGGCTGCAATGCGATAAGGTCTTTGCACAAATCGCGTTGACTCAAAGACGAGGCATCCTCCACCGCTCACCTCTGGCTCTTCATTCTGACTGCGATGAGACCGTCATCGATATAACTATGCGCCAAGATGTAATGAGTCCCTTATTCAACCTCCTCTTGACGCGTTACTGATTGTGCTTGCAGGATGCCGTTGCGGAACATTCGTGCTCCGTTTACATCGCAGCAAAGTCTTTGACGTCGAAACATACCTGTTCGTGACCCAGGAACCCCCCTTCCATTTAATACCCTACTGATTGATAACTCCAGTCTATATATATCGGACCGTCGTAGAGACGGTTAATGGCGTCAGCTCAACGAAGGGTACGTCCATCGCCGGTGTGTCTCTACAGGAAGGAGACATACGCCAAGTGCAGTTCGTGCAGGATGATACTATTATGGTCCTCTGGTCGGATACATGTGAGTCACCTGTTCATCGTGCGCTTCCCCAATGAGAGTGCTGACTTGTCCGAAGCGGGATCTTGTTACCTCCTCGAGTTCCCCTTCATGCCCTCCCCAAGCCAGGCACCAGCCGATGGATCAAATGAGGATATACCCTTCTCCCTGAGCTACGTGGATATTGATCCCAAATCGGTCACACCTGGCTTCGAAGTACCTTTGGCTGCAATGGTTAATCTATCGGTAGAATCCAAACATGCAGTCCGCATCCGACATGCATTTGCCACCGCCGGTGCCAAGTCAAGACCTATCAGAGTCGACGTCAACGGACGCAAGGGCCGCCGCGTTGTCTGTGTGTTGTATGGCGAGGGTCTTCGCTATGAAGTTCTTGACTTGGACAATGAAGTCCCGGAGGATGAGGATGAAGGCGAGGTAGACGCTGGGACGATGTCTGATTAGAACGGAGCATAACAAGCAAGCTTCAGTAGAGCTGTAACTAAAAGGAGCTCTTCTTTTCGAGACATGTGGCTGAAGGTACTCTGTGTCCTTCGCTTTGGAAGCCAAAATAACAAAATCCCAGTACTGTTTTATTGCCAGAATATAAATCTAGCTAACTATAACCACGGAATACTGAGTAGGATCATGATAATATATATCTCGTGAAGAGAGATCTCCAGCTACTCCCGATGCGGTGATATATATATATATATATATATAACAAACATGTACTACTAGTACTCTCTGAACATCATGGCCAGCGTATATCAGAGTACGGATAGAGGAATCATACTGGTCTGAGAAGAGCTTCTAACGCGTTTGAAGAGGCTTCCATGGCCATTTTCAATGTGTCTTTCTTTGTGTGTTGCGCTGGGTCAGCCCCGCCGGTCGCCCCGGTCGCACAGGGCAGGTGGGCGGATCACCTCCAAGCAGCAAAACCAAAACAAAGACAGGAGGGGAGGGGAAGAGCCATAACAGAAGGCGACCACCGGCCTCCAAGACCAAGGGAGCTGGTGAAGAGGGCAGCGAGAGGAGAGATGGTAGAGGGAAAGGGAGACATTTGAGGCCAGATAGATAGATACTTAAGATAGAGAGTGTTTGTGTCCTGTTTTGTTCTGGCAAGGCCATGTCAGGTGGCATCACGTGACGCGATCGGAGCCGCAGCCATTCATCGCCCGCGAGCAGACACAACCAGTAATGTCCGGCCGTCAGTCGCTCTGCCCCCCCAGATCTCTAAACTCCCTCCATTCATTCTCGTCTGCCAGTCAGGGCCAGTCTCTTGTCTGTAATAATATCTTCCTCCTTCTTCCCTTTCGACGCTCCATCTTGCTGGGCTGCCTTCTCCCTCCTCTGCCTTTTCTGTGTGTCAAGGGGAGACTTTCTCTTTGCCCCCCCGGGAAAAGGTCGCTGGTGTGCAAGACCTCGTCATATTCCACAAAACCACCATCCTTTCCACATTATAACTCTTTTCTCCGTCGACACTGAAATTCATCGCCCCTCTGGATCCTGCAACCACACTCCTTTAACGCGGACAAGCTTCATATCCGGTGCTCTGGGACTTTGCTCCGCCCCTCTGCGGTTTTCCACTTTGTTTTTTTGTCCTGGCTGCAGTGTAGACCCGGGTTTGTTTTTGCACAGGCACCATGGACGTCAGAGTTGTCTTGGAAGGAACCCTGTCGCCAGGTATGTCACCAGCATGGCCGTATCGACGCTACTTCTATATTTTAGCAATATGAGGACCAAGTACAGTTAACCTCTTTTTTTTGTTTACAGATGCGACAACGCGTCAGAATGCTGAGCAGCAGCTGCTTCACGCGGCGGAGGTAGACTTTGTATGTGGCTGTTCTTCCTCATTTCTCTTTTCTACCGGGGTTCCTGAACCCCAAAATATGACTCCATGGCATGCTAATCGAAGCTGTTCTTCTGGTCTAGGCCACCTACCTCACCACCCTCGCCCAAGAGCTCGCAAATGAGACTGCCCCGCCCCACGTCCGAACGGCTGCTGGTATTGCACTCAAGAACTCCTTCACCTTCCGAGACATTGCTAGGCTGCGCCAGGTGCAAGCACGATGGATTCAGCAGGTCAACCCAGATGTCAAGGCCCAGGTCAAGAAGCTGGCGATCGATACCTTGGCTTCCAACGACGCCCGCGCTGGTCAGTCGGCTGCCCAATTCATCGTCTCCATTGCTGCCATCGAGCTCCCTCGCAACGAATGGCCTGAATTGATGAACGTACTGGTCCAGAATGTCGGCACTGGGTCGGATCACCAGAAGCAGGCATCGCTGACCGCGATTGGCTTCATCTGTGAATCGGATGATCCCGAACTGCGGGAGAGCTTGACAGCGCACTCCAACGCCATCTTGACCGCTGTTGTCCAGGGTGCCAGGCGTGAGGAGCCGAACATGGAGGTTCGAAACGCGGCCCTTACAGCTCTGGGTGATGCGATCGACTTCGTGCGCTCCAACATGGAGAATGAGGGTGAGCGGAATTACATCATGCAGGTTGTCTGCGAGGCTACGCAGGCCGAGGATACCCGCGTCCAGGCCGGTGCCTTTGGGTGCCTGAACCGTATCATGGGATCTTACTATGACAAGATGCGCTTCTATATGGAGAAGGCGCTGTTCGGTCTGACTATTATGGGCATGAAAAATGAGGAAGAAGATGTCGCCAAGCTCGCGATCGAATTCTGGTGCACTGTGTGCGAAGAAGAGATCGCCATTGAGGATGATAATGCTGCTGTAAGTGTCTTCGCGGTCTACTTTGTCAATCTATGCACCGTATCTGACCCGCATAACAGGCGCAATCTGAGGGATCGACGGAAGTCCGTCCCTTTTTCAACTTTGCACGCATTGCCTGCCGTGAGGTAGTCCCTGTCCTGCTCCAGCTCATGTGCAAGCAGGATGAGGATGCCAGCGAGGACGAGTACAATGTTTCCCGTGCCGCCTACCAGGCACTGCAGTTGTACTCCCAGTGTGTAGCTGGCGATATTGTCCAGCCTGTCTTGGCATTCGTCGAGGAAAATATCCGTAGCGAGGATTGGCACCGACGTGATGCTGCCGTGGCCGCCTTTGGTGCCATCATGGATGGCCCGGATCTGTCGGTCCTCGAGCCCCTTGTCAAACAAGCACTGCCGGTTCTTATCGGCATGATGGAAGACCCTTCTGTCCTAGTGAGGGACTCTGCTGCTTATGCTCTCGGCCGTATCTGCGACTACTGTGCTGAGGCTATCGACCCTGACGTGCACCTACAACCCCTTATTTCTTGCTTGTTCAACGGCCTCGCCAGCACCCCCAAGATCGCCGGCTCTTGCTGCTGGGCTTTGATGAACCTTGCCGATCGATTCTCCGGCGAGGGAGGTGCTGCCACCAACCCTCTCTCCAAACATTTCGAGGCCAGCGTCAAGTCTCTGCTCGCTGTTACTGAGAGGTAAGCCCGAGTCTCCTTCCATTGCGTTCGCTTGTTGCTAACCTTTTCTTCAGGGGAGACGCGGACAACCAGCTGCGGACCGCCGCATACGAGGTTCTCAATTCTTTCGTGACCAACGCCGCCAACGACAGTCTTCCGATGGTGGCCACACTGTCGGATGTTGTCCTCCAGCGTCTTGAGCAAACTGTACCTATGCAGCAGCAGGTCGTCAGTGTCGAAGACCGTATTACGCTGGAGGAGATGCAGACTAGTCTGGCCAGTGTGCTATTGGTATGCACCTTTCTTTTTGTGCATATGACTATCCGACCTTTTGCTGACTCTCATCAGGCTATTGTGCAGCGATTGGAGACGGAGATTAAGCCTCAGGCCGACCGCATCATGCATGTGTTGCTTCAGGTCTTGTCAACCGTGCCTCCCAAGTCGAGTGTTCCAGACACAGTCTTTGCCACCATCGGTGCGGTTGCGACGGCCCTGGAGGAGGACTTTGTCAAGTATATGGAACCGTTCAGCCCGTTCCTGTACAATGCTTTGGGTAACCAGGAGGAGCCCGGTCTGTGCGCCATGGCCATTGGTCTCGTCAGTGACATTACGAGATCGCTCAATGAAAAGGCCCAGCCCTACTGCGACACCTTCATGAACTACCTGCTCAACAACCTGAGGGTATTGTCTCCTATGACTCATACGTGAAGGAGCTATTGCAGCTGACAGTTCATATAGAGCACCACTCTCAGCAACCAGCTAAAGCCGTCAATTCTGGAAACATTTGGCGACATTGCCCAGGCTATCGGAACCCACTTCGACACATACTTGCCAGTCGTCGCTCAGGTACTCCAGCAGGCATCGAATGTCACTGCTAGCCACGATGTTTCGTTCGACATGCTTGACTACATTGTTTCCCTTCGCGAGGGTATCATGGATGCCTGGGGCGGTATCCTCCTGGCTTACAAGGGCACACCACAGGGTTAGTACTGCTCTCTCTCGTGAGATAACCTTGCTGACAAAAGTAGTCAACCAACTGCAACCTTACATCGAATCGATCTTCCAGCTCCTTCACCTGATCTCTCAGGACCCAAGCAGAAGCGAAGGTCTTATGAGAGCATCGATGGGAGTGCTTGGGTAAGTTGCATGGGTCCTTTCTTGCTTTTTTTGCTTGCAACTGACGCCCCCCAGTGATCTGGCCGATGCCTTCCCTAACGGCGAGTTTGCTGCTTACTTCCGCAACGACTGGGTCACCTCCCTGGTCAGAGAGACAAGAACCAGCCGGGAGTATGGCCCGCGTACAATTGACACTGCTCGCTGGGCTCGCGAGCAGGTCAAGCGTCAAGTCAACCTGGCTACTGCAGCTGCCATGTCGTAAGGTTATTCCACTAATAGCAACCAGTGACGGGCACCTCTTACTGAGACCGTTCGCTGGTTCTCCCCTTTAACAAACCGCATCGGGTCAATGTGGTAAGGGAAGTGACGCCGCGAATGGGACATTCCGAGTCCTTGTGCCGTGACATATGGGCTTGAGAAATTCGCGCTCTGTTCGGCCCAAGTCCTAAGTCCGTCCCGCTCGAGCGATCGTGATATGGTGCCTCGTTGATCTGACCTGTGAAGGGCTGATCTCTTCGATCTAACCCCAATGCATCATTGAATCATCCTGCCCTATCTGTCTTCCACCCCGGCAATTATCCTGCACGATGCCCTCCCCTCCCCCTTCATTGTCAGCCACACCCCTTGTATTTATTAACATATTCTGAGGTGGATGTGGTTGCTTACTCCCCGACCCCCCTTTTATCACATCACCACTATGTTGTTCTATCCCCTTGATTTAAATTAGACCAAGACCCCGGTTTTAACACCATAGCCCCCGAAAGTCATGTATGCCCAAGAAGTCATGTAACCCTTCAAAGGGAAAGAATTATTGCGACGAAACGAATCTGGTTAATTTTAAGGTTGTCATTATTCCTTAGCACTGTTCATGGATGGAAGGAATCGGAGTGTGTATTAGAAAGATGTATGTAAGTGTTGAGCTGGGAATCACATACCACACGTTACACTGCCGTTGTAGAGATGTGTTGTAGAGATCCGTTGTGGAATGAGGGCCACTTCCATAAAGTTTTGATCTTATCACACTTCGGTTACAGCACTGCAATGTATGTACTACCTCTAGGAACTAGTCTGACGTTCCAAAAGTAGAATGACCACTTGATCTTTATAGATCTGCCCATGATACGTGCCACTGTGTTTTAACCACACTATTACTCATAATCAACTTACAGATATGTTGTTACCATAAAAACATGTACAATAATAACCAGAGCAATATAAAAAAGCATTTCAAGAGATCATATTTTTCTCTGTGATGTGGCGTTGAGCCCTAAACCACACTTTCCTCCTTGCCATTCTAATTCCCCCCTCAGTTGCTATATAAAAAGAGCGAGTGTGTGTGTATAGGTCATACCAAAATATATATAGAAATATGTACGAATAAGAGCATGTGCATGTGTGAATGAAAGCAAAGCAAAGCAAACAAGTCAGACAATATAGACAGGAGAAAAAGAAAAATAAAGGCATGTACTATTTTGGTGTTGGATCCAGAGGGCTTGGTTAAGATCTGAATCGTCGTCGGCATTTCCTTTTTCCCAAGAAGGATGAAGGATCTAGTCATCCAGAGTACAGCCATGAGCAGCCAGGACCCATCCAGTGAGACGGTTCGCAATGTCAGAAGAGTAGCAGTGGGTAGCGATGCCGTCCTGGAGGTTTCCCGATGAGGCGATGGAGCCGGAGTTGTAGATACGAGCGGCCTTGTAGAAAGCAGAGGCGTCGGATGCGCCGCTCTCGTTGATGCAGTTGGCGAGACCATCTCCGCTGGCGGTTCCAGCAGCTGTTGAGGGAGGGAGATGAGTGTTAGATTTTTCTCTTGTTTGATGGGTATATTGCGATTCAATGGGGAAGGAAAGGGGAGAAGTAGGGACAGTGTAGGTTAACTTACTTCCATCACGAACCATCTGAGTGATCACATCCGGAGGACAGGGTGTCTGAACCGTGTATGGGGAAATATCAGAATTGCAAGTAGCGTCGCCGTCATGATCCTGCATAAGACCCGGGTTGCGAACTCCATAGTTCGTAGTCGATACGCGGACACATCCACCGGATTCCTGCATGATAGTAGCCAGGATGAAACGGTGGTCGACATAGGTCTCCTGAGCGACTTGCTCGATGGCGTCCCAGATCTTGCCGATTTCGTCCTCGCTGTCATTGGAAACGCTGTTTCCGTTGTGGTCTGTGATTCCCTCGCAGGAGGTGCGCATGGCGACTTTGTTGTTGTTGAACCTGAGTTTTTTGGTTGTTAGCATGCTGGGTTGATTGGAGGGAGTGATTTGTTTAGACTTACATGTCCACGAAGGAAACCCTATATATGCATTAGTATGTGTATATTTCTCCTATAGAATGAAGCAAATAGTCTAGACATACCACTTATCAGTCGTGGGCCATCCATCGTTGGCAGAGCCATCTCCCCAGTACATAGTATACGAGTCAGTTCCAGCGCCAATTCCATCATTGTCATTGATACTTGTAACAGCAACGCTGGATGTTACAGTTTCTCCTGCCTGAAGAATGCGGGCACCGGCTGGCTCGGTCCTGTTCGGTTGGTAGTTCGGGCCATAGCTGATGTACGTCTTGAGGGCTCTGGATACCGCAGCGACGTCTTCACTAGGGAAGGGAGGAGCGGCAGCGAGGCCTGAAATGGAGGCAGCTGCAAGAATCTAATCATTGTCAGGTGAGAAGATTGGTGTAGAAGAAGTAGAAGCAAGCTCAACTCACGGTGCTGAAGAACATCTTGGTGGATGGATAGGGAGGGAGGATTGTGAGATATTGGAAATGTTGGGCCCTGGATCTGATTGAATGTAAAAACTTTCTGGTTGTCTCTATTATAATATTCGATATTAACGAGGAAGTATCCCGATTTTATAGTTTTTTTCTTTATCGTAAAGACAATATGAATGAAAGTAGAACGCCAACTCCGAGATATCCAGCTCTTAGAGAAGAATAAGCAAGTCAAAGCTGAAAAGAAAACCACCTACTCCAGACTCCATCCGTGCGCTCCATTGCTGCATGAAGATAGAGAAATGGCTAACGTGAGAAGTTCCATCCATACCCTGGAGGGTAGCATCCAAGATCAAGAGTTGGTAATCGAGCATCGGTCCATAGGTCGGTTCTGGTACGCGTTCACGAATGACCTTTCCTTCCTCTGTGCGCTAGTTTGCACCCGTCCATTGCTGCCCGTAGCTTAATGTATTAATCGTTTTGCTCGATGAGTGCCGAATCAAGAGATAACCCAGTAGGGAGCCATATTTCTGGGCACGTTGCGTGCAACCTTTTCTATAGCTAGTTAGTATAGCGTGTGTGCTCATAATATTTGTACCATTATCTGTCAGCACGCACATGTAGAGCTCGATGTGTGTACCAAATCTTCAGTTAGCGTACTGAACCCTTCGACGTGTTGAACTGGATGGAACTGTAATTACCCTATCACCTGGCCTAGCGAGTCTTCTGGGATCAGAAGCGCTAAAGAGTCTGCAGGTCAAAACTGAGATAGAGGCTTCTGGTTATCTCTAATCGAGTAAACCCCGAATCCTAACGGAGAAGTAACTTGGCTATATTAGGCAGGTATCATGACGCGCGATATGTGCAAAGTGCTTCGCGACTATGTCACCCAATACTTACTTAGCAACACCACTGTCCTGGCTCCAGCCCCTGAATCCGCAGCAGCGGAGAGAAAAGAAGCTCTTGATGCGATGGAACGAGAAAATCCAGGAACGGTGGCTTCGGGCAGCCTGGAACCTGACGTTGCAGCCATGGTTGAGGACTAAAGGAGTGGGAAGTTGTTCCTGGATTTCTCCATGGTTAGTGACGTTACTTCGCGATCCTTTAGTGGTTCCTGTGGCGTTGGGATCACAATCTCTGTTCTTGTCATGGGTTGTCCGTTGAACTTCCAACGCAGTAGCGATTGTTGCAAGGAATATTCTGTGAGAAAGATGTTGTAAGCAACGTACATGATCTGTAATCTGTAATCAGCTAGCATGAACTACTGTACAGGACAGGAAAGAAGTCTCAAAACCTGGACATCCACCGGCAAACATCTTGAATACGACCGGGTATTACTTATCTGCAAGCTTATTTCGACTCTAATCATTGGATAACCAAGAAAAAAAAGCTTAAAGGACAGGGATAGGGATATCAATAAGCTTAGCCAGCGAGGAACTAACTGTTCCACGAACGCGTCAGACTTTAGGCAAAGAGCCATGTAGTTTTTTCGGGCTGAATCTCGCGAATCCATTCCAAATGTTCCTGCGCGAACAGATTTTTGTTTTGTTCTCGGGTCTTCCCGCGTCCCGCCGCTCTACTCAGAACTCAGCGCTAACATTGCTGACAAGATATTGTAGAGTTGCAGATGATCTTTGGTGCTGATGGTTCTCCCCGTATCTTGACCACTCTAGATCTCGCGTGGTATATCCACTCTATGGTGGTCGATCGATTCTGACGATATTTACGCTTTGGGCGCCATTACTTAAAGCCATTGCGACCTGAACAGTGCGGACACTAAGTACTTACTGTACCTAGTAGACCAGTTTCCTCTTGTGCAAATTCGTAGAGTCTCCAATCCTCAATCAGGACAACAATTTCCGCCAGACCCGACCCTCCTGCATCCAGCTGCAGGGTCTTGATAGGTAGGTAGTAGAATTATAGGTGGACATGCAAAAATTCAGCAGTTGCAGTGTCTTTCAGACTAAAATCAGCTGAGATAAGCTGCATACTTGTACATCGTGTCAGTGGTTTCTGCTATGTAGGCAGATTATCATGTACGGTCTCTTCTGTTTGGTTGCTCTTGCAGCTACAGCCTCGGCGGCAGCGATTATAACTCCTCGGCACCGATATCTGCCTATAAGAGAATCCTGGACTTGCCTTCTCATCCTGAACTTCCGTTACGTTCTGAGTGTGTTATTTAGAGAACATGTACTGATAATATGGAGGAAATGCACTTCATGTTGGGTATAATTATCATATGTGATGGGGATACTTCTTGATTACGATGAAATGAGTCTGGTCAATGGAATTTTCAACTTCCACTATCCAAAATCTTGAAAGATGCACATAACAACAGAGAATATCCAAGGGGGCGGTGCTTCTAATCAACGATCCCCGGAGGCAGGAGCGAGACATAATCCAACGGAGCTGGCTCAACGCCATCAGGTGTACCGATAATCTTCAGCGTATCCCCTTTGTTGACCTTCACCCCACGGAAAGTGATGCGGGTAGCCGAATGACCGTCGAGGTAGATGGATGGAGTATGAGAAAGGATATCCTCGTTATTACCCACCCATTTCCCAATCAAGCGATTGTTGAGGTAGACTTGCCAATGGGACTTGCCTCCGTAGAGATCATAGTAATTCACCGCCAAGTCATACGTACCAGAAGGATACTGTAGCTTGGTAGTGGCTGTGCCAGTAGTTGAATTGGAGGATGTGACTATGGCAGTCCAGTTTGAGGCTGCCTCGAACGGGCTGACGGCGTAAGTCTTGTATCCATTCAATGTCATGCTCTCGGCCTCCACGCGCCAAGGATGGTTACCAACGCGATTAGCCTCATCTGGGATCCCTGTCATGTTCCAGTAGAAATCATTGATGGCATCTCTCCAGACCATCGAATGGCCGGATTGGTAGGTAAGCTTTGTGAGGACGTCGTTGTATCGCTCCTCGTCGATTTTGCCCTTCAGTGACTCCCAGGTTTGGAGGAACGTCTGTGCGGTTTCAGCACCGGCATAGTGAGCGTCGTAAAAATGCTGTATGACTGTTTCCCCAGAGTGGAGGCGATGCGTCCAGTTCACATGGTGAAACCACAGGAGCAGGTTATCGGGAGTAGTGTCAATATTTTCATACATTGCTGCAATCTCAGGAGGATATTGTCCGGAATACCCTGTGCCATTGCTTACTGTGCGATCCATTCCGACGGACAAGTGGTCAGCGCGTGTCCACTGTCCCCAGCCATTGTTATCCTGGGTAGCGGGATTCGGTCCGAAATGCGTATACAATATATCGGTCAGGGTCTGGATGCCGAGGTTTCCACTGTAGTTCTCATAGGCGGGCCATGAGTCCATTGACATCTTGCTGATACCAGCGATAACGCTGGGGTCAAAACCGAAAGTGAGACGAATCCAATCTTGGAGGATATTTTCAACGTTGGCGGTGGGATTCCATGCTAGTCGACCATAGGCATACAAGTTGGACATAGCCAAGTGACTGCCTAGCCATGTTGTATTCGTACCGACATTGACTACAGCTGCCCATCCTCCCAGAGGTCGGTCAAAGCGCTTGCCAGATATAATATCGCGCACCACGGACTCCTTCCCATCGACTCGGAGGTCGAAATCAAGGACAGTCTTCCATAGAGGCGGCAAATAAAGTAAGTGACTTTGCTGTCCAAGGTACTCTTGTGTGACCTCCAGTTCTATGGCCGTGTTTGTGTTCGGCAAGTGCGCAAACAGCGGCGAGGTGGGCTCACGGACTTGGAAATCAATGGGCCCATACTTTATCTGGACGACGACATTACTGTCGAATTGTCCATCCAGAGGGGCAAAGAATTGAACCGCAGCTTTGGCGCGGTCCGCCTTCCAATCAGACTCGTTGAGTTGGTTGTAGACAAACGCGCGGAACATAACTATGCCGCCGTAGTTCTTCACAGCCTTTGCAAACAGGTTGGCTCCCTGGGCAAGTGTCCGGTTGTATGTTAACGGTCCAGGCTCACCCTCAGAATCTGCCTTGACGAGATAGCCGGCCATATCAGGAATTCGCTGGTAAATTTCGTCTGTCACATTCTGCCACCACGCAATAACAGAGCTGTCAAGGGGATCGAAGGTAGGCAAACCACCAAGAGTTTGAGGAGATGCAAAGTTCAGTGAGATTCCTAGTCGGACACCGTAGGGTCGGAAGGCGTCCGCAATCCTTCCCAGACCTTCGATATTTTCAGGGGTGAGGGTTGTCGCGTTGGCGTTGACATTGTTGACAACAACAGCATTGAGGCCGATGGAAGCCAACAGACGTGCATACTGAGAGGCGCGAGTCAAATCTTCAACGATGGTGCCATTGGCGAAAAATATAGACTGGCCACCGTAACCACGCTCAATGCTTCCATCCATATTGTCCCATTGATTCACCCATCGTACGGGAGCGCTGGGGTTGGTCGCATAGGAAACTTGCGAGAAGTTCCCCTGGGCAAGCATAGACAGATATTCGAATGCTCCATAGAGAGCACCACGATCGTTCTGACCCAGGATCTGTACACCTCCCCCTTTTGTGCTGAGCCAAAAGCCGTCCTCAACAAGCTCAGGGATTCCATCGATACCGCCGCAAATATCCGAATATTGGGCAATTGTACCAACGACCACGGCGGATGGTTGGCAGCTGCCATGCTGGATCTCAACATGCTCTCCTAGGATATTCTTGAAGCCATTCCGCAGTTCCTGTCCTGCCACATACACTGGACTGCTAGCAGTGTCGTTTAGAATGACGATGGAAGACGGACGAGTATTGTTCGAGTGGTTGCCAGAAGGCAAGGGCGCGTAACGCAACCAACCTGCCAGGCCATTGTCTGCAACGGCGAAGCCGAGAGATGCAAGCAACAAAAGACCGCGCATTCGGCCTTACTTCCTGCCCTGGACACTCTGTGGCATCCTAGTCGCCCAAATTGCCTAGCCTTTATACATCGCATGGCTGGACATATGATTTCTTTGTCATTCCGTAGCTGTCAGCAATTTAGGCTAAACAATCGAGCTCCGGGAGAAACGATGTTTTCATTAAGTGTATTCGGAATTCCTCCAGGCGCGGGGATTGGTGCGCAATAATAGCGTCCGGGGTGATCATGTATTCTCTCTCCCCGCAAAGTGGATAACGGGGAAGAAGGAAATCGGCCTGGGCCGCCGGCTGGGAGATCTGGGGAACAATTGGCTGCTAGATCTACCGCAATATTGATCAGTATCGAGATCTCCCTCAGCAAAACGGGATAATATCATACGCGGCCTTTGATTTTCCCGTAATTGACAAATACTCCGGCATCCGATGGTAGAGAAGCGCCGAAATTGCCCGAAGTTGTCCTATTTTTGTAAGGCTAAAAATAGTGTAGCCATGACGATCATATCTGACCCGTATAGATTTATATTTTGATGTCTGCAAGGAGCTGCTTGATTGAGGCACTTTGAAGGTGTAGGAGATCTCCTACAGGAGTCCTTAGCGGTAGGGAATTCCCGGAGAAACTAACTAAGAGGTACTTATGTCAGCGATGTGGCTTTTAGACATCCATGGAGCCAGCAACCGTGAGCATGAAATGACTTATTCACTGTCGGGACCTCACGCCTTATGTGTGATAATAAAATCAGCTCATTTCTCCACCTTGCAATCTCTGTTATGCCACACCCAGGGCTTCTAGACCACCAAAATGGCTCATAATATCACCAAGAAGTTTTCAAACCTGAGTTTATCTCTTCGAGGTAGTCATCGACGAATCGCAAATGATGACTACGAAGACGTCCGCAGAAAAGTCCTGGGAGGCCTCGGTGACCTATATGCCATGGTTTTGACAAGTGGCGATGAATATGTCACTACGTCGGGTTCTAGTGATTTTCACGTTCAATATGAAGACCTGATCCTTGAAGATGTCGATGGTCAGTTGACAGCTGATAGACGACGCTTTTTCCTCCCGTGTTCCTACCGGTTTTTGGAAGAACACCCAGTTATAACAACAGGTACCGGTGCTATGGAGGAAACAAGAGTACACGAGAAGGTCTTGGTATCCTCAGATGAACTCAAAAACCATCCTATCAAGAATGCCAGATTCCTCTGCACGTGGCTGGGTTTGAACTTCTCCGAGTCCTGGCGAGCGAACGGTAAAAAGCTCACCAGCCTGATGGAGTTAACAAAGTGGTGGCCAACGTGAGATTCTCCAACTATAGGAATCATATGCGATATGATAGTCACTAATGAAGGTTTCTTGCTATATAGTGACTTCGCGGGCTTAGTTGACGAAGAATTCAAAGACGCAGTTCTTCAAGACAGGACACCTATGGAGGCGTGGCATATTCTCGGGGATTATCCGCATCTGATGCTTACAGTAGCGCATAAATCTGATGGCCGTCGTGAATACTTGCTACGAGGGGAGTTGCTTACAATCGCTGCGGTAATGATAAGCCGGCTCAGATCCCAGCGCTTTGCACAGCATACTGTCATTCCAGTAAGTAACTCACATCCCAATTCTCCTGTTCCTAAATGTTCCTTCTTTATCATATTTGTTCTCAAGAGCTTACAGATCTCTGAACTTTCCAGGTAATGCTCTTTTCCTTTATGGGAGAAAAGAAGGGCAGAATTATACAAGCCCATACAAACAGCCGAGCGCTCGTCATACGGAAGAGTAAGCTCTACGACTTTTCAACAGTAGATAATTTCAGGAAGTTCACCACACTCTTCTTGCGTTACATGACATGTGATGCAATTGGTAATACGCGGGAAATATGCTAGACTGTCCATATCGTAGCAATACAACTGCCGCACATTTGATAGCAATAAAGAGAGATATCATAAGAAAAAACCTGTTTCGACTCTAGACCCTTGAAGTAATCATGGTCCCTTTGGGAGAAATCCGTAAAGCCCAATGGCGGCTTCCACAACACTACCGAAACGTTAAGCGCTGACTTGACCTCCTTCCATAGCTTCCAGGTCCCGAGATAATTGATTGATATACTGGCCTGCGCCGCTAAGATAAAGTATGCCCAATAGCTTAATGGATCTTTAGAAGGTGAGAAGAAGGAGAGTCTATACTTTGGCCTGGTGCGAGATAGAAGATAGAACGTACGGGTAACGGGAATATTTCATATGTGCCAGGGTCCATACGTAACAAGCTTTTGTAAAACTAAGCAATTTCCAAGTAGTTAGTTAGTTCGTGACCGCTTAATAACCACTTTCGGATACATACGGACTGCTTGGTCGATAGCCTTCTGGGATACCCTTCCGCCATAGTTCCCCGCAGCTACCGAGATACCATCATGAGTCTCAACATGGGTCCGTAAGTTATTGGTTGCCGAATAGCGTTTCTAAGCAGTTAAAGACTGGTTAGAAAGCACTTCCTAAGTGGTTATAGAACCTCTTACCGTGGACTTGCTACAGTGTGGGACTCTGCAAAAGACTTCTCCATATGGAGAATGGTGCAATTATTCTCATCCTAAGTGGTTAGTAACCAGTTAATATATACCAAGGTGAGGTAACACTAAGACTTACCTTACCGTGTGGAAGGATTTTAATATGGGATGCGACCGCAGAATGCCGTCATTTTTGCTTTCCAGCTATCGAACGTAGTCCAAGTTAAAGACTGCGAACGTCAAGAAAGCCTCTGAGCCATCTTGAAAAACCGGAACGCGCCTATAGATTTACCGTTAGAAGAGCTGGTTCGACGATTATATGTGAGAAGAGAAGAGAGACCGACATCTTACCTGCTCCTTATGCCGAGCTGCTATGCTGGCCTACTCTCTTAAGGTTGACAAGGAACGCTCGACAAGTGCCCCCCGTGGCACTATACGTCTTGGATAAAGCCATCCCCCTCCATATTAGCAGGTAATCGAACTTGAGTCTCTAGAGAATATGCATGAGCACACTGCGGATGCAGTTTAAGGTGGTGCCCAGGACGAGAACTGCATCCAGATAAAACTGGAGCAAACCCTTGATGTCCTCGTCACTATCTTCATCATCTTTGTCCTTGTGAATTCATTTTCCGGGCAAAATCTTGATTCCGGAGTGTTTCGGACTAGTTACCAGGCTTCCTTGGCTTCAGGTTCCCTAATCTGTGCTTGCATATCTTCACGCGAGTATTTCGATATATAATCTGCAATCTTGTCAATATAAATGACCAAAATTTGCTTCGCGGCACCTCACAGTCGCACCAAGATATGGCTGTCCACCCCCACTACCGCCCTTCCCCCCCTCAGAACGGCGTTCAGGACGAACAGCCCCCCAAAACAGGCACCGTCATCTTCACAGTGGTATCTGACCACTTGAACTTGGAGTCTGACTCATAAAAGATATAAAATGGTAGAAAAGGTAAAAGTCACTAAAGAACCAGCCGCCATTTAATAAAAAGCCTTCGCGACCATCGTTAGCCACTGCGCGAACAGCCACAATTCGACTTTTGATGGTTATAGCTGCTGGTTTTTGGAGGAGATGCGTTGTTATCCACGCCACTATCTCCCCTACCTCTTGCATTATGAGCGCATTCCCCTCAGACGTACGTGTCCATCTTTTCACCTCGATAATCGCGCTAAGGAGTGTCTTTGCCCTGGTGCGAAGCTGCCCGTCAGTTATGGCGGTATAATCCTCTCTCTTATATTTTGCCGTGAAGTGCGCTGGCCGTATAGTCCATTGGGCGTCGAAATCAGGCGCCAGATGGGATAGCGATTGCAAGAGGAGCATGAGAGCTACGTTAACTATGGGTTATCGATAAGCTGTCTTAGGAATACCGTCCATAGCTTGCTCCTGAAGATTTCCCACAGCCCTTAAAGGACCCAGGCCAGTCAACATCTGATTCCGTCAGTGAGCCAATTGCAAGGTTTCTGCTGACGATGCGTAGATAATTCCTGAATTCGAAGGACTGCCTCATGACACAGTCCGCCTCATGCTGAGTATATCCAATCCCCTAATTGTGCCGATCCTGGAGCAGAACTGCTGGTTCTGTCGTCTGTCCTTAAATAAATATAAGAAATCTCTCATGGCAGATATTAAAATCTGGTATAAAATGTTTTCGGGGCATAGTTCATAACGAAAAGTATTGAGACCTGCCCTCTGCATGAGCTCGTGAAATTCCTCTATATAATTAGGTATAAAGAAGCTGTTGGGTCCTAAAAGGCACGAAAGCAACGGTATCACTTGAGCCTCCTAGCTAGAAGCTAGGTTGCTTGCTTGCTTGCTTTAGATCTGGGAGGTTGATCTCATATTTATCTCCTATGGCATACAAAGGATCTAGACCCTGCTAATCTAGTAGGTTCTATCCTATAACTAGGTTACCAAAGAACCTGCTGTAAACGGATATGACAGATGACTTGCACAGTTCTTTGTGCGTCGACAGAAGCCATCCATTTGTAAATCTTTGTTTTGTGTGGAAGCAACATGGCGAGAATCAGCTGGATGTTGGATATATACCTGATAGACGAGGGCAGTAACAGACGTGGAAGTTAATAGGTGAGGGTGACGAAACCGGCCTTGTACCCTCAAGGCTGGGAATTTTAACATTCAATTGTTCTCCTCACTCGGTGGGCGTCCCCGGACTTAGATGTTTCACAAATCTATGTGAATCAATATAATAGCTAGTCTCGGAAACTCCCTACCCACTAAACTCCTGATGGATTATTCACGCTTTTGTCTTGGCGAGCTCTAGCCAGAGAGATGAATATACTGAGTTGGCTAGAAAATTACAAGCCTCACAGATTTCTCCTGCGTAAAGCTGAAACTCTGTGTATATATCAATACAAGAAGACATCATTGATTGTGACAGAAAAGACACAGATGTCTCATTAACCATCTTTTCCCGTAAGTTCTAGAGTCCCAATCACTTTAGGAACGACATCCCCTTGTTTAGTTTCCCGAGTGGATTGGATTAAGAGTCGTTTCTGGCTTAGTGAATAGCTGGAACTTTAGATATGAAAAGCGGTCTCGTCGACTGTGATGGGTGGTAGTATAGCAATTGGGAACTACCCTCGAATAACCAATGAAGGGAACTGTATTTATGGTTTCCTTGATTCCTTGATATAGCGTAGATTCTACTGAAACGCTAGGATCCAACTTCTTCGTTAGGTCCGGAGTTAAACATGGAATCGACTGCTTCTCCTTGGATATTAGATTCAAGCAAGCAGCCCGCTATTCGCTGTTGATCAGTATAATTGTTCACTTCTGCGCGAGCTTTCTAAGATCGGACAGAATACAGCAATTCCCGGGATCTGCTCGGGTTGTCTACGAAAGACGGATTACCAGACAGCGGATTGATTTTTCAGTTAGAAGCCCACTGTATGTCTGATAGCATTCGATTGCTAATCATTTTTATTTTGGTTACAAGGGTTCAACGTGTAGTTGAAGCCAGTGCCAATAAACACCAAGCAAAGAGGATAAGATTAATACAATACTATGGTACTTCACGTGGCGCAGCACCAAGGTGTTCTATGGAACAACAGCGTGGCTTAGTAGTGACCACAGAATCCACGACAATCCTCTTCTTAACGTTAATCGAATCCTCTTGAATTATTATTGCCACTCAACAGTTGCTGCGCCACGGTTGCTATTATTGCGCCTCGACGGGAAAAGCATCGCCATTACCATGAAGTTAATGGGATGCGGATAGATCGGGAAAAGTAAGTACCGGAAACCGACCTCGGGAAAATTTGCGCTCACGTCCATTCAGAGTCTAGAAAAATCTATGATACACAGACGAGGACTCTAGACCGGCGTTGCTATTATTGGTTCTGCCATTCCATTATTAGCCAATCTAACTGGATGAATAACCTGTTTCCCCCGGCTTTTTCTGGAATAAGGCTGCCTGGCGTTGGCTGTGCACCAAGATGGAGAATAGACTAATGGTAGAATGTCGCCTCTGGAGAAACCGGACAAAACACAAACGGGGGTTCAGGACGCGCTTACTGGGCGCACTGCGTTTAATGTGGATGTCGATCTCATACGGAATATACCGAGGCTCAACAACTGTCAACGTCAGAGTAATAATAATAACTACTGTAGTTAGTAGTAAAATCGCTTGGCGTAGACTGCGCCTCGCAGGCCACGAAATACGGCAGGGCTCGGATGTGAAGCGCTAAGCATTATGGTATTACTGCATGAATCATGATGAACGATCGTTAAGGATGAAGGATCGTCGATTAGCCAAATCTTTGGGGGCTCGGTGGAGGCCTCGATGGCGGCCTCTGATTGCCAAAGTGTCAATTGGGGCTGCAAGGGACTGGATCAGTGTCGCACCGGGGCCAACGCAATGCCAAAATGGGCGTAGAAGTCAGCTTTAGATACGGACTTTCAGCTTAGCCCCTATTATTATTGATCCCCAACAGTTGGTAATGGAACCTGTCTATAAAAGGACCACTTTTTTTTTGGTAAACCATCGCTCAGCCAGGCAATATATAACAAGCGGGCAAGTGCTCTCGGGGGCAGTCAGACTATTCACATCCACAACATACAAACGCCCAGCAGTCTCAGGCCAACTTTGGAAAAACACCTTTAACTACCTCTTGTCACTCTACAACAAAGTCTTCCGACTCTACAACCCAACACAACAACAATGCAGCTCAAGCTGGTGACCGCATCCACCCTCCTTTTGGCCTCTTTGGCTCTGGCCGCACCTCAAGGGAACATTGTCCCAGATGTCGCCTCGATAGTCTCTGAAGCTACTGGCGCCGGCCAGACAGTCGCTGCTGATGCACAAGGAGCCGCCTCGGATGTCGTTTCTCACGCTACCTCCCTTGCAACTGCAGCTGCCACCTTTGGCCAGAACGTCGCTTCTTCCGCTGAGGCCGGGGCTACCTCGATCGCCAGTGCAGCTCAGAGCAGTGGCGAGAGTATTGCCTCTGCTGCCGAATCTAGGGCCACATCCATCGCCAGTGCAGCCCGGAGTGCTGGCACAGGCGAGGCTTCCTCTGCCCAGTCAGCCGCTTCGTCTATTGCCTCGAGTGCTGAGAGTGTTGGCTCTGCATATGCCAGCGGACGTACCACCTCGACAACATCGGACAGTGCTGCTACGACTACTGCTACGGGCTCGAATACCGCAGCAGCATCGAACAGTGCATCCTCCTCCAGCTCCAGCGGATCATCCTCTACCTCGTCCCACAACGGTGTTGCACGCCCTACCGCTGCTTTGGGTCTCAGTGCAGCTGGCGTCGCTGGTGTCCTGGGACTCGTCGCTGCTCTGTAAGGGACAGCAGTCGATATTCAAATATTGTTGACAAGTGTCAAGAACACACTCGCCTATACCTTGCACTTGCGCCTTCACTCTTTCTCCTGTATATATAGTGGGACTTGGGATAGTTATTTGATTGATACTGGCGTTCATAAAGGCAACACGGCTTACGATACATAAAAAACATTAAGTGACTACTTTCAATATCAGCTTTTACATCATTCTTTCTGTTCTTCTTTAAGGATAAGCCCATCTCAAATTGAAACTGTTCTATTGGATCATCACCATGCGATAATTCAGAGGCTCCAAACCACTTTCTGTAGTCTTCGGTGAAGAACCTAGTAATCATCATTTTATCTTTCTTATTCTTCATAAGCTTAACGCTGGTTATAGCCTGGTCTACTCGTGGCAAATGAATCGAAATAAAAATTAGCCTAGATGCTAGCAATTTATAAGTCATGTGAAGCTGTCACAGGGCCTATCATGCATATTGTGCAACGTTACTCGTAGACCGCCAGTTAAGCGACTGGAAGAAATTGCTTTGAAAACCTCATGATAATACCCGTGGTAGTTGGTCTGGTCCTGGAGTAGAGGATCCGGTGTAACTTCCTCGAGTCTATGGTTCTTCCGTATCGATTAATTTTATTTAGATTGTATCTAGATTGTTCTTTAAAAATTTGACTAAATGCAATGCTTGGACTCCACTGAACCATAGGGCAGATGAGATGGCGGCGTTGGTACACGTGGCTGGGCTGTTAATAGAATTTAATAATTAGTTTGTCGCGATGGCTGGGCTTAGCGAAGATCAGCCTAGTGGTTGCCGAAGCAGTAAGTAACAATAGGAACTTTAACTGTTGACATTCCCCAGCCTTTCGCTGTTATCGAGTTGGATCGATTTATCCAGCCAAGAACTCGATCACAGACTTATTAGCCGAGTGGGATTTTGTTCTTAATATCAGAGAGGACAAGCAGGAATTTTCTTTACGAGCTTTCTTATCAAATCTGTTCGGTTCAGCACCTTGTCGCAGACTGGTGAGACGCAGTTTGTTGATACGCCGGTACGCGTAAGCGCTGGTCTACTTTGCAAAAAGAAACGGAGGTATATGAGGATCATCGACCCTCTGTTTTCCATTCCCACGCTCTTCCAGTCACGCAACAAGATACAACGATGGCTCCCACGATCGCGTTGAAGGCAGCATTCCTCGACAGACGAGCGCTGCAGACAGCGAAGTTGGCCGTCGCGGCAGCAGGACCGGCCATCGCAAAGCGCTCCCATGAAAATCTGGTTCTGCGCCGTGGCCTAACCGTGGATCATACCCAGGCGATCACTCTTGGGATTATTGCAGTCTATGTGGTCGTGATCGCACTACTCTGGAACTTGCCATATATTCGCTGGTCGCTATGGCCTTTTAAGGTAAGTGCGGAAGAGCATACGATATCAGTTCTTGTGGCTAAGGAATCTGTTAATATAGATGCTCGTCATTGCGTTCCATGAATTCGGACATGCCATCACAGCCTGCTGCACGGGCGGCAAAGTCGAATCGGTCTCTCTAGATCCTCACGAGGGAGGAGTAACGCACATGCGAGGCGGAATCAGCGCCATTACTCTCCCAGCTGGCTATCTTGGGTCCTCGTTGATCGGTGCTTTGCTGATATTCTGCGGCTTCGACATCGTCGCCAGCAAAATCGCCAGCTTTGCCCTGGGTGTCTGTTTTCTCCTGACCCTCTGGTGGGCTCGAAGGGACTGGCTGACCATTATCACCATTACCCTGGCCATCGGATTGCTAGTGGCTTTTTGGTTCATCGATCATGCTGAGCCCCTCAGATTCGTAGTGGTGAGTCTTGCTTGCAGTCATTGGCCACTGTACACAGACTAACAGAAATACTCTGCAGCTCTTCATAGGCGTTATGTCAGCGCTTTACAGTGTCTGGGATATTGTAAGTCGCACTATAGCTGTCCCTTTCCATATAAGTACTAACGACGTGTTGCTAGTGTGATGATCTCATCTTACGGTCTGTTCCTAGCTCTGACGCCAGTGTTTTCGCAAAGAGATACGGTGGCTCTTCTCAATGCTGGGGCATTATCTGGTCATTCATAGCTCTCGCATTTATGGCTATTGCCATCGTTGCTGGGATCGCTGCATTCCCTGAATCCTTCAGCCAGCAAGAGTCCGACTCCGAACACTTTATCCCGACCCGTTGACGCTTGCAAGGTTATCCCTGACGAATTTCTTTTATTCTGGAGCATGATCATGATACCCGAACTTGTTCTACCGTTCTTCTTTCTCATGGGCTTCTTGGCGTACTCTTTTTATCATTTCCGACAATGGACTTCCTGCTTGTAGTTAAATAGGATGACGCAGTAGTCATGCTGGAGTATCAGTTGATCCACTTTGGCTTTTGGAATCTTACCTGTTCATTTCTCTACCAGCCATTATACTTACCAATCCACATCGATAGCATGTGCTCGAACATGATATCTCCCCACGGGTCGTCGTTCTTACTAGAGACTAGTTCATTTGTATTGCGCACTTAGGAGTGGGCTACTCTCCGCAAGGACCCTACCCTAATTAAGGTATACGGGAACGATGTCGCAAATGCTAGTAGTAATAGTGGGTCTGTTTAGCCCTAGAATGCTGCTTGAAGCTTTGTGATAGATACATCGGGAAGATACCGAAAACTCATAGAAAGAGCAGCTACCCACCGATAAAATGCGATCGATTCCGACCAGTACGTATTTTAGGCTATCGGACACTTAACCATCTCAGGATCTCGGGCGCGAATTAGCCTTGCTAGCGTCCAGGAACAAGGTTAAGCAAGCGCATCTTTCCGCCCGTTTTTTGACTCCGCTATTTGGAGAATATCAATGGCAGCTCCCACGTGGTGTATGTGCGCTCTGGCTGTGGTAGTTGACATTCTTAGTGATATGCAGTTCTTGAAGAGAACTACAATGTGGCGCATAGTAGCTGGCTCCATGGAAGACTCTGCTAGGTGATGATTCTTATAAGTAATTGATGTTCAACATGCGTACCACCGCAAGATTTGCTTGTTCTCAGGGTAGCGGCTTTGCGCCATTCAGGTTCGCCTCACTTATTTCCTTTCTGTATTGTCTCTGGAGGGTCCTATAGGACAGAATATTCAGTAATATTTATTTATATTTGGAAAACCCTTGCCGTTTGCACATAGACTCGATTGAACGACAGTCTTACATCATGAAAGCCTTCTGGATGCTGGGCCTCGGTTCAGCTGCGCCCACAGTAGCATTCGATGTGCTTCAACATCTCGGCGGAAATTCTCCCTGGTTTGCTAGTACGAACCGCTTCTATAGTCCTACCGCTTGTTCTAGCTGAATGTTGACCTCCCAGGTCCCAATGTCAATAACATATCCCCGCAGGTTCCAGATGGATGCACAGTCGATCAGGCTGTATACATCGTCCGTCATGGTAGTCGGTATCCTGATCCCAGTGCATATCAACAATGGCTCGCGCTATATGATAAGGTATGGTATTGTTATCCCTCTAATTTCCCAACCTCAGTTCAGAAATTAGACTAAGCGTTTCCTGGTAGATCCAATCCTCCCAGTATAACGCATCAGGGGCCCTGGCCTTCTTACCTGATTGGACTCCTGTTCTAAGACATCCCGATCAAGAGCTCTCCCAGGTGTCCATTACAGGCTACAAGGAGTTGTATGTTCTATACATATCGACTGATTGAAAGTAGGTAGATTGGCTTTTGCCCGTTAACTTCGAGATAGATATAACTTGGGCGCCGACCTACGCTTCCGCTATCCCACATTCTATACAGACAATACCCCTTACCTTCTCTGGGCTAATGATTACGAGAGAACCATTGATTCCGGCAGGTATAGACACATATCCCGCATCCATCTAGTTAGTTAGTCAGTTCCTAACCTCCCAAACCAAACCAGACTCTTCGCCCGCGGCTACCTCGGCCCCAACTCCAGCTACGGCGACATCTACGTCGTGAACGCAGACACCGCTTCAGCCATAGGCAACTCCCTAGCTACATCGGACTTGTGTCCGAATTTCCAAGATTCAAGTGGCGGAGCATACGCCTCGACCTGGGATAGCATCTACCTACCGCCGATCACAAAAAGGCTCAATAATCTCTTAAATGGGAACCTGACTTTTTCAGATTCAGATGTTTCCAACTTTCCTTATTTATGCGGATTCGAAAGCCAAATCACAGGCTCGAAGAGTCCGTGGTGTGATGTTTTGGAAAATGAAGAGATTTTGCAATATGAATATCGTCAGGATTTGAGATATTATTATGGTACAGGTAAGATAGACCTTATAATTTGATTTACTATTGTCCGACATATGCATGGGTGTGTGTATGTGTTGTGTTTATATATATCAACATTGAAATTCACAATCCCTTCCCATAGGTCCCGGCGCAGAAAAGAACATGACTGTCATGATGCCCGTTCTCCAAGGCGTGGTGGATTTATTACAGAAAGGCCTGAATGCCACAACGGTGTCCGGCGATAATAGCACGATTACATTACCCCAGCTCATCGTGGCTTTCACACATGATAATCAAATCAATGAATTGGCGTCGATTCTGGGAGTTTTCGATCACCAGGTGCCGTTGTCTTGGACGGGGGTTGATTGGGATCGGGTACGTACCTAATTTATTAAAATGGGGTACGATTTGTTTCGAGCTGATTGAAATGTGTATATGAATAGATATATAGGAGCAGTAATATAACTCCGATGCGAGGAACGATTGCCTTTGAGCGTTTGCAGTGCGCTGTGGCATCTACGGGTTCTTATGAACAGACCGGGAAGCAGGTAACTCTTCGCATTCTACTGAATGATGCTGTGTATCGTAAGGACCACTTCATTTACCTTTCTCTGTTATGAATATTCATTAGCTAACAAGACACTTATCAAGCGCTTCCATTCTGCCATTCCGGGCCCGGGTCCAGCTGTCCATTGGGAGATTACGTAGAGTATGTAACCAAGAAACGGAAGGAGTACGGGTCGTTTGCTTCCATTTGTGGGTTACCGGAGACGAGTGTCACGACTGCTCAGGTGGATGGGGCTGTTAGTTTCTTTACGGATCTAACACTTCCGTTTTTGAGCGTTGTGAAGCCATAGTAAGAGGCGATTGCGTCAAGGTATGGATGTGATTTTTGTTATATATAGACAGGATTCAATGACTGTTTGTTGGTGACAATGCTGCAGTGTAAATTTAAATCGAGATATAAATATAATCGCACTAGTCAGTCACAAGGCCTATTTCACTGCAACATGCTCTGGCTGAGTATTCCCATCATTAGATCCATTCGAGACCTCCTGATCACTCTCAGATTCAGACCCGACCGTCATCTTGGGACCTGTGAACCATTTCCGCGCGGAGAGAACATAATACAATAGCGCACCTAGCCAAATTGCGCAGTTGATGACAACGGTATAGTTCATATCGTCCGCTGTATTGAGAGTTAGAATTAGCTGAAAATAGGGCATTATAGGAAAGGAACACTTACGACTTGGATTAGGTCCCGTAGTGGGGAACATGCACAGAATAATTACAAAAAGCAGGTAAACGATAGCTGTGATAGCGATAGGCTTGCTCATCCAGCCAGTATAGAAGGCGCCGGGACGGAACTTCTCCTGACCCCAGAAGAGACGGCAGAAGATGGGCGTTCCCCATGCGACATCATTACCGGCAACAGCGAGCGAGAAGAGAGCATTAGAGGCGGCCTCGTCAATCAAGCAGAGAAGTCCAATGATGACGGCAGCTGCGACGACGCCCCAGATCATACGAACGGGCTGGAAGCGGATGCGTTTGCTGACATGTCGGAAAAAGCTGGAGAATGGGAGTGCGCCGTCGCGGGAGAAAGCCCAACTTTGTCGAGAAGCAGCGATGACCTGTGTTTGAAATTAGTATGAGATTCGGAGGGATCAGAACGAGGCAAATGTACATACCAAACTCAAGCCCATGAAAAACTGAACGATCGTCAGGACGGACATGAATCCAAGAGCGCCTTTCTTCCCGAGGGCATCATAATATATCTAGTTGGATATTATTAGATTATATTCTAATAGAAAGTAGTTGCTCATTAGCAATCAAAGCTCACCTGCGCCATAGGCTGTCCAAAGCTAGTATTGAGGACAGCAGTCAAGTCCTTGTCGATAACGGCCGCAATGATGCAGAGACAGAGGAATCCAAGAGCCCAGCACGATCCTATTGACCACAAAATACCGAGTGGCACAGCACGGGCAGCGTGTGTCGCCTCCTCGCTCATGTGCACGCAAGAATCAAAAGCGCCAATGGTCCAAATTGGCGACAGCCAAGCCAGCATGAATGCCCAGCCAGACGGCCAAGTGGTGAGGTTTTCGACATGACCGAAAACATAGCCACCAGAATTTACCGGCCCATTGTTGTGAGCCTTCCCAATGGGAAGCGCAATGACTGTAGCCAACACAAGTCCGACATTGGCATAGATGCAAGCAGACTGGATCTTGGGCATAATGCGACCGAAGAACGTTGCGAGAAACCCGTGGCAGATCACACAAGCAACGTATGTGCCGTATACGACAGGGCGAGAAGCTGACCATTCACCATCGCGGGTAATGGAGATGAGCGAAAGCAACATGAGAGCGAAACCATCTGCCCACAATTTAGTAACAGTATATGGCAGGCGGCTAACTCAATCACCACGTACAATCGATCGAACAGATGCCTCCTATCAATCCGAGGGTATTACTGTAACCGACGAGGAAACTCAATGGCTTCTTGTATTTGTCTGCGGCAAAATAATGGGTCCACCAATATAGGCCTCCAGCCGTGGGCATTGCAGATGCGAGATCAGCCTAGAGGTACTCGCTCGTTAGAGCTGTCTCTGAGCAGAAAAATGCAGATATTCCAAGGCGACGTACCATTGCGAGACCGACTGTAAAGATGAAGAAGCTTGCGATAAACCATCCCTGTCGTACCTCCAATCAGCAACTCCATCTCACTGTACATGAACGCCTCATTAGACATACCCAGACCATTCCCACGGGACCCGCAGGGATCGAAAAGGATAGTGTCGACGCGATCGAGGGCAACAGTCCCATTATACTGAATGCGATGGCAAAGACCTGCACCGTCGAATAATGCCTCCGTAGTTCTTGTTTGTATCCCATCGCAGCTGCTCAAGTTAGCCAGTAATTCCATACCGTCATTATTGAGTGCTCTCCATACCCAGTAGCTCTGCATCCGCCGGATCAGAGACGATCGTCCCCTCCTGAACGGCCGTGGCCGCAGATGGCCTGCGTTTGGGCTTGTCACTTAATTTCTCGTCCATGGCGACGGGTGATTGACAGCAGTATAACGATTTGAAAAAGAGTCAGCAAGAAACAAAACCCACTGTCGACGCATGCCGAAATGGGCACAGGGCGGATTTGTACGCCCTACATAGCTGGCGATGGCCAACGAGCGAGCTTACCGGCCCACGCACCACTAAGATATTCGCAGTTGACTGATAATACGAAAGAGGAGAAAGATAAGGCCATGACACGCTAGGGCTACATGATCCCCGCAAACTGTAGATACAAGCCGTGGAGGCAGCAGTTAGAGCGAAACTAGAGATACCACCGCTAAAGCGCATTGGCCTCCCTTTCGCTTGAAGCCGGAATGCCTGGATGATCATGGTATTTCCAGTGGGTCATTTACTTATCAACTCGTGGTTGTTGCAGCTTAGCTCATGGAAACGCAAGATAGTCATGCATCGCAATGGACTTGTCACGCTGTCTTGATATTCTGGAAGGGTCTTGATAAGACACGATAAGAATAACAACCGCGTAACTGTTCATAGTTAGCTAGCTACTCCGTACTCAATTTAGTATTATTCACGCCACATCATTGTCCGCGTGTGGCGTCAAAGGGTCTCGCAATCCCGGCTGCAACTTGTTCGTGTTGGGCAACTTCACGCGTTAACTATCGAACCTATCTCAGCATGGGTGTCATTGCATAGGTTATCTAGGCTCTTTATCGAGGATGTCCACGACAAAATGGACTCCAATAGGGTCACGTACGTTTTAGTGCTACCGCTTCTGAAACAGCCTGCAAGTCTTCTCGATCGTCGCATTCTCCGATAGGTGCATGAGCGCTAAATACTACTTACGCTTGGGCCTCAGTATACAGTTATGACCCCTCTACTTCTTCCTTTCAGATCGAAATCAAGACGCTTGTATTTTCGTGGCTGTCTACTATGAACAGTTGTGAATTATAATCAGACAATTCTCCTACCGTCTGTGATATCCTTCCCTCATAGCTTACTCTCCTCTCGTCCACGGCATCAAAGCGACATTGCTATGCTGTTGCTGTCGCAATTAAGCTCTGATAGTATGGACCAAAGCCTGATCCATATCCACCCTCAGTGCACATAACTGTTTTCCTGCCGGATGCTAAACTACAGATCTTGATTGAGGGGAACCCGGCGGCAATTCATGCTCAGGAGTGACTGTATCATCCGATAGACCTCTCGTATGTCCCTTCCTTCCTTGAGGGGATATCGCCCGGTCTAGGTTTCCTGACTGTAGCTGGGCCTCCAGTTCATTGTAATCCTGACCAGGGTTACAGGTCTGGTAGCGCAATTGCTTCAGCAGAGCGAAAAATCCGGATGCCAGCAGTGAGCCAAGCAGAGGACCAACCCAGTAGATCCAATGGTATCCGGGAAACTGCCTGTTTATCACATCTGGTCCGAGAGACCTCGCAGGGTTGAGGGAACCACCAGTGTAGTAGATTCCTAATCCGTCAGAACAGCCCATGGCAGAGACAAGAAGACGTGAGACATACCAATCATCTCGGTGACGAAGAAGGTCAGGCCAATTCCTACTGGGGCCAGGAACGTGGACTTGTGCTTCACGGCAGCTAGCATAATGATAACGAAGACAAGCTGCGCCGTCAAGAACACTTCGATAAACAAGCCTTGGGATATAGATGCACCTCCACCCAACCTGGTCCCGACATTGAGGGCGCCTGGAAAAAGTGCTGACACCACTCCAGCTGCCGCGATTCCACCCACAAGTTGGGAAGCAAAGACTAATACACTCCGGACAGCGGGAAGTCCTCCAACGAGGAAAAGAGCAAGCGTGACCTATCATTCGTTAGCTAGTTCTTCAATGCTACCAATGTCATCAATACCGAAGGATTGAACAGGCCTCCTGTGACCCTGTAAAACGCCCACACATTGACTGTCAATGAGAATCCAAAACTGAGGGATGCATAGAGAAGGTTGGACGTATTCGGATTGGCGCCATCAGGGGGTTTTGGCGTATTAGAGATCTGCGTCCCAGCAAAGGAAAAGAACAAAAACAGAAAGGTTCCCACGAATTCCCCAATAACGGCGATGATGTTGTTCCGCGTACTGTCGGGGAGATTCAGCATGGGGAGCTGACTTCTATGAGTGGAGAGTGACATGGTGCTCCCTGAGCGATTTTTCGAAAGGAATGTCATCTCGAAATTGCTCCAATGGAGATACTGCTAATGGGAACCGAAAACTGATATGAAGAAAAATGTCGCTTTCCTCTGCTTGACTCCAATGTCAGGTGAAGAAAACTCCTTCGAAGCACCTATATAGTCCGGCATATTGGTGGCTCTTCCAACGAGACAAAAATCTCAAGACGTCACGACCCTACAAGACTAGTTGAGGTCCAATGTACTGTACCTACAGGACAAGCAGAGATCATGCACGTAGCCCTGGTCAATCCCCCGCAAAATTGCTCTACTATGTCACTGGGATATTACTGAATGCTGGGTGTATGTCTCGGAACGTCCGTTTCTAGAGTTGACTCCAGATTCCATGTGCAAAGAAACAGAATTGATAGGTCGAGGGTTACCTTGGATATAAGTTAGGACCGTTCTCGACTCGAGTCGTTCAAACGCCACAGGCATGGGTTGGAGATATGTCGCATCCCCGATGATGTTCATGATGCCGTGTTGGCCCATGGTTCAAAGGCGTTTTTCTTCAGCCATAACCAGGAGCTCCTGCGGAGACATACTGGTATCTCTGCCTTATACTTCTTCCACTTCTATCGTGGTATGTAAAACTCTAACCGTCTAATCCTTACCAGTTCATGATCCAACCTCGCAAGTGTGCCCGGAAGCGGTGATATATTCCTCTCTGAAGGTCGAAAGAATAAACCATATAGCTGGTACTCAGTAAGCCACAGACTGCGTCGATTAACCATTCGAGCAGTCTACCGAAGAAATATTGCCGGAATAGCACTGCGTTCCATGGATGATGACCATCCAGTGGCAGCATGGACGAGTCATGGTTAGCATTGCAGTCACCAGTCCAAAAAGAGTCCGTATGGTTCAAACACACGAAGATAACATATTCCTGCGACATTCAAAGGCAGTGACATATAAGACACAGGACTATGGTGAGATGTTCTTCTTCTTAAGATGGATCAAAAGCGATTGTGGTCTTTTCTTATGTCATCTAGCTTAGTCATTCTCTACTATATAGCCTTAGGCACAGATATCTCTTAGTAATTAACTTTTTTCTTCTGAATAATATCTAGTAGTATATCTAAATATCTAGATTAGGTAATAATAAGGGGATTATATAAGCCTAGAAGGCTATAGCCTAAATAGGCTAATATTATTATATTATAATATTAATAATTATAATAATTATTATATTACTATATATAAAAAAGCTTAAAATATAATATTAAATATAAAAGATACTATTTATTTAATAATATAGCAGTTAGCTATAATAATAATAATATAATAATATATATAATATTAAGAAAACTTAAATTTAGATAATAATAACTTAAACTTTATCTTATAACTTTTTATTTATACTAAATTAAGTAAATATAAAATATTTCTAAACCTAATCTTACTGCTATACTTAGGAAAAAAAAAACAAAGATAAAGAATTATATTAAAATTTAATTTATAATAATATATTAGCTATAAAGGGTAAATAATAGAATATAAATATACCTTTATTATAAAAAAAACTAAGATAAATATTTAATAATTACTTTAATAATTAAAATCTTAAATAACTATAATAACTATAATAGAAGACTTAGTTAATTATATTAGCTATATAGACCTAAATAAAAATAACTAATTAATATTAGGTATTAAAATATTTAATTTAAGATAACCTCTTTTAACTTTAGAATAAGCTATAAATATTATAATACTAAACTTATTATAACTAAATCTTAATTTATTAAGTCTCTTAGCTTAAATTACTAATAATATTATTAATATTATTTAGGTATAAATAATATAAATAATAGGCCTTAATAATAGACTTAGATTTAAGCTTAAAACCCCTTTTTTATATAAGAGTAAATATAATATAGAACTTTTAAAAGTTTAAAAGTTTAAAATTTATAATTATATTTAATAATATAATACTAAAGACTAGTTTAAGAATTAATAAGAAATTATATAATATTATATTAAATTTTTAAGAGGTAATATAAGATTAATATAAGAAACTTAATCTAATAATATTAAGATAAGAAGAGCTATAGAGTTTAATATCTTAGATAATTAGTTATAGTAGATCTTAATATTATATAAAAATATTAATTAAAAAGTATATAACTATAATAAATATTATTAATTAATATAAATATATTTTATTATAAAATATACTATTAAATTACTTATATTATAATAATAATTTAACTCTCTTCTATTAAATTATAAACTTAAGGAATACTTTATTTAAAGATTAAAAACCTATATTTATAATTATATAGAAGAAAATCTAGACTATAATAACCTTAATTATATAGATTATATTATAATAGCTAATAGATTTAATCAGTAATATATAGCTATATATATATATAATACCCGCTAATACTTAAAGTAATAATCTTAATAATTATATACTATAAGCGGTAAATAAAAGTTATTAATAATTAAGCTAATACTAGATTAATTATAATAATAAGTATAGTTATAATACTTATCTTATTCTTTTAAAATAATATTACTAAAAAATACTCTATAAAAGAATATTTTAGAATAGACTAACTATTATTAGAAGAATTACCTTTATTTCTAATATAATTATATAAGATATTAAACTTATAATTATAATAAAAAAAGATATTTCTTTAATTAAAATTATTAACTAAGATAATAATTATCTTATATAATAAAGTTAATATTTTATTTTTTAAACCTATATTATTATAGTTATAATAACTTAAAAAATAGTTAATATTAATCTTATAATTACTCTAATAGTAAGATTAAATTTCTTAGTCTAATACTGCCTCGCTATCGCGTTTTCTTTAATATACTAAATAAAAACCGCTAATATATTATAGCTATTTTATAACTATTTAAATAAGACTAATTTTATATAGAAAATTCTAGACAATATATTATAATAATTAAAGCCTATAAAATTAATAAATAATAAAGCTATCTAGATAAATATCTCTACTTACTCTTAGGAAAAGTTATAAAAACTATAGGGGGTAAGTTTCTATTTAAAACTTAATGTTATAGATATAGGCCTGCTCTAGCTATACCGCCCGCATAGCGAGGCAGTACTATATCGCCTTTAATATACTTAGTAGTAATATCTCCTAGTTAGAAGAATTAACCTTTTTATATCTTTATTTTACTATAGCTATACTATTATAAATAGTAGTATATTTTAATTAATTAGAGTATTCTTTATTATCTTTATTTTAAGCTTTAAGACTTTAAGATTATTAGACTTTAATTAACTAAGCCTATTATCTCGCATAGAGTACTATATAAATAATAAAGACTACTCTAATATTACTATAGTACTATAAGTCTATATTTAATCTTACTCTCTCTATTTAATAATATTTACCTATAATTTTACTATAAGCTATCTCTATAGCCTTTTAGCTTATTATATTTTAATAGAATTAATCTAGTTTTAAAGACTAGTTTCTTTAATCTATTCTATTTCTTATTAATTTTATTATTTTATTTTATTTAGCTCTATAGAGTCTAATCTTAACTGCTAATTATCTTAGTATTACTATAATTATATTAAGGGGCAGTATTACTCTATATATAAGATCTTTTACCTTCCCCGCTAACTAAATAATTAACTAAAGCACTTTAAACTAAGCTATAAGCAGCTTTTATAGAGTAATAAAGGCATTAGCTAATAACTCTATTTTCTTATTCTAATAATAGGAATAAAAGGTATTCTTAAAAAAAGAAGTAATATAAAAATTAATTAATTTATTAAGCTATAGCTACTTTAAGATATTATTATTATATTTAATATAAGTAAGAGTCTCCTTTAACCTTTAAGGAAATACCTTAGCATTCTTAAACTAAGAATATTTTATACCTAAATATCTTATAAATATCTCTAATATTTTCTTAGACTTTTCTAAGATATAGTTAAGATTACTATATATAGGAATTAACTTTTACCCTTTAATTTTTAATATAGGTTAATTGCCTTTAAGTAATAAGACTAATCTAAGTAATAATATTATAATTAATTAATAATAGGATAAAGAAATAAGTAGTATAAAAGATAAAAGACTTATATATAATATAATATTACTATTAGTTAAAGGTAGAGATATAAATAATAATATTAAGGCTAGACTATTAATTAATATTAACTTATCTAATATTAATACTAATATATTTATTATAGAAATAATAAGGGCGATAATTAAGTTTAATAAGATAATATAAAGACTCTTTTAGCAGCTTAATAAATAAAGAGAGCTATAATTAAATAAAAATTACGCTAACTTAAATAATAATATTATAAGTAATATTATAGCTATATTAATAAATATATATTTAAATAGCGTATTATTATAGAAGTAAGAGGAACTTAAGTTCTTTTAACTAAACCTTAAGAATTATAAATATATTAGCTTAGGGCTAATTATTACTATAGATAGTTAAATATTTTATAAGAATATTTATCTATTTATAGAGTATATTTAAGATCTTATATTAATTAAGGGTAAAGAATAGATCTGGCTAAGGCTTTATATATTTTTTAAGGGATAAGCATTTTAATAATATATAGCGGAGCTCTTTAATTTTAAATAAAATAGCCTATAAGTACGCCTTATAAAAGAGGTATAGATTTTACTATTAATAAAGTATTTTAAAATTAATACTAGTATAACTATATAGACTAGAAAGAATATTATACTTAATAATTAATATTAAGAATAGGGTTATATTATAGAGCTTTATATAAATAGTTATCTAGCTGCATAAAGTAATAAGCCTAAATATAATATATATATAGCTCTACTTAGCTTAGATAAAATTTTCTCTATATATATAAAAGGATCTTATTTACCCTAATAAGAATATATTACTAATACAGTTTATAGAATTAATAAATAAGGCCTATATAATATAATAAGACTAGGCTAATTTAAAGAATTATTAATAAC